TGATTTGTGATATATGCAGATGTTCCTTTACATAGGTCTGTAGCATTTGTTTCTTACCATTTAGACTAATTAGTAAAAGTAATGGAGATGAAAAAATGGCATTGGCATTATAACTAAGCTAGCTCTGTCTAGATGTATTACAGAATAACTGCTGTCCGTGTAATATAATGTTTATGACCCAAAATCTAAAAGACCAACACTTATCTGTTTTATTGCTTGACCTCAAATGCTGGATTATTTATTTTTTATTTTATTTTTATCTTCATTTTTCCACTGTCTGCTGTTGTGTAAGTGTATATAAGTTTATGTTCCATAATTGTAATCGTTAACACAATTATTCATATGAATAGAAAAGTCAGGGGTCATCTGGAAATCAGTGTCTAGCCATGGGTTTCATAGTAATAAAACTGAAAGCAATTCACTTTTTTTTTTTAAACAATTCTTTAAATTAAAATATAAAATGCTAAAAATAAGTCTAGATAATTGGACAAGTTGTGTCACTTAAATGCCACGGATACTAGGAATTTTCTTATTGTTTATTCAGTCTAAGAGTTTACTGTTAGATCAAGGCTCCAAATAAGAAAGACTCTCCCTCCTGTCTTCTATATGGTGCCACAGTATCCAATATTTGTTCAAATGAAATGTATTTAGTAAATGAAATGGTCTTGCATTGGTCATTTTTTTTATTTGCTATTTATACCTAAAGGTCTTACATTACACAAAAACTCTCATGAGCTTTAAGCCATTTTATAATGTTGTTAATTAACCAAAAACATACCTGGAGTTGTGTTTTGTTTCATTCACACATGTTTGAGTAATCCCTTATTATTAGACTGTCTACGTCTCCAAGGCTCAAAATGCTCTGTTCCTCCTTGTGATGTCAAGCGGTAGTTTTCAACTTAACAGGTCCCTTATACCTCTTCCAGTGAAGGTGTATGGAGTTTAAAAATGCAGTGAAGCACAGTGGAGTGTTTTCCACTCAGCTTAGATATTTAGTTTTTGTGTGTTAAACATGTGTGAATTAAACAAAACACAACTCCAGATATGTTTTTGATGAGGAAACTGTAAAATAGATCAGAAAATGGCGCAATGTGTACTCTTTAATTTGTTGTTATTTGTTATTATTTGTCATTATTTGTATTTTATATTCATGTTGTGAAGAAAATCTTCTTATCATATCATATCATATCATGTCATTATCATTTGTCTTTGTGTAAACGCATTTGTTCAGTGTCAGTCAGAGACCCAGACTGGACATAAACATCTATGAATGCATTGGCCCCATCCCACAGGAAATCCTTTTGCTATTTTATCTCTCTTCAAGTAATGTAATGTAATGTAATATAACTTTATAATTTAGGTATATAGATCAGGGTTCAGATGCTCTGAGGGAGAGACTGGGGGGAGACTGAGGGACAGGCCAGGCCAGGGTAAGCCCTGTTCTATAAACTGTAACAAAGAGTAAACCTTTTATGTATTTCATAAACTCATAAGGCTTTGCTAATGGATTATTATTATTATTCAACATGTACATAATTTTCCATAACTATCAATGAAGTTGTGATATCAAGCATCTCTTTCATTTAGCACAAAATTTTCCTTTTATTATAGTTCTCTGGTCACAGATTCTATAGTGATTCTATTCAAATGTATTTGTTCATTACACCATGTTTTTCTTGATGTGTGATTGTAGGTTTACATTATTGAGGTGACTGACGGTCTTCACAGATGGACCATCAAACACAGATACAGCGACTTTCACGAGCTCCACGAGAAGGTAACACAGTTCTAAATTAGTCCCGGTGTAGTCCCAGACTAATCGTAGTCCTAGTCCTAGTCCCAGTTTAGTCTTTGATTTGTCCAGTTGAATTTAATGCTTTTCCCATTGCTGTGAGTTCTGTTGGATGTGGTTGACACTGGATAAAACTGTAACCCAGTTAATACAATATATTTGTATTTAGTGTTATATTTAGTATTATAGAGGTCTGTGTAGACATTAAAAGTAAATGTAAATGGCTTAAACACCAGATATGATGTTTTGTATATTTGATATCATCTTTCTGTCTTTAGTTAACAGCAGAGAATAAAGTGGACAGACGTCTACTGCCCCCAAAGAAGATTTTGGGTAAAAATTCTAAAAGTTTGGTGGAGCGTCGGCAGAAGGAGCTGGAGCAGTATCTCCAGACTCTGTTACTACTGTTTCCTCAGGCCACACCTCCTGCACTTTCCTGCTTCCTCCACCTGCAGTTCTATGTAAGTACTTTGAGTACACACTAAGGGCTCAACCATTTTGGAAAACTATCTAAATGATAATGCCCTATAATTGTCTTCTTTGTTTTAGGAAATCAATGGGATCACAGCTGCACTAGCAGAGGAGCTCTTTAACAAAGGTCTGTTGCTGTCAATGACTACAGTGTCCAAAATCGGTTTAAAAGCCTGGATAATGCATAATGTACTTTAGGAATGTGAAACAAACAAATTGAAAACAAATACATATTGAAGATATTAATATCATTTGTCTTATTATTATTTTATTTTAATATTTTTTCCTAAAATAACTGCTAACTGTTGTTTAAATGTGTGTGAATATGTGTAAATGAACTGAACTGGCCTCTCTCAGGTGAGCAGTTGCTTCAGGCTGGACAGGTGTTCTCACTTCGCCCCCTACAGCTTTACTCCGTCACTCAGCAGTTGCGCCTTGCCAAACCCACCTGCTTCACCGGAGACGCCAAAACAGACCTGGGACACATCCTGGATTTCACCTGCCGCCTCAAATACCTCAAGGTAACCATGGTAACCAGGCCACCAATCATAAGGGAAGGTGGTGGTGTGGAGTCATTCATAGGAAAACACATCTTTAAAGGTCCAGGATTACTAATAAACTAATTTATGTGAGCTTTTAGCCATGGTATAATGCCTTCTCAAAAAGGCACCTGGAGTTGTGTTTTGTTTCATTCACACATGTTTGAGTAATTCTGGATAATTAAGCTGTTTGCATCCCCAAAGCTGAAAATGCTCTGCTGAACCGTGTGATATCATTTAGTGGTAGTTTTAAGATTGAACTGCTTTACTCTTCAATACTCTAAAATAAACTTGTGGTTGGATTTGTTTCTTGATTTTAAAAAAATCTTTTGTTGTTAGGATTGGGTTTAAAAGCTTTGTGGCATTTCCAGTATGACCGCATAATGACATCACAAGGGGGAACAGATCATTTTCTGTCTGCGGGAAGAACACAGCCTAGATATGCAGAATTTGTGTGTTAAACATGTGTCTTGAATAGTTCAGTACAGGCCCTTTCCAGGCTCATAATCCCTGCCACTCACATTGGCAAATGTTTTTTAGATTGCCACCTCTGAATCTTAGTGTATTTATGCACAAATTTGGGCCATTTGACCACTTAATTAATGGTTTGATACTTATAGAGTGTAGTGTATTTTTCCTTTTTGAGAATATTATGTGTATATTATTTTCATTTTATTTTGTAATTTCCATCACTTCTAATACTGTACAGAAATAATGAAAAGTCAAAAGTAAATAAAACTCAGGCATCATGGAACCAATAGTTTTGAATGTGACAGATTTAAATTTTTATTTTTTATTTTTTTTAACTTTTTTAATTTATTTTTTTGCCACGTAGGTTTTATCAGACAGGACATTGTAATGCCTGAAATGGGGCTGAGAGAAGGGAGAGAAGGGAGTAAAATGTCAGAGCCCAGAATCAAACTCACAACTCAGGCTGGCTGCTTTAACCCGTTAACCAAAAATAGCTGTTTTTAGATCTTTTGGCTTGAGCACTGTTCGCTGTTGGTCTGTGTGGTGCCAATGCAAATACATGTAAATGACTGGGCTAACTCACTGCTAAACTAATTTAAATGTTTGTGCAGTTAAACTAACCTTGAACCTTTTGTTATTTTCAAGTAAAACAAGTCAGATAACCCTTTTCTGCTTTTGTTCATTGTGTTCAGATCAGTGGCACCAAGGAGCCTGTGGGCAGCAGCAACATCCAGGAGAACAGCCTTCCGTTTGACCTGTCTATCTTCAAATCTCTGCTTCAGATCGAGGTAGGGCTGGGTGATATGATGATGACAATGGAATCATTAGCTAGGCCTGTTATGATAATTACTATGTGGACTTATCATTTAATATATGAAAGCTGGAACTTTATATTTTGTGGCTCAGTATTTATCATGTGTACTTTTTCTATGTATGAGTGAGACATTTTTAGTTGTTTTTTCCTGCAGTAGGGTCCGGTCAAGCGGTAACTGAGGGAAATGGGCAGATTTTTTACATTCAAATAGCTCTTATTCAGAAACTAGAGGGACTATTGAAATAAGTAAAGTATCAGAATGTAGGAAAGAGTTACACTCCAACAGGGTCAAGTTAAACCTGTGATATTCTTTCAAGTTGTTGACAAAAAATATTAAAACTCATGTCGGTAACGGAGGGAATGAAATATGCAACACTTTTTGGGCAATAAATCCAAACAGTGATAACTAGTGGTTCTCACTTACATATCCTTAACAAACTGGTTTGAATATTTGCTTCATATAGTTTTCTACCATATGGTACAAGATTAGTTTGAAAAACCTCTTACTTTTTGAGTAATGAGATTTTTTATTAAGAAAGGTCATGGTAACAGAGGGAAAAGTAACGGAGGGAAAATTGTGCAAGCAAGTAGAAGGTGCATGATTTTACATCATTTATCAGCCTTCCAGATACTTTAATATTACTTCAAAATGAAAGGAAACTATTTCTATAAAATATGTCAGTCCTTCCAAGCAATTTTTTATCATTTTAAATACTTATGTACATACTTTTTTTTTTTTTTTTTTAAATCATGTACCTTCATCAACAGTTCAAAGATCGAATAACACAAGATATGATGAAATACATCAATTTATTTACATGATTTGCAGGTCTTTGAAATTTGGGAAATAATTTTTGTTCCATGTTTCATACATGGTCTGTTTAAAATGTATGTAACTTTAGAACCAGAAATGGTATAGAAAAAAGGTCAACAGTTTCATAAACTAGAGTACATATGCTATCTGTTGAATAATTTTTTTTTTTTCAGATGCATTAACTTGAATTTTTGGCCTTGCTGTTTACTTCTGCTTGACCGGGACCAGTATGTTCAGATTTGAGCCATATAAGGTTGAGTTATGGCCTTCTATGACTCATTATAGATACAAACTAACTGCATCATGATATTTATTTATTGCATCTTATATTTTTAATAGTATTGTACATTTGTGATTTGGTTTCAGTATTATTGTTTATAGTGTATATTTACTTAGAAATATATTGTGCTGCAGGACACAGAGGAGGGACACTTTTGACTCTTCAGACTGCCCTGACACAGGATCTCCTTGTCCTACCTGACCAGTCCTTTTAAACTGAAGAAGTGCAGTGTAAATGTTACTGCAGCAAAACTTTAATTTCCCTCAGGATCAATTAAGTATATTTTTTTCTGGGGGTAAAATCTTCACATACGCTAATTTTCTCTTGAATGCCGGTCGATGTTCAAATACAGATCTTTCCCCTCACCCGCTTCTCCTATTATATTGGGCAGCCACTGCAATGCCCAGAGTGAGTGACTGGTGGATGTAACCAATTGCAATAAAGTGTGAACTTGTAGAAGAAGCAGATGTCTTCAGTTATGCAAGTTTACATAAAACCGTGAAATTACATTTTACTTCCCACCAAGGGGCCTAGTAACAATCCTGGTCGTGGTTTAGCCCTGGTTTTACGTGTTTGTCTAAAAAACAATATGTATAAAGTGTTTTTCTTGTGTTGTGATAGATCTGTGAGTGCAGTTCGCAGCAGATCTCTGGTTTGTCATCTCTGAGAAAAACTTTGGCCACAATGAGCATCCACCACTCGACTGACTCCATGGATGTACGTAACACTCACAACTAATGGGAACCAAGACAATAATGTTATAGTGTTTTTCATGTGTTTTCATTTCTTAAATTACTTTCCCATGTGCCTTGATTTTCAATCAGTAGGCTGGGAACACTAGTGTGCCTTGAGATACATGCCTTGCAAAAAAAATGTATTTAATTAATTGCTTTTTAATGTGATTTGGTAATATTTGAAATTTTGTGTGTGCTACAGTGTCTTTTCAACTCACATTTTCCCTGACTAAAAAGGCTGAAAAACACTGATCTGCTGTGTATTAAGAGTGTATTTTGTCCTTTCTCTTCCATTTTCAATTTGTGAAGTTAAATATTTATTCAAATTTCTAGATTTGCTGGACTATAAAATACTTTAAGAAGCAGGGACTATGAGCTTTTTTTGTAATGTAAATCCACAAAATGGCTTACATTTCTAGCAATCATATTTGTTCAAATACAGTTATAATGCCCTTTGATTTTTGATTGATAAAGGCACCATCATTTACAAAGATCCAGCTCCAAATACATACATTGTTACATTAGTCACTAGTTGTCAGGTTTTTTGTTTTGTTTTGTTGTTTTTTTCCCCAAATTTAAGACTAAATTGCTAACAAGTTTCTCTTGTCTCCTGTACAGTTGGTGCTGGTGCCAGAGGCCACTGAGTTCCCCCAGTGGGAGCCAGAGGGCGCTGTTTCCGTGTGTCCTGTGACTGCAGTGGTTCCTGTTTGGAGAAGTCTGACCACTTTAGACCTGAGCCACAACAGCATCAGTGCAGTGGACTCCTCTGTGGTACTTAGAGATCATACTAACACTTGTGCATTCCACTCTTAGGGGTTATATGGCAAAATAAATCATGATAATGGTACAACACAGTCTATGTAAAAAGTTAAATTTGCAGCTCACTCTAGTGAGGGGGCCAAACGACACGTTGACACATGTTGAGCTCAGAAAGTGACGCCTGTGTCGAGCTCTGTCACTGTGTATGTCACTTTAAGAAAAGTCATGTGACACAGAGCTAGACGCAAGGCTCAAGTTTGTCGCTGTGTCTCTGTTCATTAGCAGAGAACCACAGAGAAACAGAAAATAGGTCTGTGCTTCTGTGTAGTATCATTTTTGATCTGCCCAAGTGGAGCTCAGTACAGATCTGCTGAAAGCACTATATTATTTTACTGTCATTTTCTCAACCATTCACCTCATCATGCATCACTTATAGTCTGCTTTATTGTACAATAATCCGTGTATCATTCGTTCATTCGTTTTTCAATATAAAACCAAAAATAAGAAAACGAAAAAACAACAGTTTTCTTCGCTATTTGTCTCCAAAACCAAAATGAAAAAACGGATAACGATTTGTTTTTTCAGTTTTCGATTTTGTGTTTAAATGAAGAATGGAAAAAACGGATAACGGCCGTTTCCCGTTTATGTGACTTCCGTGACTGCGATGCCGGACTTTTGCACTGGGTACGTACTGAACTAGGACTGATCCAGGTCCGAGACCAGACCGGGACCAGAGCGGGACCAGACCAGGGACTGGGGCGGACTCCAAGCTTTGACTCTGAGCCTCCGCGGGGTCCAAGCCTCAGCTTCGTGCTCCGGCCCTGCCGTGGGCTCTGAGCCTCCGGTCTGGTCTTGGTCTTGTCTCGGTCTCAGGCCGCTCTGGTCCCGGTCTGGTCCCAGTCTCAGTAGCGCTCTGGTCCCGGTCTGGTCCCGGACCTGATCCATTTGAACCAAAAGCTCTAAGTTCGGTTCATTTTCGTTGGTGTGAAAGCGTCATTTGGATGCTTTGCACCACCTCGGAACCAGCCGCGGTTCTTGAGCGCGGAGGACTGGAACAGCCCGTCCGGACCTGTAGTCCACAGCGCATTCTCACTTTCCCCGCACGGAACCAGCGTGGAGACGATGACACGGAACCGCTCTGACCGCTGGTCTCGGTCTCAGTTCCGCTCTGATCCCTCTCTGGTCCCGGTGTGGTCCCGGTCTCAGTCCCGCTCTGGTCCCGGTCTGGTCTCGGACCTGGATCAGTCCTGGTTCAGTCCGTACGCGGTGCAAAAGTTTGGCATCGCAGTCACGGAAGTCAGGTAAACGGGAAACGGCCGTTATCCGTTTTTTCCATTATTCATTTAAACACAAAATCAAAAACTGAAAAAACTAATCATTATCCATTTTTTAATTTTGGTTTTGGAGACAAATAATGAAGAAAACTTTTGTTTTTTCGTTTTCTTATTTTTGGTTTTATATTGAAAACGAATGAACGAATGATACACGGATTTACAATGGCTGTTATTTGCTTTAATTACATACGATTGCATGACCGTTTTGGTCAGTTCTTTCATGTGTCGGATATCAGACCACAACTATCACAAATGAGTGTTCAGGTGTCTGAATGACATGTTGTGTCAACGCTTCTGCATAGTAAGCAGGTCATTTTTTAAACCACTAGATGAAGCTGTAGATTGCACCGACACCATTTCAACACAGTGTTGGCGATGTGTTACACAAGCCTTGAGGTGCCACCTATCCATCACTATTATGATTGGTTGACTCCAACTGGTCTATCAGCACAACCTCAAATAAATAGGTTGATACGATTTAACAAAAATATTTCATGTTTTTCTTCAAGAAACTGATTCCCAAAGTGGAGTTTTTGGATCTGAGCCACAACCAGCTGACATCAGTTGAAAACCTCCAGGTAAAACTATAATATGTGTGTGCTTTTGTGAGCTGCAGGTTTAAAGGGCCCATATTATGCCATTTTCTGATCTGTTATAATGTTCTTTCCTCATCACAAACTTAGTCAAAGTTTTATTTTGTTTCATTCGCACATATTTAACACACAAACCGTGTACATTTAGGATGAGTTCTCAAACTGAAAACACACTGTTTTCCACCTTGTGATGTCATGTGGTAATACAGGTAATACTGTGTTTTTAAACTCCATACACCTTCACTAGAATCATTTGGATGATTTCAGCCCTGGAAATGCCAGTCTCAACTGGACTAAAGGTAAAAGGTAGTTGTTAACTAGAACACTACCGCTTCATGACATCACAAGGTGGAACAGAGCATTTTGAAGATATAGGCAGACTAATAATGACTCAAACATGTGAACAGCTCAGCTCTGGGAATGTTTTTGATGAGGGAATATTATAACATGGCTTAAAGTTTACAAGAGTCACATTTTATGTGAATTATAATATAGTATGGAGGATAATGGTACCAGCTTATGAATTCAGGTGTAAGTCTAAAAAATATGATGTAACTAATGGCACGCAGCTAAATCAATTTTCAGAACTATTTGATATATATATACATCTCGATATCTGTACAGGAAAAATAACCCCTCAAAAACTAGTGTAAAAACAAATATGCCAATTCCACAAGGTCTTTTTTATTGAAGTGCAAAGAAGTTGGCAGTTCATGTAAGAAGTTTTATGTCTCTTCTGCGACATAAAAAAAAAATTCCCCTATATACAAAAATAATAATTAACTGTAAAATAAAGGAAGAAATAATATATATTGTCTTCTTTACATTCAAAAATAAAACAACCCAAGTTCATCTTTGCATTAACTCTCTAACCGTATGATAACCAGAACCATGAGCTCCTTTAGCAGAGGGAGCTCGGGAGGTTCCTTATTTTAACAGATCCATGTTCCTCACCAGGGGTAAGGAGCTATGCGCAGATAAAACTGAACATTTCCAAACATATTGTACAATTTATACACTGCAGCAGATTATTAATTTAAATCTTCTGCATAAATAAACTTTAAATTACTAAACTTTACAACATTATAAACCATAACCACTATAGAGTCACATCAGCCTGTTTGATATCATAATGTGTTTAATGCAGTTTTGCAAACATTTGTAGATGTTTTACAGAAAGTAAACTTAAAACCACATGGCTAGTATGCATAAACTGTAAGCACTGAAAAAAACGGCTCACTCCTTGTGCCACTGATGCGGGCAGCTTCTGCCAGACTAAACAAAACTACTCAATATAATATGTATTCTCTCCATGGATCTATGGTTCTCTCTGTGGCAGAGGATGTGCTGCTGATGGCCTTGTCTATAAATGGTTGAAAAGGTTTGACTGGAAACATCTTTCAGCATTCATGGAGGTAGACATCTGTCTGCTGTTTGTCCAACGCCGTAAAACCGAAATATCTCCATATAATGGAGCCAGTTGTCCTTTTTTTTATTTTTTGCAATAAATTCTGTAGCCTCTGGGCTGGCTGTGGGCGCCGCCGTGTTGAATAAGACACGCGAGAGGAGGGGTAACAAAAGCAAGGAGACAGGGGTGAGCAAGCACAGCACAGAGAAGGCAAACAACCAAAGCGGCAAAATCAGAATTAAATGTAAGCATTATATCGATATGCTATGTCAAAAAAAAATCTCGATATATTTTAAATATCAAGATATCACCCACCCCTAGGAAGAGGGTCTAGTTTTGGGCTCCTGAAACCCTGGGGCCCAGGACAACAGACCCCTTTGTGCCCCCTTGTCTACTGCCCTGATAAAAATATTGCTGTATACAAGAGGTCGTTAGGGGAAAAAAATCTATTGCATTACATGGTTCTTTTCTAGACACTGATTCTGCTCTTCTCTGCAGCACCTGTACAGCCTGGTTCATGTGGATCTGTCCTTTAACTGTCTGAGCTCTCTGGATGCGGCACACACTCGACTGGGAAACATCAAAACTCTGGGTCTGTCCGGGAACCAGCTCAGCAGCCTCCAGGGCCTCAGCAAACTCTACTCTTTAGTCAATCTGGACCTCAGTCACAACCACCTTGCACAGGTCTGGATTATTAAATATTATCCTGTTTTCTTTCTTATTTATTTATTTATTTGATAGGGACAGTGCATATTAATGAACATCTGTAATGATGGTGTAAATATGATTATATCAAAAAATCTAATTTCCGTCTGTTGTTCCTAGGCAGGTGACACAGAGAACAATACAAAACACAAAACTGTTACACAGAAACACATAGAACAGTAAAAGGCCAGATTAAAAGTGTTCGCAGTCTTGGTTTTCTTGTATCCACAGTTTAAGGTGCAGTTTAAATGGACTTTCTCTTATTGTCAGTGGGAGAATAAGGTATAATGTTGTTTCCTCATCAAAAACATATCTGGAGTTGTGTTTTGTTTCATTCACACACCTTTTTGTTGAAAATCAAGCACCTTAAGTGGACTATGAACGTTCATATTAATTACAGGCTCCTGAAAATGTGCTGTTTAAATCCATTTTGTCTTTTTTTTTAGTTTTTAGATGAGTTTTCTTAAAAGTTTTTTGACAGTGTATGGTAATGTGTGCCTTGTGCCACCATGGTAACTACATGTAGAAAACCCTCAGCGTGATGTTGCTGCAAAGTATCAATATAATGGAGATTCTATAGTGTTGTGAGGTCATGTGAACCAAAACTGTTGGTATCAGATGGGGAGCCAAAAGTAACATCTTATTTAAAGTGCACTACATAACTTGTCTTTTCGAGGATTCACCACCTGCTTGTGTCCATGCCTGAAATGTTCCACAGTAAAGAATTAAACCTGATATTTCCATGGAGACAAGCGGTTGACAGCACCAGGCCAAGTTACAGGTCATATCTGTGAAAAGTCGTCACCCTCACCACATGAATTCTTAGTATTATTGAGCAGTAACAACACTTGAATAGATGTAATATAGTTGAGATTATTAGAAAAGTTACACAGTGTACCTTTTTAAAGTACAACAAAAACACAAATGGTAAATACGGTTATTTGTTTGTTTTGTAGTTGGAGGAGATCAGGAACATTGGGTCGCTGCCTTGTCTGGAGAAGCTGAACCTGACAGACAATCCCATGTGCATCATCCCAGATTACAGGACCAAAGTGCTGGCTCAATTTGGGGACAGAGCGGCAGAGGTAGCACAAGTTTATTTCACAGGATTAATACATAAGATAAACCTTTAATTGTTCACTATGGGGAAAGTACTGTGTTGCAACGCAAAGTTCAAGCAGTAGAATAGGAAGCATGCAATCACAATCAAGATAAATAACCATTATGTGAACTCGATAAGTTACATTACACTTGATTGCTTAAAGCTATATTATCTGTTAATGTGCAGCCTACCCTTTTACTGAACAAAATAAAAAAAATAAAATATTATATATTATATATATGATGATATTATATTTATGGTTGTGTTGTCATGTTCCAGGTTTGTTTAGATGGAACAACTACGACAGAAAAGGAGCTAGACACGGTGGAGGTGCTAAAAGCCATTCAGAAAGCCAAAGAAATGAAAGACCGCAAAAGCAACGGCAGTAGCACAGAAAAAAAGGTACAGCCCATAGTGGATTTACTTAAAAATAAAATTCTACACAAGTGTGTGTAATGTTAATAGACAGCTTGTTTGATAATTTCTGTTAATTCTCCCAATTCAGTAATGACTTCCTTCACTTCTTATCTTGCAATAAAATCTTTGCTATAGATGTAAACCACTGCCTGCATATAAATGTGGACAAACAATATAACACTTCTGAATAAAGTTAAATTAAACTCATTTGATCCAATTGCAGTTGTTATTGCAATAATTTCGTACATTAAATGGGTGTTCTTAAATATCCTTGTCCATGTTTATATGCTGTGTGTGGTTCTGCTGAGTTTAGTGCAGATTTTCTGATGTGTGTTTCTCTTGTTTGTTCCTGTCTCTCCTCTTCTCTGTGGCCAGCTGCCGGCCCTCCCCAGCCAAGGTAATCATGTATGTATCAGGCTGTGTGGGGCAAAGGGATCGGGAGCTCTGGGGCAGCAGTCACATGGGAACAGATACAATTGGATTTTGAGCATTCTGAATACAAATGAGCCTTTCAGAACAATTAAATCATTAAATCAATTCACTCTGCAGACAACACACTTGTGATCTGTGGTCTTTACTCTCACAGCCACAGCTGACCTGTGGGAGACTACAGCTCTGACCAACACAGACCTGTGCCTCGGACAGTGCAATCTGTTAGTGGGTCTCAGACATGAACTGTTGTAAACCACATCTGCAAAGTGCACTCACTTGATGCTATTTGATATTGTTCCACCCCAGGTGTGTGGAAACCAACTGTGTTAGATATATCTGATTCTTGTTTTGTCTTATTAATCTGATAATAATTAATCTTAACATGTGGCTGCTGCGTTCAGAAAACATTTTCTCTCATTGTAATTGTATTTTATAGGGGTGTCAAATTATCGTGTTAATTGCGATTAATTAATTACAATCATATTTAGCGCGTTATGTTTTTTAATCGCGTTAATCTCATTTTTAATCTCTAACTTTACTGTTTCTGTATGCGAGTTGCTTTATTATAAAATCAGTTTTTATACACACACAAAAAAAAACACATTTATAAATTTTTTTATCTCGGTAATTCCACTCATTGCCGGAAACCCACACAAAACGCGCGCAGTAAGAGTGATGTAAACGTCATGTTAATGTTGGCGGCGTCAATCGCACAATGGACGAGGTCGTAGAGCCAGTAGAACAGAGGCAGCAGTGCACAGGCAAAAACGCATTCGTGTCTTGGAAATTATTCTTCCGACGTGAAATATAAAAGAAAATAACAAATATAAAATCGCCTACAACTTAAATGTCACTGGTGAAAACAACCTGCATAGGCTCATGATGTCTGCACTACTGTCCTATAGTGACCTGCCACATGAGGGGACACGCACACAAACACACACAAACAAACACACACCTTCATCATCGTCATCGAGCTGAGAACGCGCGGACCACGTTTCCTTCCGTAGACACTGCGTGGACACCGACGTGCTCCCGTGAGCCGCGTGTGGATCGTGTTTTCTCGCGTACGCTGCGTAAACCGCGCTTCCTCCTGTGCGCCTCTAAACTAGAACTAACAGCAAGACTAAAACCAGGACTAAACCAGGACTAAACCAGAACTAAAACCAGAACTAAAACCAGGTCTAAACCAGGTCTAAACCAGGACTAAACCAGAACTAACACCAGGACTAAAAGCAGGACTAAACCAGAACTAACACCAGGACTAAAACCAGGACTAACCCTTTCCAGGACTAAACTAAGACTAAACTAGGACTAAAGCAGGTCTAAACCAGGACTAAAACAAGGACTAAAACCAGTGATCTCATATATAAAGCATTTCTCTATCAATAATATTTTTAATATGGTTAAGGAAAGACTGGACTTTTTATTGTCTTTAAGTAGACAAAAGTTATTATGTTCAGATTTCCTCATCTTTGCTACTTTACAGCAAACAGTTTCTTATTCATGGAGACTTGGGCTCAACAGCCAAATTGGAGAGATTTGTTAAACAATAAATGACTTTATAAAGTCACTTTTTTTAATCTATATCAATCTTTTGATCTGCACAATAATGTAATAATGAATTTAAATGAAAATACCTCAAATTGAAGGCTTTTCTCAGCAATTTTTAGGTGAGATTAAAATTAGATTAATTAGATTAATTAATTACAGATCATAATTAATTAATCTCTCAATTTTTTTTATCGCATGACAGCACTAGTATTTTATTTATATGGTTTCTCATTGTCATATATAGTTGTTGTTACTACCATGTCCTTCCTGATGTGAGTTCAGACAGTTTTGGCCTCAGACAGTTGTGACAGATGGTTTTGTTTCCCGTTTTCAGAGGTAACGAGCAGCAGAGAGGAGACAGCGGTGGCTCCCAGTGTTCTGCCCAAAATGAACGCCACTCTTTCATCCAACATCTCCAAAGTCCACACTGCCCCTGCTCCTGCTGCTGTGGACGAGGTCTGCACCAAACACCCACACCACTTTTAAGTAGACTTTAGATTTTCTACCAGAGGCTGAGTCCAGTACTGGACAAGGAATATGATAAATCCTTTCCTTCTAGCTGTGACTCCTCGTAATTGTGTCATTTCTGGCACAAAGAGCAAGTGACCTGGACATTATTTTTCTGACAAGCATTGAGACTGCAATTGATTTCTGATTTACGTTAGAATTCTGTTCATTTTAAACATTTCCAGAAGAAGTGACAAAACACTGAAATATGAAGTGTCAAACGAATACAAGAGTCACATTTCAGAGCATGTTTGTACAGATCAAAAATACAGGAGTGGCAAGTCTAATTTGTACCAGATTTTAGGTGCAAGAAATTATGTTACTTCCAAATTTATGATTGCCAAATTTGTTCAAATTGTGATTTGGGAAGCACAAAAGGTTATCCACCATATTCTGCCTCTCTAAATGCTCCTAAATCATACGTTTTTGTGGCGGCATCTTAAGTATGACATAAAGTTGGTTCATTTGTGTAAAATGTTCATTGGTCATGTGCACCAACAACTCAACACTGCACTGATTTTCTGGGGGTCTTTCAAATGGCTTTATCATTAATATTTAACTTATTTAGCGTCAAGATCAGCAGCCCCATACAAAATAGGACATGAAGACTAGTGACTTCTGTTTTCACATAGCTGTGTGTGTGTGTTTGTGTGCAATGCTTTCCCTGTTATAATAATAAGGCCTTTCACTAGTCATTATTCATTCACTCTGTAGTCAGTGGTGTTTATCTACTACTGTAGCCATAGCTGCCCTTGCATAGATTGACTGTGTGTCTTGGTTACAGGACAGAATCAATCCTTCAGAATTTGGGTTGAGGGACCTCTGCTCCAACCACTGAGCCCCTGATGCCCTAATGTCATTGGTCAAAAAGTTAACCAATGATTTCTCTTATGTGTTTTCAGGTTCAAACTCAGGGTGAACACTGCGGAGCTCCCTCTGCTCCTGTCTGGTCAGTCTTACTTCTGTCACAAAATCTTTCACAATCTTTATATGTAAGTAAAAAAAAATATTTTTGTGTAACTTTTTTCTCCTCAGCTGCTTCTGCTTGCCCCCCACCCCTCACACAGCGCCCTCCTGTTTCTTCTGCAGTGCAACCTTCTGTCCACTGCTGCCCTCTCAGCTTTTCTCTCTCTGTGCACACAAAGACTTCATTTCCCAGCTGCATTTGCATCTCAGCTCTGCTCTGAATGAGGACATCGGAGGGAAGGAGGCAGAGCTACAGAGGGAGGAGGAGGAGCCAAACGTTCAACATGAAAAAACTGAGCTCAATAAATCAAGGTCAGATATTTAAAAAGCTCTTGGGGTCAAAATAAGGCTACAGTGTTCTGTCTGCATCAAATTATAAAGTGTTTTTTTGTTCAAAAATCAAGAAGTGCATGTTTAACATGCTACATAGACTTTGCTCTTCCAACTTCTTACTACTACTCACCATGTGTTGTGTTGATCTCTCCAGTCCAGGCTCAAGGGACGGATATTTTGAGATGGGGTTGGACGATTCATTGGAGGAGTCGTCTTCCACCTCACTTCCTGTCCCCGCCCCCTCACTTCCTGTGGAGGAGGAGGTCCAACAGGGGGCGCTGCGTGAGCAGGTGGAGGTGCGTAAGGCCGTCTGGTGCATCTGCCTCGAGTTAATTAGCGAAGAAGGAGAGATGCAGCTGAACACGGTCTGTTTGGTGGTGACTGAGCGGATTCTAGGGCTTTTCTTCCTGTCACATGACTTCAGTCTCACCAATCAGGACACAGGTAGGACGCCTTCCAAAATAGACAAATACAGAAGCATTACTATTAAATAAACTTAGATAAACAGTAATTAACAGCAATTAGAATAGACTAGAACTGTAATGCTCTCATCTGAAACTCACTGTGTACTTCTCTCTGGTTCAGACCTCAGTGTCCTGCTGCCTCGGCTGATCTCCTCTCTGCAGAAGCCTCTCCTCCTCCCTCTCTCAGATCTCCAGCTCAGCTCAGACCAGGACCAGACCTGCCTCCAACTCCGGTCCAAGTCCTCTGACACTCTGTGGGTCCTGTTTTCTGATCAGAAAGAGCTGCGATCAATCAGAGCTGAGCTGACCCAACTCCTAAATGTGAGTAGCCCAGTTGGTAGAGGATTTCACCTTCTGACCCAGGGGTCTCCAACATTTTTCATCCAGTGAGCTACTATAACAAAAATGAAAATGCCAGAGAGCTACCAATTTTAGCAGAAATTTTGTTTAGCAAGAAATTAATAGTAGTAGAGTAAATATAAGGCAAGCTTTAGATGCCATATTAGTGTTATTAGTGCGTCGGCGTTAAAATGATACATTTACAATGGCAGTAGACATTCAATTCTAGTTACTTAAAAAAAATACATATAATTCAGAAATCCGTTAGTGAGCTATTTGGAAGGAAGTTCAGAGCTACTTCTACTTCTTCTAGCTCCCAAGCTACACAAGTTGTGATGTGAGAAATCATAGTTTTTTGGTAGTTCAAGGACTATCACTTGGAACTCCAGCTCGATAAAACGTTCCCGGATGAAAGGAGCTTGGCTCGTAATTAAGATGTGCTGGCCAAGAACATTGGTCATGATTTTGTTTTTAAGGCAGTAGGTTATGCGCTTTTACATGATAACAAACAACGGGATTGGTGGGAGGGGGGTCAGGTAGGATTTGATAATGAGAGATGCTAGGTCTCATCCAAATACTCTAACGCCCCTCTTTGTAAACATCAATTCTAGTTTTGCCCTGTTATTTCAGATGGAACCCGTGAGTCTCAGTGACTCCATCTCAGGTCTGCCCTCATCTCTGCTGAACTCTTGGGAGCTGGAGGAGTCACGTTCAGCAGAGGGAGGTTTTACAGCTCTGCTCTTCCTCCTCTCCTCCTCCTCCTCCGAGCTCCACCCTCTTCTATGTGACCTCTTGAGCCCAGCGCCTCTTCTACCCTTCCGGCTCTTCCTCTCTCACAGACAGCTGTACGTCTGGGTCCCGGACTACAGAGACCGGACTGGACCAGGTCTACAGCAGTCCGGGTCTCGGCTGGTCCGGTTTCCTCTGGGTTCAGTCGTGGTTTACAGGAGCGATCAGAGCAGCTGCTGTGACAGTCCACAGCACAGACTGAGGTGGGTGCATAGGCTTGTCCAGATTCACAAGTTTTAAGTAGTGGGACAGAAGATACAGAATAACAATGTTGAGGACTACTTACACTAACTACCGTATTTTCCGGGCTATTGGGCGCATTCATAAGCCTCCAACCCCATCAAAAAACAACTGCGTGCCCCGCAATCCAGAGTGCCCCATACATGAATCCACTCTGGTGTTCCAGCACGACTTCAGTAAACTACAAAGCCGCACCACCCACAGCGCACGCGAACATGCACAGAGCAGACAGCGACCACGAAGCGAAAAACACTCGCAGCCACACTCATCACTCCACGCCGACGAGGAACTGAACGGACGAACAAAAACAGAGTCCAACGTGCCACTTTTAGACACAACTGAACAACTGAGTCACTGCAAACATGCCAACAATCCAGTGGTCCCAGACAACACCCTCCCTACACACCACAACTGAACAAAGACCAGAGTCACCGTGAGTGCACCAAACAAAGTCCCACTGACCCATCTAACTGTTCTGTTTCGTTTAATGTCCAGTGCAGTTTATTTTGTAAAAAAAAAAAGTTAAAAAACAGACCATTCTGTGACAGTGCGTCTTATAATCCAGAGCGCCTAATAGTGCGGAAAATACGGTACACTGCTACACAGACACAACAACCCTAAAGTCCAGTAAACCCCTTTCTAAATGCTTTATAATGTAAATAAAACATGAGTTTAAGATCACCTATTACACTATTTTCTGATCTATGTTCTAATGTTGCTTCCTCATCAAAAACATACCTGGAGTTGTGTTTTTGTTTCATTCACACAAATTCTGCATATTTAGGCTGAGTTCTTTTTTCAAACTGAAAACACTCCCCCTTATTGTACTAAAAGGAAAAGGTATCTGTTAACTTGGAAATGATAAAGTAAAACAGAGCATTTCGAGCTTTGGAGATTAAGACAGACTAATAATAAAGGATTACTCCTTTTATTATTACTAATATTATTACGTTATGAGCTCACCAGGGCTTGTTGTTGCAGGTGGAATAACAGTGTGGAGCTGCTGCTGTGTGGACAGAGGCTGCTGCTGCTCTTCCCTCTTCCCCAGGACTGCGCCTCGTTCCTGGCGAAGCTCAGCCTTAGACGGGCCTCTCTGGAGGGGGTCCGGATGATCGCTCTGCCACAGATCCGGGCTCCCAGAAACCAGCAGGGTAAGAATCAGCTGCAGTTTATCAGGCTGGAGGAGTTCAAATGCATCCTTTCTTATTTTACTTTTTTTGGAGTTGTGTTTTCATTTATACATGTTTAATTCGCAAATCCTGCATATTTCTTGAGTTCTTCTCTCAAATGGAAAACACTCTGTTCCACCTTGTGATGTCATGTGGTAATACAGGAAGCGCTCCACTGTTTTGAAACATGCACCATCACTACAATCATTTGGATAATTTCAGTCATGGAATTGCCTTTCTCTACTGAAATAAAGGTACAAGGTAGCTGTTAACCTGAAAACTACTGCTTGACTACATCACAAGGTGGAGCATTTTGAGCTTTGGAGACGTTTACTCAAACATGCGTGAATGAGCTCACAAGAATCAATGCTGTGTAATAATATAGGCGATTTAATCTGTATTTTTGTTTCTAGGTGGTCTCCGATCCAGAGAGCAGTGCTGTTGTTCCTGGACTAGCCATAGTGACAGGTAAGGCACAAAACTAACCACAACAAAAGAAATTTACACCATTATTCTAGTTTTGTTAATTACTTTTACTTAGATTTCATTTTAACATTTTATTCATGAACCAAATAGAAACCTGAGCCATATGTTGTGTAATGCATTAATCATCCCATATAACCTTGTAACAAACTAGGGGTGTGCAAAAATATCGGAATATCGATATATCATATCGTTTAATGTGATGATACAGTATCGATATCGTGGGCTACTGTATCGATATATCACCAAGAGTATTTTTAGGTGTGTTTTACAAAATTATTTTGTTACAGAGCTACAGTTTTGTTCCTTGTGGAGTGAAAGGAAACTCATTTATGCGACACATTTGATATTTTTATTGTTTTGATGATTAAAATGTTTGTGTTTCATATGAACTTTGCACAAGAAGCGGTTTAACAAAGACTTTTAGTGTCACAGCCATGATTTAGCCTTTATTTTTTATTGAACCGTATCGAATCAATTTGAAATATATCATATCGAATCGAAAGTGCACTGTATCGAGATATGTATCGTATTGTGGCCTGTGTATCGAGGTATGTATCGTATCAGCAACTTCTTAATGATACCCAGCCCTATAACAAACAATGATAATATTTTAATTATTTGAATGGCATTGAACACACCGGTATTTTTTATAATTTTTTTTCATAGATTCTCTTATTTCATTTTATAGTGTATTTTGTTGAATGTGGTACTTGGGTTTTATGGCTTAGTAATATATACCCTGTGGATCAATGTAGACAAACAAAAAAATTTACCATTCATTTGTACTTTTTGGGCTGAAAAATAGTAATTTGCATTTTTTTTCTCCTCAGTTTGTCACTTTCTGTTTCACTGGAAGAGACCCAGCCCTCCCCCCACCTCGCACCAGGGCTCTCCCCAGGACTGAAGCTCCTCTCTGGGCTCAGCTCTCAACAGCTGCAGCCTCTCTTCCACAAACATGTTGCTCTGGTAACACATCACCACTTTTTTGTTTCTTTGTTGTTGTTTTAATATTAGTCATTCTCAAATCGTAGTTCAGTGTGTTTTTTTTTTTTTTTTTCGGGGGGCTTCTCCAATGGCTGATGAATTTTTTATTTAAAAAACTGCAGTATTCCTACTTACTATGCTATTTAAGTAAGTTTAAACCTTCTTTTTCGAGGTTGTTCCAGTCCTAGACCTTTGCATTGCCCTGGTTTGTACTTGATCTGTATTCTCATCCCTGTCTCCTCTCTGTATTTCAGACTGACGGTGAGGAGCTGAGGCAGGTCATGTGGTTGTCTGTGGTCCTTTACAAATCTCCTGAGGTTGAACTCAGCTGTTTGCTGCTGCTCTCCTCCAACGCCATCTACTTCCTGTTAGAAGACTCTGCCTCCTCGCTTGGCCCGCCCTCAGGTACTGTCTGTGTACCTGAGGGTGGGTTTTCTTTAGTACCGTGTTTAAACGGCAATCAGCAAGTCATATTCTGTCCACTTGCAGTGAATCAGGTTTCATATCCTGGTTGTGATGTTATTAACATACCAGTTTATATGTGTGTGTGGAGAAGTTCTGAGCAGCTCCCTCAGCTAAAGAACTAAAATGTTCTAAAAAATCTGCGGTTTATTAAAATATAAATCACATATGTAAGTTTTATGGAATTACAATTTGTCCTTTCCATGTTAACTGCTTACTGCTTACAAAGACGAGTGGATCTGGAGCTGTATCCTGTCTCCCTTATTTCAGAAGGCGTGATTGACAGGCAGATTAGCCAATCAGAGACACATGCTCCATTCGCGTCAAAAACAAAAGCTTTACATGTGAAATAGGGAAAAAAAATAACACGGAGGATTGAGAAACAGCATGGATTTTAACACAATCAACAATCGAAGCATCAAACTATTATGTATTTAAAGTAAAAGAAGTTATATTTTGACTGATATGAGTATTTTGGAGAGGAGATCTGCGTTTGAGAGACACATGCTACAAATTAGCAGCTGTGATTGGACCGCGGCTGTTCATGCTCTATGGTGGAAAACCTGGAAAATAATTGGAAAATGTAGAGAACTGATTTCCCTGCTCACAGTCTCTTTCTACTCTTGGATCGCCATGTTGGTAAATAGTTAATTGTTGATATAAGTGCTGTTTTCTTCTCAGATCTGGAGGTGCTGGAGTGTTCAGACCCCTCTGTGTGCCTGTGCTGCTGCCTCTCCGTGCCTCTGTCCCACATTCAGTCTGTAAACGTGGGGTTGTTTGACCAGTACTTCAGGATCCTAGGTCTGTGCCTGGATTTGGTTTAGATATGGTTTAGTCTTGGTTTAGTTCTGGTTTAGTGCTCATATACAGTTGGTTTAGTCCTGGTTTCACTGTCTGTCCTTTTTCCGCTTTACTTTTTTTTTCTTTTTTTTTTACCATATTTGCACAGTGCTGTATTTATGGTATTATCTTTATTTTTGACTGTCATATTTTTATTTACCTGTTTTTGTGATTAATAACTATAATTATTGCACTGATCCACATGAAACAAAAACAGACACAAAGTTCAACAACACACACAAATGAGTTTTTTGTTATACGATTTTATAAAAAGGTGCACTGTGTAACTTTTCTGGTCCGTCACTTGCTTGTCTCCATGGAGATATTATTGCTTTTCCTGGAATGTGACACAGTATGGCACTAAACATCTATCCAGCATTTATTTTATTTTAGGGTCTTTTTAATTGGAATATATACCATAAACACATGCATTCCTGCTGCTACTGGGGTCACCTCTTCACAGATCTGACCTGTAACTTGTCCTGGTGACGTTTCCATGGAGATAAATAAGTTTATTGCCATACTGTTGCAGAACAATCCAGCCCAAAGCAATAACATACAAGAATACAAGAAGGTAGTGGACCCTCTACCACACAGGTGTCAAACATACGGCCCGGGGGCCGGATCCGGCCCTCCAAGACCTTTAATCTGGCCTTTGGCTGATTTTCTACTAAAATATTTTAATATATTTTCTATTAAAATATTGGTAATTTTCTGCGGTGCTGAGCATAGCAGCGTCTCCAGTGCCTCTGTACGTGGCCCCTCCCACCAGAGCAGCACAAATGAAGACTTGTCTCTTTCCAAACGCTCTTAAAGGACCATCGTTTTGACTGTTGATCGTGACACCCTCATCAGCAAAATGTCAAAAATGAGAAAAGTGGACGCGGAGTGCAGGATTTTCCAAGAAAAATTTACTTATTCCTATTTACATACAAGTTCATGTTAAAACATTGTGCTGAAATTGCATTTTTCTTAAAGTTTCAGGTTGTTCAGAATATTATAATATTTTGTAAAAGAGTTCATCAGTTAAAAAAGATTTCTGTAATAGATTTGCATTTCTCTGCACAAATATTTGAACTTATTGCTATTTTTGGGGTTTATATGCCATGAGTTTTCTGATCCGGCCCTTTGAGATCAAAGTAGGTTGGATACGGCCTCCGGACTAAAATGAGTTTGACACCCCTGCTCTACCAGTAAAGTTACGCAGTGCACCTTTAAAATGTGGTGGCAATACTTGGTCACTCATTTGAAAGGACAAGATCAGTATGGGAATTTTGTGTACCCAATTCCTAAGACATAGTGATGTGGTTCAATATTTGGGGAGTTTCTGAGTAGACTATTCATTAAGAATCTTCTAATGCTTCCATATTATCCTTAATCAGACGTCATATGTTTTAGATCTGTTCTTTTTCCTCTCCTGTTTGCAGGGAGCAATGGGGACCAGGTCGTGTGCTGCTTAAGCCGGGACTCCTATGGCACAGGGCAGTTTCTTCAAGAGTTGATGTCGGTCCTGAGTCTCCAGCAGAGGGCGCCACCTCCAGAGCCCTCGGAGCAGGACTTCTACTCCCAGTTCAACTCCTCAGGTCCAGATGTGTTAACTAATCATCATAATAGACACTGCGCAGAGATTAAGATAATCTAAATACTACTCTGGTTCTTTGGGACCTTAAAATGTTGCTGCTTTAACTTTTTATATGAACTGAAAAGTTAGTTTAGACACATGACATGACAGACCTTTTTTTTTGTTTGTTTGTTTATTTGCCTGTCGGTCTCACCCCATTTAATCACTAGGAGACATTACTAATATAATATTTGTATAAAATAGGTTTAAAGTATTGAAAAGGTTACCAGAGCAGCAGTTTAACATCCTGTTCTTGACTCCCCCTGCAGGTAAAATGCAGAACTACGAGCTGGTCCACAGCCGAGTGAAGTTCATCTACCCCAGTGAAGAGGAGATGGGAGATCTGACTTTTATCGTGGCCGAGAGGAAGAACAGCTGTGCCTCTTCCTCGCATAGCTTCAACATCCTCCTCTACCTCCTTGTGTTTCAGGTACAGCTGGTTTAGTCCTTGTTCAATATTTAATACTAGCTAGACAGGATATCTTGGTGTTTTATTGTACTTTTTGTATGTATCATGTTATCTGTATATCTGTTTGTTTGGTTTTTTGTTGTTGTTGTTGTTGTTGTTGTTTTGTTTTACTTTTATGTGAAGCACTTTGGTCAGCCGAAGTAGTTTTAAATGTGCGATATTAAAAGAACTTGAATTGAATTTACTCATGATTATAGTGTAGTCCAGGCTTAGTTCTTGTTTCTTAGTCCTGGTCTAGATCTGAGCTGGATCTTGCTTAACCCATCTCAAGTCCTACTGTAATGCGGGTTGTCTTTAATGTCTCACAAAGCACTTTAAATTACTTTGTGTACAAATAAACTTGCCTTGCTTTGGTTTAGTCTTTGTGGAGAAGACCTTTTAATCCCAATGTAGTCTTGATTTTGCCCCTTTAATCGTAATTAATCCTAGTTCAATCCTGGTTTAGTCCTTGCTTAGTCTTGGTTTTAGTCTTGGTTTTAGTCTTGGTTTTAGTCTTGTTATTAGTCCTGGTTTAGTCTTGGTTTTAGTCTTGGGATTTTAGTTTAGTCTTGAGTTTAGTCCTGGTTTTAGTCCTGGTTTTAGTCCTAGTTTAGTCCTGGTTTAATCCTGGTTTAGTCCTGTTTTGGTCCTGGTTTTCAGTGCTGTATTAGTTAAACTTCTTCTGTTAAATTGTTCTTATATTATATTGAACAATTGCATTTTTAGTCAAGTTTACTTTTAAATTTTTTTCATTTCACGTCTATTTGGGAAAAAATAAACATTATAAAACCTTGCTTAATTTGACCACTTGTTTTGTTGTGTGTGGTTCAGGTGTTACCTCAGAGCTCCACCCCCTCTGGTTCTGGACCTGCCCCCTCAAGCTCCTCTGGTCCAATCCTGCAGCCTCGGACTCTGATCCTGACCAGCACAGACGTGTTTCTACTGGACGAGGACTACGTCAGTTACCCTCTGCCTGACTTCGCCAAAGAACCGCCATCCAGGTGAGGTTTAAAGGTCCTATATTACACAACATTTACTTTTGAGAGCTTTAAGCCATGTAAGAATGTTGTTACCTCCTCAAAAAGACCCAGAGTTGTGTTTTTTGTTTCATTCACACATGTTTGTGTCATCCTTCATTATTAGTCTGTCGACATCTCCAAATTTTAAAATGCTCTGCTCCACGTTGTGATGTAGTGTTAAGGCCAATTTACGGTCCAGCGTCAAATCGTAGAGAGTCTGCGTCGACGCGAACTCCCTATGCAGGGCCTCTGTGTCGACCAACGTGCACTTCCGAAATTTTCTAACTACGCGTCAAAACGACGCAGATAATAAGAGCTGTGATTGATCCTCCGTACCACCGCTTTGTATACATTTCCTGTCGACTTTTCTTTCTTTCAGTATATATTGATAAATAATGTGTTTAATGCAGCTTTGCGCATGTGTGTTTACCTTTTACAAAAACAAAACTTAAAACTGCATGGCTAACTTACATAAACAAAGCGCTCATAAAACAGCTCGCTTCTGGTACGCAGTCAGCTTCTCTCGGACTTAAAAAGGACACGACTCAGTGGAATATGAGTGTTCTTTCTGTGACAGAGTCACATTGTACTAATGGTGAGTCTGTTCTGTGCTTTTGTCGCGTTAGAGATGGTTCATGTTAAACTTTTCAGAGATTATACGTCTGCGGGTCATACACACAGACCGTATATATGAATGGACAGATATCGTCACCCCCTAGTGTTTTGGCAGTGAATTACTTCACGGTGCACAGACCTCGACGCAGATCCATAAATCAAAAACGACAGCGACAAGGCAACGGCGGCAGTGCGCGTTGAGTCAACGCAGAACTATACTTCAGCCTTTAGTTTTCAAGTTAATAGCTACCTTATACTTTATACCTTGTATTCAGTAGTGATTGGCAGTTCTAGGGCTGAAATCATTCAGTAATTCTAGTGAAGGTGTATGGAGTTTAAAAACACAGTGGAGCACTTCCTGTATTATGACATGACATCACAACGTGGAACAAAGTGTTTTCTGTTTAAGAGAAGAACTTGGCCTAAATATGCAGGGTTTGTATGTTAAACATGTGTGGGTGAAACAAAACACAACTCCAGGTCTGTTTGTGATGAGGAAACGGCATTATAACATAGATCAGAAAATAGCATAATATGTGCGCTTTAAAACCAACTTTAGACACAGTTTACACCTGGTTTGATCCTGGTTTAAGGCCTGGTTTAATTTGATCCAAGTTGAGTCAAATTTCACTACTTGTCTAATCTGCAGTAGCACTTTTATCCCCATTTCAAAAAGTAGAGCTGTGCAATTGACCTGTCATTTGTAAATATCAGTGATACGCTTCGGTCTTTTTAAGTAAGAGGTCTACAGCCAACCCTGGAGCAGAGTTCAGACGTTGGAGAAAGAAATTGTAATATTTTATTTTAAATGACAATTATTAACTATGTATTTGTATTTGTTTTTAAGGCAAGGCAGGGCAAGTTTATTTGTAGAGCACAATTTGTACACAAAGTAATTCAAAGTGCTTTACAGAATAAGAAATACATTAAAATCACAATAAAAACAAATCAAAACATAAATAATCATCATAAAATTAAAGATTAAAATTAGAAAAGAGAGAGAGAGACATTAATGACATAAATTAGAGAGAAGAACCTTTCAGTCATGTGCACAGTTAAACAGAACCGTTTTGAGTCTGGATTTAAACAGTCAAAGTCGAGTCTGTCTCACATGTTCAGACTGTTCCAGGTTTTATCTGCGTGAACCTGAAACTCTGACTCCTCATGTTTAGTCGTGACTCTGGGCACCAGCAAGAGGCAGAGCTGCTTTAAAGTCTATTCTCTGAGCCACAGGAGCCAGTGCAGAGACCTGAGTACAGGACGCATGTGCTCGTACTTCTTAATTCGAGGCAGGACCCGAGCTGCAGCGTTCTGGATGTACTGCAGCGTCTCACAGCTCGTTTGGAGAGACCAGTGAACAATAATACAAAATGAAATTGATGATTGACCAGTTTGAGGAAATACGATTTTGTGTGTGTTTTTGAATTTATCCAGCCTTACTAAAATGTACAGTTTATAATCTCAGGACTAAATCAAATTGTAGTTTTTTGTACTAATCTGATATGAGCCAGTTGTTTACTTTTGGCCTAGTTGTTTTTAGTTCAACAAACCAACTGAGCCAAATTTTTAAACTTCGCATTAGAGATGTAACGATATCCAAATCTCTCGGCACGATATTATCACGATATGTATCTCATGGATGTAGGATATTTATTGCGATATTTTGGCTGATATAATTGTAGATGGGACACTTTTTTGCTTTTAAAATACCCTGACAAGATTTTGGTTTGTATTATTACTGTCATAATCCCAAGAATTCAAGTAAAAAGCATATTACTTCTGTTGTCTCTGCTGAAATGAATCATGGGATATGAAGTTCCTGATGTTTATTAGCTATTGCAGCTGTAAAACCATGCCTTTAAGCAAACAAACTTGTAATTCGATATATTGTGACAGCCCACGATATTATTGTGAGACTTTTGACGATACGATATCACGATATTTCAGTTATTGTTACATCCCTACTTCCTACAAGTGTCTTAAACCTCCTCAAAACTCGTCATATTCTCATCAGCCTTGTTATTTTCATTTTATCTTCTAGGGAGCGCTACCATCTTCGCGAGGCCCGTCGTATCCGCGACCTGGACCGCGTTCTTTTGGGGTACCAGACTTACCCACAAGCTTTGACTCTGGTTTTCGATGAACTTCCTGGTCCGGACCTGCTTTGCCCCCTCTCAATGGACCACTTCTCTGCTCAGGCCACGCCCACAGAGCCAGTCACGCCTGCGCTGGGGGGCGGGGCCAGGTGTCCAGGGGGCGGAGCCTACTCTGGCGAGGTGCAGTGGTGCGTTTTTGTCCCTTCTGCAGACAGCAGGGAGAGGCTAATATCACTTTTGGCCCGACAGTGGGAGGTGTTATGCAGTAGGGAGCTTCCTGTTGAATTGACTGGATGAATGGGACTCAAAACGGACAAAAAAAATATATCTGTGGGGGCAGGTGTTGCTCCAGATGCCCTACCAGAGTTCCTTAATTATCTTCATACTCGGGGCTGAGTTCTTTGATGCTGTTGTGTATGATTACTACACAAGCAGAGCACAAAGGTAAAGTAGACGGACCACGTTTCAAGTCTGGGACATCTCTGGAAAAACATGGAAAAGTCGTGGATAAAAGTGAACAGCTAATATAAGACAGCAGAGAGTCAGTCAAGTTTGAGTTTCATCCAAGTTTCTACAGATCTACCTTGGAGCAGATTGGAGCGGCACCGTGAAGAGTGCACAGACCATCGAACATACCAAGTTTACGATTTACAGACTCACAACAAAGATTTTGTTTAGAATGTAACAAGCACAAAACAGGACTGTCTGTATTTCATAAAGCAAGTCTTTTTAAAGCAGTATTCACGCAGCTTATGTCTAATATATTGACTGCATTTAGGCCTGTCACTGTAATTACAATATCATTCAGTATATAGTTTCGACAATATATTTCGGAGCTGGGTACTTTTCCTTCGTAATAGTGGGGAATTTTTTTTTGCCATTTGTATGTAATGCGAGATTTGAGCTGTAGAGAGTGCTAATTTGTTTTTGTTTTTTTTAATGAAGCAGTAAATTTAAAAATGCTTTTCTGGGATGATCTTGCTTTGGGTTGGTGGCGTAAAGTAGTTTCAGTGTTATCGTTTATCACAGTATTTCTCTTTAGCTAAATATTTTGCTTCAAAATGTGTTATCGTGACAGGCCAAGCCGCATTTGCCTCTTCATCAACATTTCAGTCTAAAGCATTGTTTACCTTTATTTTAGTTCCCCTCAGCTTATCCAGGATTTTTTCACCATTTTGACAGTGAAGCTATTCTGAAAATGGAGAAATAAAGCCACCTTAAGATTGTTTTAAATAAGTAGGAAGTACTGCCTCACAGACTGATGTTATATGGAAACATGATCAGACCTCGTGACTCTCTGTAGATTCATATGTTGATTTGGCGCGTTTCTATTCATTTACACATGTTTGAGTAATCCTCTGTTATTAGTCTGTTTTCATCTCTAAATTTCAAAATGCTTTGTTCCACCTTGTGATGTCACGAAGCAGTAGTTTCCAAATTAACAGCTACATTTGGCCTTTTGTTCAGCAGAGATCAGCAATTCCAGGGCTGAAATCATCAAAATGATTCTAGTGAAGGTGTGTGGAGTTTCAAAACGCAGTGGCGCACTTACTACAAACGTATTACCTCGTGACATCACAAGGTGGAACAAAGTGTTTTCCATTTGAGAGAGGAAGTCAGCCTAAATATGCAGGTTTTGTGTGTTAAACAAGTGTGAATGAAACAAAACACAACTCTAGGTCTGTTTTTGATGAGGAAACAACATAATATGGGCCCTTAATCCAATGACAGAAGAAGCACCTAGTTATACATGTTAAATTCCACTATTGAACACCTTTTTCTAAACATTCAGCCATGTTTAAACCACTTCTGCCTAATGTGAACCTTTGCAACCACTATCAATGAGACGTTCAGTACAGACACTTTGTAAAAAATATGAAAATGGCAATACTACAACCAGGAGAAAGTGAACATTATTATTTTAAAACATCTTTCAAACCAAAATCTCTCCTTTTTGTAATTTTTAAACTAAAGCATTTCTATTCTGACTTATGAACTTTTCCTTGAAACTGTTTGTACATAACACGTATTATATTGTTCAGTTTTGTATGCAGGAGATTTACGTCCAAGTCTTTTATTGTTTTTGTACAGTACATGAGGAAATGACTGAAGATATTTATTATCTGTTTATTCCAATAAACAAATACTATTGATAATTTGCACAGACTTTTTCTTGTGGTTTTGGGAGACCTTTATTGATACTTTGCAGCTGATGTCCTGGGGGTGTGATGCTAACTTTAAGCATGCTCTGTCTGAGGCTTTGTTAGACTTTAATCTGACCAGAAAGAAGTTATTTTGTTAGAATTTCAACAGATGAGTTGGTTTGTGTTGCTGAATCTCAAATAGCATTACTTACAAGCTAGCTAGCATTATCCAACTGTTTTTTAGTTAGCCACTCTCACATTTTTGTTGAAAATCAAACATAAACTTGACCATGAACGCTCACAGGCTGCTGAAAATGTGAAATTTGAGGGCTTGTTTACACGAGAACGCTTGCGGGTAAAAACAACAAAATATTTTATTGGAAATGCCTTTCGTTTAGACGGTGACGACATTTATGGGGCTTAGAAACGCAAAAATCTGAAACCCAACCTCGAGAGTGGAAAACCTGAATGCGCTCCGCTGTACTGTAGCATTTCAGTCTACACAAAGCCCTGGGGTTTCAAAATGGCCGCCCACCCATTCAAGTCAATGGCCGAGCTCAATGGCGCATGATCCCAGATTAGCCTTGCCCCGTGAGGTACTTCCGGTGGCTGTGGGCCGATCAAGCATGCACAGTAGGCACACATGAATGCACACAAGCGCGAGCTTGTGCATCACGTGATTGTTTTGAACAAATGGAGCAAGAGGAACTAGAGCGGGACAGATTATAAAGAGTTTTTTTCAAGACAACTGAAGGGTTTTGAGCTGAGAAAAAGTTTATGATCTAAAAATAGGTAAAGATTGCCAACAAATCCAACATTTTTGAAAGATGTAGGTGCTCTGTCAGCCGAACACAAGCAGTTTGTGATTAAATCCTCTCTCAGCCCATGGGATTTTTTTCAGATGAAGTCCCAGTGAGTGACCACTACGTCAATTGGAGGCAGCTACAAGCAGCAGCACCCTGTCCAGTTATTTTAATAGATTCATGGTTTACACTGCCCAAGATGCAAAACTCTGGTCAGATCTGCTCACGTCTCGTACGTGTTTATGTCATACATACAGTACACAGAAACAAACATGTCGGATGGCATACATACCCAATCAAATTCCACACACTTTTGTGTCACCGTATGCACGCACATTCCTTCCCGAAAGCACTCATCTAAATGCGGAATAAACAGTGAAGACTCGACACCATTTCATTTAAATGTAGCCCAAATCCATTTTTAATTTTGTCTTCAGTTTTCAGACTTAGATCTTAAAACTTTTTCATCTGTGTTTGCTTATGTGTGCATTGTGTCTTTGTGGTAACTGGTGAACATTCCGCCAATGCATCCAGATGTAGAACACCCCCGCTTAATGTCACTGCAGAGTATCAATAGACCCAGGATCCAATTTGTGCGACTTGTCCCTGGAACCATCCTTCTAACAGTGCACTGACAGTTTTTGAAAACATTTTGACCAAAGCTGGACTCAGCAGTTAGTTTGTGATGCGTTGGCACTTCACTAACACCTTTCTGCTTCCTGTCTGCGTGACCTCACTTCCTGTTCATGTCAGATATTACCACAGGGATCAGCAAAAACTATAGGAATGCTCCAGGTCAGCGGAAAACTGGGAATAGACAAAAGGTAACTGGAATGTACAATAATTTAGGTAAAAAAAAAAAAAACATGCTACATTTTCAGGTGAAGTGTCTCTTGATGTCCACACTCATGACTAATAATAATGTTTTCAATTTATATATCACCTTTCAAATTCAAAACACTTTCGGTTGCAAAATAAATCCACTACACAGTCTGTGATGGTAAACTTAAGACAGATCTTAACAGAAGACAGAGCTTAGAGGGAAGACGATGGAGGCGAGATTGCCAATTACCATTTTACACACCAGTCAAGACACAATGACCATCTGATCCAAAATTGGAGTAGAACTACCAACCTTCTGACTTGTGGGTCAACACTCAAACCACTGAGCCAAAGGCAAAGTGTGTCTCTCTCATTTCCCATGTTCCTGTCAGCCCCTAAATGCTCTGCCTGCCTGATGCAGCGTTTTCTGTGTTTTATCGTTTTCCTTTCATTGTTCTTAAACCTGACCTCTGATCTTCACTCATCAAACAGGAAGTGTCAGACAGCTGATCAGAACTAGAACCCCATTCAAGTTTAGTTCTGGTTCAGTGTTGTCGCATTACGTACCTCCTCCAGTCTAACTGACTACAGAAAATGTTGCTTTCTTTAGTTTATACCTCTAAAGCTGCAATGTTTATTTTTCATCTTCAGATCCACTTCCAGTGTTGGGAAGGTGACTTTTAAAATGTATCCCCCTACAGATTACAGATTACATACCCCAAAATGTAGTTTGTAATGTAATCCATTAAATTACTTAAAGTGAGTAACATAATCTGTATGCTTTGGATTACCTGATCTTGTCATGCTCTTTAAAACTACATGAATGTACCAACCACATCTTTTTTGTTCTCTTCACACTGGCTGTTGAGCCCAAGTCTCCATGCAGAGGCTTTTGTTTGCTGTAGAGAAGCAAAGACGAGGATCTTAACATGAGATGTTTTGTCTGCTAAAAGACAATCAAAAGCCCAGTCTTTATTTAACCAGATTAAAAATGTTATTGATAGAGAAATTATTTTTATATGAAATCACTGATGCCTTAAATATGTCCATCCAACTGTTAGGTGACATATTGTTTAGCCCTGGTTTAATCCTGGTTTAGTCCTGGTTTAGTTCTGGTTTAGTCCTGGTTTTAGTCCTGGTTTAGTTCTAGTTTAGTCCTGCTTTTAGTCCTGCTTTTAGACCTGGTTTAGTCCTGGTTTTAGTCCTAGTTTAGTCCTGGTTTTAGTCCTGGTTTAGGGGATATAGCCCAAAATGTGAAAACAGGAAAATACCGCCATGTAATCCATTTATTTCAACAAAGTAACTGTAATCCGATTACCACTCACTGAAACAGTAACTGTAACTGAATACAGTTACTCATAATTTGTACTCTGATTACTTAACTCTGGTACATGTAATCTGTTACTCCCCAACACTGGCCACTTCTACAACATGACGCTAGGAAAGAGCTTCTGTTTGTGAAGTGACAGTGACTGAGTTTATCCTAGTAACTGTTTGGCACTGTGAACATTGATTTAAATATAAGACCAGTGTTGGGGAGTAACAGATTACATGTACTGGAGTTACGTAATCAGAGTACAAATTATGAGTAAGTGTATTCGGTTACAGTTACTGTTTCAATGAGTGGTAATTGGATTACAGTTACTTTTTTGAAATAAATGAATTACACAGCGGTATTTTCCTGTTTTTTTCTCAGTAAATCCACTCATTGCCGGACACTAAACCAGGACTAAAACCAGGTCTAAACCAGGTCTAAACCAGGACTAAACCAGGTCCAAACCAGGTCTAAACCAGGACTAAACCAGGACTAAAACCAGGACTAAACCAGGTCTAAACCAGGTCTAAACCAGGACTAAACCAGGTCCAAACCAGGTCTAAAACCAGGACTAAAACCAGGACTAAACCAGGTCTAAACCAGGTCTAAACCAGGACTAAACCAGGTCCAAACTAGGTCTAAACCAGATCCAAACCAGGTCTAAATCAAGTCTAAACCAGGTCTAAACCAGGACTAAACCAGAACTGAGCCAGGATTAAAACCAGGTCTAAACCAGATCCAAACCAGGTCTAAACCAGGTCTAAAACAGGATTTAACAGGACTAAATCATGCTGTGCGGACCGTGTCTCCTCGTCTTCTATCAATAATATTTTTTATTTGGTTGAGTAAAGACTCGGCCTTTTCATTGTCTTTTAGTAGATAAAACATCTTATGTGAAGATTTCCTCGTCTTTGCTTCTCTACAGCAAATCAAATAATCCAAAGTATTCAGATTACATTACTCACTTTAAGTAATTTAATGGATTACATTACAAACTACATTTTGGGGTATGTAATCTGTAATCTGTAGGGGATTACATTTTAAAAGTCACCTTCCCAACACTGAATAAGACAAGTTTAAACTAATGAACTGGCTTTTTTAATGCTTCACAGGTCGATGTTTTGACTTGTAAAGTGAACACTTGGTACATACTACACTACTACACTAAAAGCTTGGGCAGTTTCCATTCATTTTTCTCCTTTATTTCCAGGATTATTTGCGCTTTAGATTCTCACTGAAAGTATCTTGAACTTGTTTTAGATTTAGAATGTAAAAATGTATATTTACTATATATTCCATATATCTTGCATCATATTTTTGATGTCTTTTGTGTGTATGAGACCTAAACAAATAAGAAAGGCAACACTACATGAGAGGGTGAGATCAAACTTTTGACTACCAAAGTATACAGTTTTATAACAAATATGCTGACATGTTTTACTCATAGAAAAAGCTCCTATTTATAAAACACATTATACTTGAAATTATTAAATTCATAATGTAGATGTTTAATATAATTCAGTGTAACTTTAGTCAAATTGAACTCAGTTGTGCTCATCTAAACCCCTCTATGTGAGTGGGTTTAGGATAAGTGTGTTTCAGTCAGATCTAGATCAGCTTTAACTCTCGTTTCGTCCTGATTGAACAGTTATTTCAGAAATGAAGGGAAAAGGAAGTGAATGAGGAAGGAAGTCTAGAGAGAAGCTTTGGGAGCTGCATCGGTGGAAGTGGACCACAACTAGCCCTGCTTTAATCCTGGTTTAGACCTGGTTTAGTCCTGGTTCAGTCCCGGGGTAGTCCTGACTTGTCCTCACTGTGACTTTTATTCTTCAAAAACAGGAAAAATATGACGTGGTGAAGGCTTCCTGCTGCTGCGGACTCCCGGATCCTGGTTCAGTCTCTGGACTTCAGGCTTGGACGAGATTTCACTTCGTCTAAATGTGACTTTTAGGCCCACATTGATTTTTTTTTTGTCTGCATGTATTTGACATTTTCGACTCTTACTCATTTTAACCAATGTTGTAATGTTTGTGGATATTACGCAAGAATGGACAAGTTTTAAAGACGGACTTGAATTTTACCCTGCTTTTTTTTTTATTATTCAACTGTAAGCACGTTTAGTTCTTCTTTATAGTTCTTCAGAAAACCACCTTATAATTTCTGTCTTAAAATGACTTCTTCATTTTCATCACTAACCTTCACTAACCGTCCTGAAAAGTGACTCTTGTGGCTCTTACTTCAAATAATTGTTCTTTGTATTAATTTATAGCAACTAAATACAATTACAATTTTCGTGTAATTTATGCTGAACATTTGTACATTTTAGTATAATAGCGTGCCATATTTCTTATTTTAAACTTTGCAATTTGTACGGAGAAGCTAAAGAAAGTTTGGACTGTCTACGTATTTTTCTGCTCACTCTGCTGGTTCTTACAGAGGATGAAGTTATTCTTGCTTTTGGTTATTGCGGCTGCCGTCCAATCAGAACCAGAGACGAAGGTAAGACTTTACTTTGATCGGATGCCCATACATAATGCACCTTTAACTTATAATAATTTGTAACATTTCTGAAGCAGGGTACGCAACTTGCCTCCATGCAGATGTTAATATGTTGACTGGAATTATCCACAGTATGGCATTAACCTTATACAGTGTTGGGAAGGTTCCTTTTAAAATGTATTCCCCTACAGATTACAGATTACATGCCTCAAAATGTAGTTTGTAACGTAATTCATTAAGTTATTTAAAGTGAGTAACGTAATCTGAATACTTTGGATTACTTGATTTGCTGTAGAGAAGCAAAGACTCGGAAATCTTCACATAAGAAGTTTTGTCTGTTAAAAGAAAATGAAAAGGCCGAGTCTTTACTCAACCGTATTAAAAATATTATTGATAGAAGACGAGGAAACATGGTCCACACAGCATGGTTTAGTCCTGTTAAATCCTGTTTTAGACCTGGTTTAGTCCTGGTTTAGTCCTGTTAAATCCTGTTTTAGACCTGGTTTAGTCCTGTTAAATCCTGTTTTAGACCTGGTTTAGTCCTGGTTTAGTCCTGTTAAATCCTGTTTTAGACCTGGTTTAGTCCTGGTTTAGTCCTGTTAAATCCTGTTTTAGACCTGGTTTAGTCCTGGTTTAGTCCTGTTAAATCCTGTTTTAGACCTGGTTTAGTCCTGGTTTAGTCCTGTTAAATCCTGTTTTAGACCTGGTTTAGTCCTGTTAAATCCTGTTTTAGACCTGGTTTAGTCCTGGTTTAGTCCTGTTAAATCCTGTTTTAGACCTGGTTTAGTCCTGTTAAATCCTGTTTTAGACCTGGTTTAGTCCTGGTTTAGTCCTGTTAAATCCTGTTTTAGACCTGGTTTAGTCCTGGTTTAGTCCTGTTAAATCCTGTTTTAGACCTGGTTTAGTCCTGGTTTAATCCTGGTTTATTCCTGGTTTAATCCTGGTTTAGTCCTGGTTTTAGTCCTGGTTTAGACCTGGTTTTAGACCTGATTTTAGACCTGGTTTAGTCCTGGTTTTAGTCCTGGTTTAGACCTGGTTTTAGACCTGGTTTAGACCTGGTTTTAGACCTGGTTTTAGTCCTGGTTTAGACCTGGTTTAGACCTGGTTTAGTGTCCGGTAATGTGTGGAATTGCCAAGACAAAAAAAAAAAAGAAAAAAAGAAAAGGGGAATAGCCCCAATTGTGAAAACAGGAAAATACCGCGGTGTAATCCATTTATTTCAACAAAGTAACTGTAATACAGTTACTCATAATTTGTACTCTGATTACGATTACATAACGCCGGTACATGTAATCTGTTACTCCTCAACACTGACCATAGACTTAAAGAAACTTTATTTTTCCACAAGGGAAATTAGTTGGACACAGTGGCTCAAACATCACAAAATATTCTAATAACGAAGAGAAAACATATTTAAAAAATCTAAATATGTAGTAAAAATAGCAAGAGACAAAATAGCGAAATCTGTGGAGCAGCAACTCTGTCTATTTGGGATGTAACAATAACCAAAATATCGTGATATTGTATCGTCAAAATTCTCACAATAATATCGTGGGCTCTCACAGTATATTGAATTACAAGTTCCTTCGCTTAAATACATGGTTTTATAGTAGTAACAGCTTATAAACATCGGGAACTACATATCCCATGATTCATTTCAGTGCAGACAACATGAAGAAATATGTTTTTTACTTGAATTCTTGGGATTATGGTGGAAATAATTCACACCAAAATCTTGTCAAGGTATTTTAAAAGCAAAACAATTACCTACATCTACAATTACATTAGCCTCCCCAAAATAATGCAATAAATACCGTGTGTACGTAGGTACCGTGAGATTTGGATATCGTTACATCCAGTAGTAATGCATGTGTACAATATTTATTTCAGCAATAAACACACCTGTAACTGAATAAATGCAAGATCGATGAATTTAATTCCATATTGGGGAACTTTCAGACAAAGTTTTATTGTCACTGTGGAGACAAGATGGTGCTAATCCTTCCTCAGAAAAGTTATAGTGCATTTTTAATTGACTCTTGTGAGCTTTAAGCCATGTTTACAGAAGCCGAGAGGGGTCACAACAAACGCAAACGCCGCAACAAATACAAATGTGACAACACAACAAAAAGCCACAACAGAAGTGACAGCGGGACTCTATTTCAATGCAAACGCCGCAACAAATACAAACGCGACAACACAAACGCAAATGACACAACACATTAAAAAAACACAACACATTAAAAAGCCACAACACATTAAAAAGCCACAACGGAAGTGACCGCGGGACTCAATTTTCAGACGGGACCAATCAAGCGGCAAGTGAAGAAGAACTACATTGTGAAACGAATAATGATAAAACAATAAATTACTTTTACTTACGTTTCCAACTTCTCCGTTCCTTTACTTTTCACGTCATTTAACAAAATGCTCCAAATTCTCCATAGCACAGCAGCCTATTCATTCATACTTTCCGAGTATATAACGTATATTCTCGTAATATTATGACTTTATTTTGACTACGACTTAATTCTCATAAAATTACTACTTTGTTCTCGTAAAATTACGACTTTATCCTCATAAAATTATGACTTTATTCTCGTAATATTACAACTTTAATGTCGAAATGTTACGACTTTATTCTCGTAGCGCCAGCATTTTATTTTTTTTTATCTGACCCTTATACTCCGTCGTAACTGTGATATCAGTGGAAGAGTGGTAATGTCTTATGTTTTTTAAGGTTGTAATCCAATATTTGCATTACTGTGTTTACCCCCATGCTGCCCAACACACACACACACACACACACACACACACACACACACAGACACACACACACACACACACACACTGTGATAATTTTCTCTCTCACTCTCATACACACACAACACAGCAATCGAGTTTAAGGAAACAATCATCATTTCACATGTTTTTCTATGATTCTGTGGTAAAAATGACTTTTCTCCAACACTTGTGAGGACATTGTTTGTGGGATTAGTGTCATATTCAGCTCTTGCAGGTTACAAAGTTTTGTATGTTTCATGCTGCACATATTTACCAAAGATCTTGTAAGTGTTTTCACTGTCATATACAAATCTTTTAGGATTCAGATAAAACATGTTAAAATGGTGTATGATTTGTCTATACCTTTTCCATATGGGAGAACTGGACAGGGCAAACCAGGACACAATTATAGCAATGAAAGCCAGGTTAAAGCAGAACTAAACCATGACAAAATGTTAAGGATGAATTACTTACCGTACTTTGATAAAGGAAAACAGGACGGAAGGTGGTCTAGGTTCAGGCTGAGTGCATGCAGGAGTACACCAGCAGAACCGAGACGTTTGACATCGTAAGAGCTTTGTTCAAATCCAGATGATGATACAAGAATAATTTTGTGGGTTTTTTTTTTGTTTTTTTTTGTTTTTTTGTATTTACAGAAAGGGCGTGGCTTCTGTCAGACGGAGGACCTGGTTGAGACCCATGGGCCCTGTAGTTCCTGTGCCACTCGCTACACATGCCCACCCAGGCAATCCACTCTCAGGACAGAGAACTGCACGTAAGGACCGAACCAGGACCGAACCAGGACTGAACCAGGACTAAATACAGGACTAAAACCAAGGCTAAACCAAGACCAAAACCAGGACTAAAACAAGGACTGAACCAGGACCGAACCAGGACTAAAACCAGGACTGAACCGGGTAAAGAAAACAGGAATAAACCTGGACTAAAGCAGGACCGAACCAAGACTGAACCAGGGCTGAACTAGGACTAAATACAGGACTAAAACCAGGGCTAAACCAAGACTAAAACAAGGACTGAACCAGGACTGAACCAGGACTGAACCAGGACCGAACCAGGACCGAACCAGGACCGAACCAGGACTGAACTAGGACAGAACCAGGACCAAACCAAGACTAAAACCAGGACTGAACCAGGACTGAACTAGGACTAAAATCAAGACTAGAACCAGGACTAAAACAGGACTGATCTAGGACTAAACAAAACTAAAACCAGGACTGAAGCAGGGCTGAACTAAGAGTAAACTAGGACTAAAACCAGGACTGAACCAGAACTGAACTAGAACTTAAAGTCTTGACTAAAACCAGGACTGAACAAGAACTGAACCAGAGTTAAAACCAGGACTAAAACCAGGACTGAACCAGGACTAAAGTCAGGACTAAATCCAAGACTGAACCTGGACTAATACCGGGACTGAACCAGGACTAAAACAAGACTGATCTAAACAAAACTAAAACCAGGACAAGAACCAGGACTGAACCAGAAGTGAACCAAGTATAAAACCAGGAGTGAACCCAGACTAAAGCAGGACCGAACCAAGACTGAACCAGGGCTTAACTAAGAGTAATCTAGGACTAAAACCAGGACTGAACCAGAACTGAACTAGAACTTAAAGTCTTGACTGAACCAGGGTTAAAACCTGGATTAAAACCAGGACTGAACCAGGACTAAAGTCAGGACTAAATCCAAGACTGAACCAGGACAGAACCAGGACTAAAACAAGACTGATCTAGGACTAAACAAAACTAAAACAAGGACTAGAACCAGCACTGAACCAGAAGTGAACCAAGTATAAAACCAGGAGTGAACCCAGACTAAAGCAGGACAGAACCAAGAGTGAACCAGGGCTTAACTAGGACTAAACTAGGACTAAAACCAAGACTGAACCAGATCTGAACCAGCACTGAACCAGGACTAAAACCTGAACTGAACTCTTATTGAACCAAAACTAAACCAGGACTATAACCAGAACTGAGCCATTACTGAGCCAAAACAAAACCAGGACAAAGGAAACACAAGAAGATTTATTCACACATACAAAAATAAACATCAAAAGTTTTAAAAAGTTGAGTAGGCATAGAGTTGGTTAGTCTGGGACTAGCCAGAAACCAAGGACTTGAACAATCAGTAAACTAACCAAACCACAACCAAAGAACCTGAGGAGGCCTAAACCAGAACTAAACCAGGTCTTCTCTTGGTCTTCTCTTGGTCTTTGCAGGTACCAGGTATCTGTTGGGGGCCGTCAGTTGGAGTTATCTGGCTGCAGGACAGTTTGTGGGCGCCGCTACTTTAGGTCCAAATGCTGTCCTCAGTTCTGGGGCCCTCTCTGTCTTGGTAAGAAATGTTTAAATAAATCCACACATTTTTATTTAATCATTACCGGTAATTGTTATTTTATATATTCTTTTCTTTCACACTACTAGTAGCCTACATAAAGTTATTTTATTGTAAACGTAACAAAGTCCTATCCTGTCTTAACCGGTCTAAACTTACTGACTTGTTGTGTTTTAATTTGAATATATCTACTGCTCTCTATGCTGTGTAGGTGTGGTACAGTATGTATATATACATTTATTAGGTAGAGTTTTATTTTACGTATGTCAGGATCATAGACTGTCTAAATAAGATATATTTCTATTTTGAAACATTCATAAACTTGGAAAAAATGCTAAATAAGTGCGTCTTAATTTTAATGTATATCCTGCTGCTGTAGTTACTTTTATTTGTTTGTCGTGATATTAAATAATTATTATTATTATGCTACTTTGGCTATTTTAAGTAAGTTAACTTATTGTTATTATAACTTCACACATTTTCTGACTTTTTTTTTATGTAGGGGGATCTTAAGAGTGCTTTGTTTTCTTTTTCTTTTTCCTGGTATCTTAATCATCATGACAGTGATATTTTTATGATTTTTATTCTGCTTTCATGCACTTTTCTAGACCTGTGTGAATGTTAATATATGCCATGTTTTCTGATTTATTTGTTTTATTTTTAACATTTGCTCTTTGAAAAACATTAGTTATGTGTTAACCTTGTGTGTTAACGTTTGCTGTTAGGTTGTAACTTTAGTTTTCAAGAATCATTCTTCTTCCATTGTTATATTATATTTTCATGCCTGTTCTGGATAATTGTGTGTATTATATTATTAGGTTTTAAAGAATTACTAAAATAAACAACTGTATCTGGGTAACTCTCCTAGGTAACTCTCACTTTTAAATGATTAAAGGTTGTATAGAGGATTTTTTAAGGAAAGTGAAATACAGCGACAGTCCTTTTTCAAATGTTGTGCATGTGTGACACCACCTTCCTCCTCCACAGCTCCCTCAGTAGAAACACCTCCTCCCGCCTCTTTACTCTAGAAATCACACTTGTTTACAGCCAGTGTGCGTTCAGAATTACTGTTGAAGTGACCTGTCTAGAAATAATTTAGCGACCGACTCGTCAGTTTTTAGACCCTTCGTCTGCTTCAGTCGCGCAATCGCTGGAAGGAATTTCCAAGAATCACCTCAGTTTGTCTTTGCTCCTTTTCCCCTTCTCTTCTTCTTTAAGCGACCTCAAAAATGGACTTTCTTTTGCGGCGAACTGGTCGTGGATTCTTGTCCTCCATCACAACAGACTTTGTGCAAACTGCGAGGAAGCTACAGTTTGAAAAAGCCTCTAAGAACCGCTGCATAAACCACGTAATCCCTGTACGCTGGCGACTCAGTTACACTAGAAACATAGGGAGTTTGATTGACAACCTAACAGCCAATAGAAGATGAGGGAGCCTCGTTGTGTATTGGCTGATATTTATCTGGCCTCACTACATCCACAGTTGCTAGATTTTCATTATTATTATTATTATTATTATTATTTTTGGTCATCATAATTACAAACTGCTGCATCTCTGTATTGGTATTTTAAACTTTCATTGACAATTTGAAACAAAAAAAAATCCTCCATACAACCTTTTAATTTGCATTACTATCTTGTTGTGAACTACTAACAAATCAGTGCAAATCTTTCGGGGGCAGGAGTGCTACTTGGATTGCAAAATTGTCCTTTTGGTGCTCTTGGGTAACGGGACCAGTCTCAAATACAAAGATGAAAAAGGCTCTCAGAAAGTACAGATGAATTAAAAGCTGTTAACAGCATGTGGCAGATGAAGTTAAAATCAATTATTTATTAATTGATGTCATAGGTGTAGGTCACATGTTCAAAGCAGACTGACACCTGTCACCTGGTGCATGATGGAACATGTAGGCTGAGCAGATTTTACTTTCAAGATATTAAAATATAATTCATGTTCACAATAGTATCAATAGTACAATTCACAACAACAAATACATAGTACAAAAATGCTAGAGATACAATATGTTGTTTTGTACTTTTTGGCTGCGTTCAGACTGCAGCCTGAAGTGACATAAATCCAATTTTTTGGCCCCTATGTGACCTGTATCTGATTTTTTCAAATGCGACCCAGGACACTTGGATATGTGCTCCTGAAACCGATACATATCTGATCTTTTGACATGTGACTTCAATGTGAACGGCCAAAGCGCATTCATTCGACCTATGCATTTAACGTTCACACAGGGGATCGCATACAAGTTGCATTTAATTGGAAATGTGAATGACCTCACAAAAACATCAGATTTCACAAAAAAATCGGAATTGAGCATTAAGCCCTGCAGTCTGAACGTAGCCTTTGAGTGCCTCAGCTTTTTCACTAACAAATCAGATTTAGGTTGTAGCAATGCTTACAACTTTCTACTCTGAAACTTTTGCAGTTTTTACCATTTGTTTTTTTCCTGCAGCATGTCCAAGTTGGGCTGGAAAAACGTGTAACTACAGAGGCTCCTGTTCTGATGGAGAGACTGGGAATGGAACATGTGTCTGCGACGTCAGTGTTTACTTCATCCTCCTGTTAATGATTCTGACAGTTTGAGCCTGAGCTTGTGTTTCACTGATTGCTTGTGTGTTTCAGGATAAATTCTCTGGTTTTGCTTGTAGTGAATGCAAAAACCCAAACGCCTATGGAGTGGACTGTGACAAAGGTATTAACTCTACAATTTTGAAGTGTTTTGGGTAGGTTATATATTAAGCCTTGCTATATGACTTGTCAGAAAGTAGCTTCACTTTTCAGTATAAACTTAATAAAACAACAAAAAAAGCCCCCATTTCCCCCCAACCACACACACCGACACAAATTTGGCTAAATTAAACAAAAGTAATGTGGTAGTGCAATATAAACACACCACTAGGCCCCCCTACATTGACACATTACAGCCAATTCATGATTGAAATTCCTTTTCTCTCCCTTTCTTCCTCTTTTTTTTACCCTCTCCCATTTTTAAATAAACATTTTTAGTCCCTATACTTAAACTAATATTATTTTCACCATCATCATTTCCTTTCATTTTTTGCTATTTATTACAAACTCAAAGCATAATTTTAAAGGCATTTCATGTGTCAGTAAATATTTTCATAGTTTCACCATCACACCAAGGACTGCAGTATAATTAATAGCGCAAACTATGGTGGCCCAACATGGTCTAAATACTCTCATCCTCCAAAAAAGTAATACAAATGATACTTTATGCTAGTAGTATTGTCATCATGAACATATAAATAAATAAATTTTATCTGCACAGCAGACCTTTTTTGGTCAACAGAGGCAATAATAATAAAAAAAACATTCAAACATGAGCTGTCTCTGTGTCGGAGTTATTCTCAATCGTCAGCTCTGCCTCCTGTTTTCATTTTGTGTGTTGCAGAATGTGACTGTGAACACGGCGTCTGTAACAAAGGCCCAGAGGGAGATGGGCAGTGCTTCTGTCAGCCTCCGTACACCGGCAAACGCTGCGACCAACGTATGTTACAAGGACCCTGACATAATCAAACATTTTATTTCTTGTTGTTGGCTGTTTTCAGATTCTCTGAGTTTAACATTTCAGCCTGTGAAGTTCAGTTGGGTTGAGTGTAATATTGGGATATGGTTGGAGAAATGTTACTAGATATAGAGGTGTGAGACTATTGAAAAAAAATGTAGCATCACAGTTGTTGTTTCAGAAATATACAAAATTAGACTAGTAATTGTAATGTATTGACATGACCTGCATTTTAACATGCAGTGTTGGGAAGGTCACTTTTATAATGTATTCCCCTACAGATTACAGATTACATACCCCAAAATGTAGTTTGTAACATAATCCATTAAATTACTTTAGGTGAGTAGCGTAATCTGAATACTTTGGATTACTTGGTTTTCTGTAGAGAAGCAAAGACTAGAATATCATAAACATAAGATGTTTTGTCTGTTAAAAGAAAATGAAAAGCCCAGTCTTTACTTAACCAAATTAAAAATATTATTGATAGAAGAGGAGGAGACACGTTAACGCAGCATGATTTAGTCCTGTTAAATCCTGGTTTAGACCTTGTTTAGACCTGGTTTAGACCTGGTTTAGACCTGGTTTAGACCTAGTTTAGACCTGTTTAGACCTAGTTTAGACCTTGTTTAGACCTGGTTTAGACCTAGTTTAGACCTGGTTTAGATCTAGTTTAGACCTGGTTTTAGTTTCTGGCAATGAGTGAAATTACTGAAAAAAAAAAAAAAAGCCCAAAATGGGAAAATGGGAAAATACCACTGTGTAATTCATTTATTTCAACAAAGTAACTGTAATCCAATTACCACTCACTGAAACAGTAACTGTAACTAAATACAGTTACTCATAATTTGTACTCTGATTGTGAAACTCCGGTACATGTAATCTGTTACTCCCCAACACTGTTAACATGAGATGCCCACCTCACCCTGATTTTTTTCTCTGTGTATCACCGGTGGGCAGTGAGCTCCGGGTGCCGCTCCTGCCCTCCGTTCTCCTACTGCAAAGGGGATGGAGACTCAGCTGTTTGTGACTGTCTGCCCGGACACAGAAGAACTAACCAGGGAAGATGTCCAAGTAAGTGGACCATGTTATATTCAGTGTTGGGAATGTGACTTTTAAAATGTATTTTTCTACAGATTACAGATTACATACCCCAAAATGTAGTTTGTAACATAATCCATTAAGTTACTTAAAGTGAGTAACGTAATCTGAATACTTTGGATTACTTGATATTGTCGTGCTCTTTAAAACTACTGTTAGGTGTCATATTGTTTAGTCCTGGTTTAAGTCCTGATTTTAGTCCTGGTTTTAGTCCTGGTTTAAGTCCTGGTTTAAGTCCTGGTTTAAGCCTTGGTTTAGACCTGTTTTAGTCCTGGTTTTAGTCCTGGTTTAGTCCTGGTTTTAGTCCTGGTTTTCCTGGTTTTAGTCCTGGTTCAGTCCTGGTTCAGTCCTGGTTCAGTCCTGGTTCAGTCCTGGTTCAGTCCGTAAACGGGACTGGTTTCTATTGTCATACCATAGTGGAGAACAATATGGATGTTGTTGGGATATTTTCATACTGATAAGAGGATTCCTGACCTTGAGATGATATTGCTCTTCCTGTAATGTTCCACAGCAGGAGAAAGTTACAGGTCAGATCTGTGAGTATTTGAGGTTACCACGCTCAACGCAGTATCATCACTATAGAGAACAAAATAACCTGAAAAGTTACAAGTGCACCTTTAAGCATGTATAAACTTTTTTGTCAGCTGTGTGCTCCGCCCGGGACTGTGACGTGAACGCAGAGTGTTCAACTCAGGGGTCAAAGGTCACATGTGCCTGTAAATCAGACTACGAGGGAAATGGTCGAGTCTGTGTCCCCAAAAACCCCTGTAACCAGAACAATGGAGGGTGCCCTGTGAACTCCACTGTGTGTGTGTTCAGCGGAGCCAACAAGGTCAGTCCTGAGAAGCTGAGATACTAATGTCATATATATTTTAAAGCTCCTAGATTACACAAAATTGACTCTTGTGAGATTTAAGCCATGTTATAATGTTGTTACCTCATCAAAACAGACCTGGAGATGTGTTTTGGTTCATTCTTCACACGTTTGAGTTACTCTATCACGCGGGTCACTTGGACGCAAATGCAACACAAGCATTCAGGCAAACAAAGGCTTAATTCAATAACAGAAAGTGTCCTTTGACAGGTAATGTTTAATATGGGAAATCAGACTAAAAAGGAACTACAAAGGAATATATGATATATTTAATGTGAACTAAAATCTCTTCCAAAAACTGGGAAAATACTGCTGGAATAAAACCCCAGTTTTTATAGAAATTGCGATAAAATCAGTCTTTCTGGATCAGATCCAGATCAGCCTTTGGAATATGAAAGAGGATCCCATTGTCCATTGTCCATCCCTGAGTCAAATTTCATGGGGTTTGGTCAATAATTAACTGAGATATTGAGAAACAAAATTTTTTTACCACCTCCAAAATGAAATCAGTTCTTCCTTTTCACATTTCCAACAAATCCTGAAAATTTCATCAAAATCGGTCCATAACTTTTTGAGTTATGTTGCTAACAGACAAAAAACAAACAAACAAACAAACAAACAGACAAACGCCAGCAAAAACATAACCTCCTTGGCAGAGGTAATAAAGCAGAATGCACACAATGTAAACAACTGAATAGAGATCAGGGTTTCAGAGAGCTAGAATGTATGTCTACACAGGTCAACAATCTGGCAAAGCCTGAGTGAGCAGGAGGAGTATATATAAACTACCCTGGGCTGATTGAGGAATGAGAGGCAGCTGCAGGAAAAGGGAGGAAGGCAAAGCAAAAGGAGGACCAGAATAGACAAAGAAACGGAGCTGGACTAGGGAAAACAAACAAAAAGGCAGAACTGTGACAAACTCTTTATTATTAGTCTGTCCACATGTCCAAAGCTCAAAACGCTCAGTTCCACCTTGTGATGTCATGAAGTGGTAGTTTTCAAGTTAACAGCTCCTTTTACCTTTAGTTTAGGGCTTGCAATTATCCAAATGACTCTAATGATGGTGCATGGAGTTTAAAAACACAGTGGAGCACTTTTTGTATTCCATCATGACATCACAAAGTGTTTTCTGATTGAGAAAAGAACACAGCTAAATATGCAGTTGATTTGTGTGTTAAACATGTGTGAATGAAACAAAACACCACTCCAGGTCTGTTTGTGATGAGGAAACAACATTATATTATATATTATATTATAGATTAGAATATAGAGTAATACGGGCCCTTGAAACACTTTTGGACACCAGGAAAACATATTTCTTTTTGGTGACTTTATTGCAGTCGTGCTTGGTAATGCTCAAGGCTTTTTTATCACAACAGTCTGGTGAATGTGTATGGATGCAGAAGTTTAAACTGTTCATTTTTGTGAGAATAATCACAACATTGTCAAGCAATATTTTAATATGTAAACAGGGCTCATCATTTGACAAAAAAAATAAATAAATCACATATATTATAGCCATATTGATCCATCATGATTTTTACTTCAGTTGTACTTGTCTTTTTAAATGTAAATAAAAATCACTTTAATATCTGAACAAAAACCATTTACCACACAAAAAAAAAACAACAACAACACATTTCTCGTCACATTTCCAGTCTGCGCTCCAAACCTCATGCTTTTCCTGACAGACAATTGGCTGTAGATGTGTCATCAAAACATAACTAAGCATATTAGCACAATTCGTAACAAGCACAATCAGAGATGGCAACCTGGTCCCCCATGAGGCATCAGTGGGGGCAGTTCATCACCACAGAAGCAGCTTATGAGGAGCCCAGCCCATACCCCCGTTATGTGTGTGCCAACTTGTGTAATGATTGGGTGAGTATTTTAGCCCGCAGATGGTTCAGAAATGGCTGAAATTGCCTGTCCTTTATAACGGCGTGACCTTTCATTTGACTCGTGTGACCTCAAATGATCTCAGATTGTCACTTGGTACGGGGGCTTGACCCCGTACCAAATTTGGTGACAATCAGTCCATAAATCAGGGTGACCAGACGTCCGTTTTTCCCCAGACATGTCAGTTTTTTGAGCCTTGCCCTGAGCATCCGTTTTTTTTTTTTTTTTGTTTTTTTTTTAAGTGATGGAAATGTCTGGGTTTTCATTACCTTTCATTGGGCCATTAAACTGAGCAGCTCTCGTAGCTCTCTGTAACTCAGAAGGAGCGAGCAGACACAAACAGTCGGTCAGTCTGCAACACGTGAAGCACAAATACACATTTAACAACGACTTGTACAAGACATTCCCCGTTTTCCGTCCTGGTCGGGATAAGTGGGAGGTCATGTGCACAGTTTGCGAGGTGAGAGTAGCTCAATGTTGAGGCCCCACCTCTCACCCCCGGTAAGGTGTCTGGGGTTTCACAAACAGAAATATGGTCACCCTACTATAAATGACAGAATTATCACGGGTGGACAGACACACACACACACACACACAGAGGGTGAATGCAAAACCTGGTCAACCCTTCTGGGACCAGGTAATGATAAGTATTAACCTGCTGCTTGTGTGTTCTCCTCAGGCCATGTGTCAGTGCATGTCAGGGATGAGGCCAGTAGGGGGCAATGCTCAGTTCGGCTGTGAGCTGGTGTCAGCCTGTTTAAAGGACTCCTGTCACCCCTCTGCTTCCTGTCGCACCGGATTGGACGGACATGCCAGGTCACAGTCTATTTGTTCAATGTCATTAAACATCATACTACATTATTTTTATTTCCAGTTGATCATATTATCAATCCGAAATGAATTCATATTACATTACATTACTAACTAGACTGTTTCAGACTTTACAAAAAAACTAAACAAAAAAATCACTATGTAATAAACACTGTATAATGAAACCAAATTGAGACTTTCAATAATTTATTTATAAAATGCAGCATGATACCATAAATGTGTTTTGTATTGTATTCATGATAAAATTTGAAAATATTTAGGTAACAGGAATTTAGAAATGGCTTTTATATCTTATTTACAGTTACATATGTTTACATTATCTCCATAAGACATTTTTATAGTGCTTTATGGTGCAGTTGCATTCCTGTTTTGTAAATTTCTTAATTTGGTGTAAAATTTACAAACACAAATTCCTGTTTTCCATTCAAATTTTTATTGTTAATTGTGATGCAGAAAAACAGTCCCTGCTTGTGGTCTGACAGCTTTAAGTGATCAAAAGCACGCTCTGAAAATCGTATTATTTTTTTCATCTCTCATAATTCATACTCGTGACTATGACTTCTGCCTGTAGGTGTGAGTGCAGTTCAGAGCAGATCAGTGATGGGTGGAGGTGTTATGGAAACCTGATGGAGCAACTTCTTGAACTGGATCGAACTGGAGATCATCAAGGAAATCTGACCGCCACCATTACTCTGTTTGGTCAGTTTACACGAAAATTTCAAAAACATCTCCATGCAATTGACTAAACATACATAAGATTTATATCCATAATACAATACAGAACGTACATACTTTATTCAACCACATCACCAACACAGTGTAAGAACAGTTATTTGATTTGAGGGCTTTAGATGGAAATTGGGTGTTTTTAAGTGTTACGCAACAATTAGAATTTTTGGCAAACGAGAGAAATTTGCAGCTTTGGTGAAAATCTAAGTGCTGCCTTTATGGATTTAATCAATAATAGTGAACTCTGAACTCAACAATTAATGGCTTAGCATTTTAATCCTCATACTTAAAGGGACAGTCTGGAATTTTGGTCAAAGGACTTAATTTCCACCATTTCTAAAGCAAATCTATTATTACACCAGACTATCGATGTAAATGTCTGTGTTGATAGAATAATGTTTGAAATAAAACTAACCTTACATCACATGAATCGTCACATGTTGAGGGACTATTTTCTTATATATCAGTCCGCCTCTGCCAAGTTTTCTATCAGGAAGTACAACTCGCTGCTGCTCAGACATACATCCTTCAAATGCAAGGTTAGTTTTATTTCAGACATTATTCTATCAACAGAGACATTCACATTGACAGTCTGGCATAATAATAAATTTACTTTGGGTGTTTTGTGGAGTGGGTAAGACTGTTTTTAGTGTCAGGCTAACTACGGCCGTTGACATGCACTAGCCTAGCAACAGCGACCTCTGTAAATACAAGGACTGGATGGAATATTTTAAAAAGTGTCTCCACACATCTCCAACACTGTGGCTCACTAGGAAATGAGTCTCTATGTCCAAAATTCCAAACTGTCCCTTTAAAATACAGTTAGTACAGAAAGTGTTATAAAATCAAAGCTTTAAAAACTGTGATGTGCACTTATTATTTACTTACATTATCTTGTATTTTCATGCATTTCAGAGAAAGGCTGCTCACTGCTGCTGAATCATAATGGGCCCTTTACAGCCTTTATCCCTCTGCTCAGGACTCCACTCACGGTAGGTCATGTCATACATGGCTCCAGATTTAAAGGCTTATTTACGTGGAAGATATGCACTGGAACACTGTTTGCTGTCGCTTTCACAAACCTTATTCATACAGGAGTCAAACTGGAATTATCCCTCAATTCATACTTTACAAGGCTGCTACGCTGGGAAAAGGGGTTCTGCATGCATGTCTATAGGGGAATGTTCACCAGTCACCATGGTGATACAAGTCATGCGCTGTAGATTATGTTGTTTTATGGCTAGTTTTCTTTTTTAGCTTTTAATTCAAGAAAATGTCATTGGATTAGATTAAAGTTTATGGTGACCTATTACTAATCATCACTTACTTCAGTGTTGCTTTTAATTTCTTTGCTTTTGATGCTTTGCTAACTACAGGTGTCTGTGTGTGTCTGTATGTTTTGTGCAGGGCGTGAATGAAGAGGAGGTATGTAAGAACCACCTGATCTTGGGAGAACACCTTTTCAAAGACCTGGAGGGGAAGGACTTCAACCTGTACGGAGGAGGACGACTGCGCAGCAAAGGCAATAAGGTCAACACTCAAAAAACATGGAAAACTAATCATTGCATGCAAAAATTATTTATTAACATTGGGCAAACCGTAGATATACATTTTAGCCATGTATGTTTTGGTTTTTTTTGGTTTGTTTACTCTCAATTCCCTAGATTCTCATAAAAAGGCATTTTAAGCAGTACAAACACTTAAATAAATGCTCGATTATAGATAAGAGCGAAACATTACAGGCAAAGAAATAACATCTCCATGGTAGCCAACCCCCCACCAGAAAAATGGTATGGTGCCCCCTTAAGTAGGCTTTAAAGTCTGCCAAATATTAACATGGAAACAAGGAAACAACCTCTCAGAGAAAGTCTGAGTGAAGGTGTGCACGTGTGTTTTTGTGTCTGCGTCAGAAAACATAAGTATCTATTCTTTGTCCAGTTTCAGTTAGACTCTCTGCAGCTTGTTCTTCACAAAAAGCATCTTACCCTGTCTGGGTCAGGAGATGGTGTGGTACTGGCCATCCAAAATATAGATTTCAGAAACTCCTGTGTTCACTGGTCCCTTCCTCTGAACAGACTCACTGACCACATCGACAGACCAATAATCATTAATCAATAAATTTCCACATTCCAAGTGTGAGTACCTGAGATGCAAAACAACATTCTCCAGCTAAACTCTGACAAGACTGAAGTCATAGTGTTTGGTCCACAGAAACAAAGGGACAGTGTCAGCAGTCACCTCCAGTCTCTCTCTCTAAAACCTTCAAATCAGGCAAGAAATCTAGGGGTAATAATCGACTCAGACTTGAACTTTAACAGCCACATCAAGTCAATAACATCTGCAGCCTTTTACCATCTAAAAAACATAGCGAAAATCAAAGGTTTACTGTCTAAAGCAGACTTGGAGAAACTTATCCATGCGTTTGTCTCCAGTAGGTTAGATACTGTAATGTTCTGCTCACTGGTCTCTCCAAACGAGCTGTGAGACGCTGCAGAACATCCAGAACGCTGCAGCTCGGGTCCTGACTCGAACTAGGAAGTACGAGCACATAAGTCCTGTGCTCAGGTCTCTGCACTGGCTTCCTGTGCCTCAGAGAATAGACTTTAAAGCAGCTCTACTTGTGTACAAGTCTCTCCATGGCCGAGCACCAAAGTACATCTGTGACATGTTAGTGTCATATGAACCATCTCGCACTCTGAGGAGCTCAGGGACCGGCCTCCTGCTGGTGCCCAGAGTCACGACTAAACAAGGGGAGTCAGCGTTTCAGGTTCATGCAGCTAAAACCTGGAACAGTCTGAACATGTGAGACAGACTCTTCTGTGACGCTGTTTAAATCCAGACTCAAAACATTTCTGTTTAACTGTGCATATAACTGAAAGGTTTTCATTCCGCACTCTTCTCTCCAATTTATGTCTCTCTTTTTTAAAATTTTAATCTTCATGATTATTTATGTTTTGATTTGTTTTTATTATGATTTTAATGTATTTCTTATTCTGTAAAGCACTTTGAATTACTTTGTGTACGAATTGTGCTATACAAATAAACTTGCCTTGCCTTGCCTTTACCTGAGGGTAATCCTTTAGATCCCAGAACTCTACCACTGAAATCTTCTTGGATTTTTTGGAACCTTTTGTCTCACCAGATGCCACACTGGTCAGATTTTCACATAGATTAAGGTCTGGATGTGCTGTGTTTGTTTACAACAGAGTAGAACTGGACCAGGTCTTTCATGTTCCTCTAGATGTTGAAGCCCAAGTTGCCCAGATGTTTGGTCTGGTCTATCAGAGGTCTGGTCCCATCTGTGGTCCTTCCACCAGGGGGCAGCGCTGCACTCCCTCCTTGGGCTCCGTCCGAAAATAGACAAAAATACATCCTTCCTTGTTCTTCCTTCTCCTTATTGCTGACCTCTGAGAGCTACATCATGAGGTCAACAATAAGGACCAAGGAGGAGGAAGGAGCAGTGAGTAGAAGGAGCTGTTCCTGTTTTAGGGAGATCTGGATCCTCCTAACCAGGCAACTGTCAAAACTACAACTCTCAGAAAACAGACTACAACAAGAGTCTTATGAGAATCATTTGAACCTTTCAGTCTTTACAGTCAATGTTTTCATCTCAACACTAGCCAACTTAAATAAAGTGACTGTACACAATAAAGTGACTTTACACAAGTAAACAGACTGCTTAAATAAGCTGCACTAAACCTGCACTCGTGTGATCTGCACACGTACGATCTCAGAAAAGTTTAACATAAACCACCTCCAATGCAATATACGCACAGAACAGACTCACCATGAGCAGCACATCCCTCTGTCACAGAAAAAACACATATTTTACCGAGTCGTGTCCTTTAGTCCAACAGACACTGAACCACATCAGTGGCACAAGGAGCGAGCAGTTTTTTCAGCTCTTATAGTTTATGTAATTGCCCTGTGGTTTTAATGTTTGGTTTTCTGTAAAACGTAAACAAATGTGTGCTAAGCTGCATTAAACACATTATAATATCAAACAGACTTATGTGGCTATATAGTTAATACTTTATGTGTTTTAAAGTTTTATTCATATATGCAGAAGTATTTGATTTTTTTTTAAATCCTGTTTTATCTAACCATAATTTTATTTTAAGTTTGATGTTTGTTAATGTTTCACAGAAGCTGATCTTGATGGATGACCCCACTGTTGTTTACTCCGTGCTCAGTGAAAACCATCCAGCTGCAAACGGAGTCATCCACATCATCAACCGTGTGATGATCAGCTCCATGCACAGACCCACTCGCAATGAAAAGGTACAGTTAGGCCTGACTCAGTTCTGATCCCTGATCCCTAAAACCTCATTTGAACGTGTTTTTAGTTAATTCAATTTTTTTTTTTTTTTTGTACGCAGTATGCTGACTTGACGATTGGTGAAATTTTAAGAAAAGATGATCAGTTTAACCGCTTCCTATCTCTGGTGGATGTGGGTATATTTTTGGCATTGAAATTTAAAAAATTATTAATGTCATTTTTAAATTAATTTGTGTAGTTAATTTTTTGTTGTATGTTTTTATACATTTTGGAAATTTGTTCTAACAACAACAGTGGAATGTGTTACTAATTATTCATATCTGAGTTTTGTTGCAGAACTGTGGTGCTTCCCTGCCCCTCAGAGGACCTGGGCCTTTAACAGTGCTTGTCCCGACCAATCAGGCGATAGATGCGGCCCGAGATGGCAGCATCCTCTACATGCTCAACAATGTAATCACAGCTTTTCCTGAGCAACTAACTAGTGTTATTTCTACAATTTTCATCAATGTTTTTGTAAAACAGTGAAGAATAAGCAGAAATTGTGCTTGAAATAGGCAATGTGAGTTTAGACTGCAGTACTTACCAGTAGAATTAGAATGGACTCCGCCACAAGTATTAACTGGTTTAGGTTACTGTATCCAACAACTGTAGCATAAATTACTATATCAGATTAATGAGAGAAAGAGATACTTTATTGATCCAAGTTTTGCTGTGGTAATATTTACTGCTCATCTCAGTCATCTTTGTGTCTCAGTCAAAGTTCTCAGTGCAGTTTAAGAGGAGGACTGGTCAGGGAGGGTCAGCAAATCTGTGTCAGGGCAGTTTGAGGAGAGGAAGAGCCAAAAGTGTCCCTCCTCTGTGTCCTTCAGCATCAAAGAAATGTCCAGGGGCAACCAGGTAAACACAACAGGAAAGGCCTTAATCTTACTCTGCTCTGGTGCTTCACTTGGTGATGAAATGGTCCTTTCTTTCAAAGTGTTTATTCTGGAAAGTCTGATGATATGGTATGATGTTAAAAAAATGAGCTCCAAAACCAAAAAGATTAAAAAACTGCTCAGCGTATGAGACAAGTAGCCACAAAAGCAGCCATCCACCTGATGTGATGTGAGTTTCGAGTGAATAAACCACACGACCACACCTCTTTGAGAAAACTCAGTCTTGCTTAAAGTAGTTTGGACAAAATCTGTATCACATGCATTTTTTTTTATTAACCATTGTAATCTTCAATCAGGAGTTTTTATCTAAATGTCGATATTATGGTTTATTGCATTTCGCAGTAGATTGAGCTTGTCATAAATTCAAGTAATTTTTGCATTCCAACAAAACAACACAATTACCAATGCAGATGAGTTGATTCCATCTTCAATCCTGGTTTGTCTGTTTTCTTGAGATGAATTTAACTGTGATTCATTCATGTTATTTTAGGCCAAACACAAGCTGCAGGAACTGCTCAGACACCACATGATTTCACAAGCCTCGGTGAGCAGCACTCTGAGTCTGTACTGTCTACCACACCACACTTCCTTTTCAGTGAACTGCACATCTGTGGTTCTATTTTATGTGTTTGAAGAAGCGATGAGTCAACAGTAGTCTCCTTTGATTTATTCCTTGTTCCTTGTTTTTTCTCACTAACTGTCTTTAAAATATTTACTAAATATATATATATATATTTTTTTTTTCTGTTACAGTTGACGTCAGATGAATTGGCTGTTCTACCTCAAATCCATACAATGGCCAATCAGTTCATCCGTGTCTCTGTGAACAATAATGTGAGTCTAGACCGTGGCACTGATCATGGGGATTAGAATGGACTCCGCCACAAGTCTCTGTGAAATGGTTTAAGTTACAGTATCCAAAACCTGTAGCAGACATGTCAAACTCAGGCCCGGGGCCCAAATTTGGGCCCACAATATAATTATATTTGGCCTACGAGATTATATTAAATATATCTTAGAGCTGGCACACTGGCTACAGATAGACTATAGAGACATTATTTCTTTAAAATTTTGTTATTATTTTATATTATGCTTGTTCTGGATTCATTGTTTAAGCAAAACTATTATTAAACATTTATTTTAATAAGAAAAGGTTTAACATTATTTTCAGTAAATACTTTGTTTGGCCCACGACTTAGACCCAGTTTTTAATTTTGCTCCTTTGTGAATTTGAGTTTGACACCCCTGACCTGTAGCATAAATAACTATATTACACTCACAAAAAGACAGATTCATGATGTGTAATTACATTTTTAATTGAATAAACCTTGACACGGCCATACTTCTTTGAAATGGCTTGATCTTTCTGAAGCTAAGCAGGGTTGGGTTAGGTCTTGGATGGGAGACCACTGGGAATGCCCGGTACCACAGTGTAGCTGTAGCACCTGGAGGTCAGAAGCTACCTGCAACTCTTCAATCCCCTTCAAGTGCTTCCCCAGGGGATTTCTGAATTTTACTTATTATGCTGAATAACCCTAAACTGATTAATTACATGACTGTTGCCATTTTAAATGTAAAATTTTGATGCCTGTCTCTGTGCACTAATAAATAGATAATGTTTTTTATGGTTATGGTTTTACAGGCATCTAACTCTACCCCATGTAAACCATGGCATCTTTCTTAAATCTGTTCAATTTCTTGCGACTGCTAAAATTAGTAGCTTTTGGCATTTCCGTTTTGTAAAGGTCGCTCACTGGAAGAAAAAGGTTCGAGACCTTTGGCCTAGTGCAAACTGTTTTTGTGTCCTTAGGCAAGACACTTCACCAACCTTGCCCCACAGTGACTCTGTAGGCTATTGTATGAATGTGCGTATGTGAGAGCGAATGTAGGACAACAGATGGAAAATTGCCCATTGCTGCAGTAGGTCGTGTTTACAGCATGTATGTCATTGTTCATTAATATGTATTACCTCAAGCCAATATAACTTGATGAAAGATGTAAATCATTCATTAATTCAACAGAGGGTTTGGAGCATGCTTCAGTGAAACTAGGGAAACATGCAGGGTGATGTGGAGGACAGATTGATGTTATATTGTATGAATGGCTTGAGCAACAGCATCAGACTGGGATAGTATCCAGTTACATTTATACTTCATTGTTTATAACAAAATTACCCCTGTTAACCTCTTAAATCTGCCACACAGGGCCAGTTGGAGCTTGGGGATAAGAGCATCCATCTTGTCAGCACAAACTTCATGGCCTCTAATGGGATCATCCACATGATTGATGGACTGTTGATCCCGCCCACCATTGTACCCATAATGCCTCATCGCTGTGATATTGTTGAAAATAAGATCACTGTGGTGAGTTAACCACTTCTAAACAATTTAGTAAACAGGATTATAGGACAGTAAATATTTGCAGTAAAGACTTTTTGTATAAATTATACATTTATTTTTGTGACTGGTTTCTTGTTTTTGTCTGTGGTGATCAGAAAACTTAATTTATTTGAATTTTATTGGTAAATGCTCAATGCAATTGAAGGTTCATTCAGTCTTCTGTTGTCAAGTACTTTATTACAGAGCTTTTGCAATGTTATTGTAATAATTTATCTTGAATATACTTCAGTGAACCTACTAAATTTAGGCCACAGAGCAAAGTGGTGTTTTATGGGTTTATTTGTATTAGTCTAGTAGTGTCTATGTTTGTGTATTTTTGTATGTGGCAGGCTGTGTGTCCAAGAATATTCTTATATTCACTAGCAAGGACCACGCCACAACAATGGAGTAAGATAAAGATGTTTATTGACAGCGGATAGATGTGATGGCTGGGGGAGAGTTAGCGGTGGGGGTACAATCCAAAATGGCGTGGTCCAGCTCTTGAATCTCAGTTAATCATATTAACTCCATATAAAGGAAATATTAGGACCTATAAAGTAATCTTGGAATTTTTTGAATTGTGAATATTTGTGTTTCCAGGGCCCCTGTGTTCGCTGCAGTTACCTGTTTCAGACCAGCTGTATGGTGGGAAGTGTGGAGATGGTACCATCCTGTATTATACTGTACTTTTAGATATATTTGAAACAAGCTTCTATAACTGTGTGTGTTTTTGAAGGAGAGCCACATGACAGGATGCGAGTACCAGATCTCTGACTCTCAGCCAATTCTGAGCAAAGGCTGTGCCAAATACTGCAACACCACAAAAATAGTAAGACTTTTGGAAAACAGTTATGGTTAATGCAAGTAAAGTAGGAAGCTGGAGGATCTGCTGTGATTGGTCATTCAAAGTGATGTAATTTAGCCAGTTTAGGTTTAGTTAGTTCAGTTTAGTTTAGTAGTTTAGGGTTATAATTCAGATTAGTAAGGAAATTAAATTAGGAAATGGGTTGTGGTGAAGATTAGGTTTAGGAAAATGCTTTGGGTTATAGTTAATGTGTTAGCACTAACTTTAAAAAACAAATTTCTTACCTACTACCTACTACCTGACAGGTAATATAACAGAACCTTTTTGTAACCACAGACATTTTATAGATTACAGAGGCAACCATTGCTACCTCGTCTCTTCTATCCCTGCAGAACCATCTATCTAACACTAACGAACTGTTGGTACCATTTTACATTAACTACACTTTCATTATTAAGAATGATTTATGTTTATCTAATTAATACTCTAATCTCAGCTGAAAACTTAAAACTTAATTGAGTGTTGCTAAACCTGAATTATTCTTAATAAACAAATTTGAATTAAAAAGTCTTTAATAAAGCATGAACAAAGTGTGGTTATTTTAAAATGGTACCCAACTGTTATCTCTCAAGTTTTTGGTCCCAAGAAGATGGCTGCAATGATGGAAAAACATACCTCACACCAGAAAGAAATAATAATGGTTTAATCTGTTTATGTCCTTTACGAGAGGAGACTAACACCGTCTCTACGCAGGTGGCAGAGTGCTGTAAAGGGTTTTATGGTCCAGACTGTAAACCATGCATCGGAGGCTTTGAACATCCCTGCTTCGACAAGGGAACGGTGAGAGTCAAACTAGTATTTTTGTAATGTTCAATGTAATGTTGCCTCGCAAAACTACGCTGTGTCATGTAGAGGTCTGGGAAATTGCTAAAGCAGAATACTGAGTTTATTGTCTAGAGTTAAAATTATGAACAGACCATAAAGAGACTAAATGATCTAGTGTAATCTCCCACACAACGGTATAAAGTGATATTTCTGCTCTTTTGTGGTTAAGTTTATGGTTCATTCATGTTTGTGCAAGACTTGAACCTCAATCAGCACATTTACAAAGACTTTTTAGCACATTCCTGATTAGAGATGTCACATTTCTCACTAGACAAGATACGAGAATAAGGTAAAACTAGATTTGACATGAGTTCTTATAAATTAATTGGACAACCCAGTTTACAATTTTATGCATTTTATTTAATATTTTAGTTGTCAATGTCATTTTACCACTGTATTCTGGAACTACAGTTTCTCAAGGATGTGTAAGTCACTGGCATTTTACATTTGGATTGGAAAAAAAAAGGTTGACACTGATTACAAAAGTCTCACAAAATCATTTTTCTCATGTGTGCATAATCTTGTGGCACTTTTCTCTAACGTCTTGTGTCATGAGAGATGTAGATGTCTGTTCCTGATGGATTGTTTAAATATCTGAATATCAGACAATACAAAAAACAAAAACAAGATTGCCCACCCCTAGTGTCATGTTCTTTTGTTGAATTATATCCTAGAAATAAGTTTTATACCATCAGCTGCATTTGAAGCAATAGCTGGACTGTTCTGGTCAATAATGCTGCTTGTTTCTTGTTCATATATTGACCGATTGAGTGGCAGAGGGCGCACAGATGAACATTAACCTCCACTCTCCCACAGTGCTCCGATGGCATAAATGGTGATGGGTCGTGTTCTTGTCGGCCCGGCTTTCAGGGCGTGGCCTGTCACATCTGTTCAGACCGCAGCAAACACGGAGAGAACTGTGACGAGGGTGACCAAACAAGAACAAACACACACGTACACAATACAACAAACTATACAACTGCAATCTGCTTTCAAATGGGTTGAATTTGAAAAGAATACATAATTGATTTTATTTGGTTTCTTAAAGGCACAAAATTGAAAAGTTTTTTCATGGCCAACGCTGATATTCAAAATGACATATGACTGATAAGTTCTGCTGATATTTTTGGGCTGACATGTACGGCCCATTGGTACTTTTTCCCAAATTATATAAATTTACAAAACAAACCTATCCACAATCTTGTGTCACTAGTGCAAACCAATGTTTTTTGGCAGTGTCCTCTTCGCACGTAAGTGTTATGATGAAGTTAAATGTCTTCCCTTTAGTCCAGTAGTCTGCCAAACCAAAACATGTTCAAACTTTAAGGCCGATAGCTGATATGCTAAAAAGTACAAATATCTCTAGTTCAGTGTTCCTTACTGACCCAATACTAAAAAAATGTAAGTACATTTTCAATTCCATTTACATTTTTTTCTCCCAACCATGTCCAATGGACTAAACAATACATTCCTGATTTCTTGGATTAAAAAGCTCTTTTTTTTTCCTTTCAGAATGTAAGTGCGTTCACGGCGTGTGTGATAACCGCCCAGGCAGTAGGGGGGTCTGTCGTGTTGGCTCCTGTTTGGAAGGATTCTCTGGAGATTTCTGTGACAAACAAGAGACTCCATGTAACTCTGATGGACTGATGGAGCACTGCCACATCCACGCATTCTGCACCTACAGCGGCATTAACACTGTGTAGGAATCTCACCAACACATGGCAGCTTTGTTTAAAATACAGGAAGTAGTACTGACTTCTAAAACAGAATACTTATATGTCATTAACACAGAAAATTTCCATATAAAATACAGGAACAATTTTCACACAAGGCAGGCAAACAAAATGAACAAAATAAAGATGTTTTCTTTCATTTTTATTTGCACAAAATTAATGTGCAAACATTATGGTTGCTAAGAAAATTATGGAATTACCTCTACTTTTCTCTGCTGCCCATATACCAGCAGAAATAAAAATCATAAACAAAATTTAAAAACTAGGCAAGGTTAGTAAAATTTTTAAATATAAATATGTTTTAGGGAAATAACCTGAAAGAGAATGAGATAATTATGTTGATACTGAATTCACCTCTTCAGATAAACAAAAAAAACACAAGTGAAGCTTTTTTGTTTTTTACAGTTGTGTGTGTCGCGATGGATACGAAGGAGACGGGCACTCGTGTTCTCCCATCAACCCCTGCCTCAAGAGCAGCCGCGGAGACTGTGACGCTAACGTGAGGAGCTTTCAGTCATGCTGATGTTTCATAGGTTATATAGTTTCATAAGATTTGGAATGGTTGAAATAGGTAGAAGGTTTACTCTTGTCCAGTGCAGTGTGTCCCAATGAGGGGTAAGATTTCTGTATAAAGTCTCTTTTAATGACAAAAAATATCCTTATAAATGGTCAGATGGATGATAACCAGTGTTGGGAAGGTCACTTTTAAAATGTATTCCCCTACAGATTACAGATTACATATCCCAAAATGTAGTTTGTAACATTAATCCATTAAATTAATTAAAGTGAGTAACATAATCGGAATACTTTGGATTACTTGATATTGTCGTGCTTTTTAAAACGACATTAATGTAACAACCACATCCTGAATTTACTTAACCGTATTAAAAATATTATTGATAGAGAAATGATTTCTATATGAGATCACTGCTGACTTCAATTATGTCCATCCTACTGTTAGTGTCATATTGTATTAGTTTAGTCCTAGTTTAGTCCTGGTTTTAGTCCTAGTTTAGTCCTGATTTAGTCCTGGTTTTAGTCCTAGTTTAGTCCAGGTTTTGTCCTGGTTTTAGTCCTAGTTTAGTCCTGGTTTTAGTCCTGGTTTAGCCCAAAATGTGAAAACAGGAAAATCCTGCCATGTAATCCATTTATTTCAACAAAGTAACTGTTACGACCCAGCTCGTTTGGGGTGAGGGAAGTAACAAAAATAAAACCAAGATGTAAAATGGAATAAATTAAGTAATGTTTAATTAACAGGAATGTAAAGGTAAATTAACAAAACACTAAAAATATACAGAAAACAACCTAAACTAAGAAACAGAACAACAGAATAAACAGAGTTTTGTGCCAGAAAAGGGGTCACGCAGGCTTACACAAAAACAAGTGGTAAAACTTAGGGACACACACTAAACTAAAACACAAGTTCCCCAAATTAAACCACATAAACCCACAAACAGAATCGAGTGACCAAATAAAAAAAGGCACAAAACAGAATGAGACTAAACTACATACACAAAACCAAAATAGCAGACTGGCCACCAAGGCCAGCAGCCCCGAACAGGTGCTGGCAATCTTCTTAAATAGGGGGAGGTGGCTGCAGGTGAGGTGGGCATCGACTTGCCCCACCAATCACAGACCAGGACTCCTGCAGCAGGAATCAAGAGAACTCTGCACAAATATTACAACTAAGGCCTGGGGCCGTAACAGTAACTGTAATCCAATTACCACTCACTGAAACAGTAACTGTAACCGAATACAGTTACTCATAATTTCTACTCTGATTACGTAACTCTGGTATATGTAATCTGTTAATCCCCAACACTGATGAAAACTCAAGAAAAATGCTGGTACAATGACAGTATTTCCTCCGTTGTTCCTTTCACTGCTAGTTCTCATACCAATGACTTAAAATGGTCTTTCAAGCCATTAAAACTCTCTGCACCCTTTTACTGTTAAGTCAAAACCCTCCTCTGCCTCATTTCTACCACTTCAGCAGAAACAGCCGCCCCTTCATCCTCTCAATCTTCTCTCCCATGTCTCCAGTGTCCACTTTTTAGAGGCAGGTATTGTTCCCATGTAATCTCTCATACGTTCCAATCAGTTAACAATTCAACAGATTTCTGTCGCACGCACATTTAGGGCTCCAAGATTAATTGTAATCAAATCAAAAACACAATTTTAATGGAGACAGAGGCAGCTACCATCATTTCCTCAAACAAACAACAAAATGTGCCTGTGTCCACGTCTCTCCTGATTGAATAGTTTTTAGGAAAATGTCAATTCTAAAGCTTTTAGTAGAAACTCTCACACTGACCTTCTCTTGTAGGCTGGGTGTGTGTATAATGGTCCCGGTAATGCGTCCTGCGTCTGTGCTGAGGGATGGAGCGGTGATGGGAAAGTCTGTGTGGAGATCAACCTCTGTCAGAGCAAATCCGAGCAGTTCTGTAGCCCCAACGCCAAATGTGTTCACATCGGCCCAGCCCAGGTACAGCAAGGAAAATGTGTGCAATGTTTTTTTTACTAGTATGTGCAGATGAAATCTAATCTAAAAAAAATATATATATGAATTTGAATTACTCCTGTTGCAATTAAGTAGTAGGATAAGATTATACAGTAATCAATAATCATGTTTATTCACAATATAATCACAAGAAGTATTTTTCATCTGTTAGAGTACTTTTTTGTCCATTTATGTTACATTAGCACTCAGAAAGTTTGCTAGAGACGTTTTATAAAGATGTCACTTACTAGAAAAGTGGTAACAACACAAAACATAGAAAATGGATGTCAATTATAGTTATGGCGTCAATAATCATGAATAATTGTAAAATTGTGATTCTTCTTGTCACATTTATAACATTTGATTTGAAGTGTGAAATCCACTGTTGCAGTTATTATTATTTTAGATTATTAAATGTGCACATGCCCTTTACATTGATGGGTGCAGAAGGCAATATTCCTCTATTGGGAAATGGAAAACATCTGCCCATCAGCACACCAAAACTGTGCATATTAATTATTTGTACCAGGAGTGTCAAACTCAAATTCACAAAGGGTCAAAATTAAAAACTGGGACTAAGTTGAGGGCCAGACTAAATATTTATCAAAAAATGTCAACAACATCTGCATGTTTTCTCTTCTTTTGAGATTTGTAATGTTAAACCTTTTCTTATTAAAATAAATGTTTAATAATAGTTTTGCTTAAACAGTGAATCCAGAACAAGCATAATATAAAATAGTAACACAATTTTAAATAAATAATGTCTCTATATCCTATCTGTAGCCGGTGGGCCAAATTTGGCCCTCAGGCCTGAGTCTGACATATCTGCCTTATACAGAACAAGCCATTCTAGATACCCTCTGAAAATATGTAATCTGAAAACAGGCTTATGATCTGATGTGATTGACTGCATACTTTTCCAACCTTTCATTGTCCAAGCTGTAGACTTGTTTTGTGTTTCATGACTTAATAAAAGGAATAAGTTGCAGAAAAATAGAATAGTTTTAATAATGTGGTGGTAGAGAGACATGTGTAATCCAAGTAGTTTTCATAGCAAAAGAAAATTTAATTCTGTCAGCAGGACAAATGTTTTGGAGTGAAGACGTTTCACTGCTCATCCAAGAGGCTTCTTCAGTTCAGTTTTGTCCATTTGATATAATTCAATTTTCTTTTGTGGGAGATGAAAAAAAAAATTCTTGCCAGTTTAACCACATGTTGAGTCCTTTGTGTTCACAGGCTGAGTGTGTATGCAAAAGAGGCTACATGGGAAATGGAAAAGTGTGTGAACTCATTAACCCCTGCACTGAGAACAACGGAGGATGTCATGAAGTGGTAAGAGTCTGCAGGGCTTGACATGACAGTTTACATTCAGAATGAAGTGAATGCAGGCTCCATGTAACACTGCCTAATCCTGCCTTTATTTTGAAAGACTACATTTTTTTCTTGCATGTAGTAATTGTCTAAAAAAACATTTGTCGCACATAAAATTCAGTTTAGTTTTTTTTTCCTCAATTTGATGCTGATGTCATCAGCATTCCCTGGGGTGGGATGTTTACTGGAGGCTTTGCTTTGTCTGAGGCTTATTAGATTTAATCTATGCTTTATTTTAACACAATCTGACCAGAAAGAACTGATTTAGCTGGAACTACATCAGGTGAGCTGATTTGTGTTGTTAAGCAAATCTCTCACTTACACAATTACAGTCACAAGATAGTCAGTTAGTCTCAGTTACCATTTTTGTTAAAAATCAAACACCTAAACAGGACATCTTAAAACTGTGATGTCACTGCATTTCACGTGTTACTGATTTTAATTTTTTTTACAATTATTATTTTTATACAACTAAACCATTTTTCTTCTCCCGTCTCAATTATTCTCTATAGAACTATATACTATGACGATGTAATCTAAGCATGTATTCACTACTCTTTCTGGCTTTATAATGATGACTTTTCCCACAATGCTTTCTTAGTTTTTCTTCTTTGTGTTAATTCCCAGGCGACCTGTAAACAACTAGAGGGCGGGACCCACACCTGTACTTGTCCAGATGGTTTCCATGGCAATGGCAGCACTTGCTATGGCACAGTCCTGGAGGTAAATGAAGGATCAAATTTCCAGATGTTGAAATAATAAATCAGGGGAGTTCATTATAACTTCTCTGTCCCTGGTCTCTCTTGCTTGTGTGCAGGAGTTGGAAATGATGCGGTGGAGGCTGACTAATCTCTACAGTTTTTTAAGGGTGAGATGAAGCAAAAAAACAGAAAGAAGGAAGGAAAAGAAAGAGAGACAAAGCCTATTCAGACCAGGAATACCTTGCTGGAGTATTAGTTTGCATGTTTTAAATATACAGTTGTCTTCATATTTTTAAAATTCATTTGTATATACTCTTTTAACATTTCTGATTTCTGATTTAATACAACATTCTGTCACACTGCATACAGACAATCAGACATATACCAGAGTATTTCTATGGGAACATCACAGTGCTGGCACCCTCTAGAGGTGCCATCATGAACTACAGCTCAGAGCAATACATCTTCTGGTCCAGTCGACACCACGCCCTTTACTTCATACGGTTAGTTAAAACTTTGTAGTGACACCTACTTAAAAGATTGAATATTGGAAATAGAGTTGTTGAACACACTGTTGTTTTGCCCTTGCCCTTTGCGCTGAGAGAGATGTGTATGTTTGTGTAAGCTTTTGTTTTGCTTCTTGATCAGAGTCTGCTATTTTTTTACAGCTCTCATGTTTTGCCTGGAGTGTACTCTGTGGAAGACCTGGATAAACTGGTGGGAACTAAAGTGTCCACTCTGAATCCTCCCACCAAATGGGAAGTCAGCAAAACCAGTACTGGGGTGAGTCTCTGACACTACAACTCCCCTTGTAGCAAAAGACTGCCAGTACATTGGCCAGGGTTTAATTATTGCATTTATTTTGAATATGTTCACGTGGACTGGCCTATTAAATACAAAGATGTTAACAAGAAAGTATGCCACATTTTCACAGCTTATTATATATTTGAATTTTATCTACCTTTCATCTAATTTTTACACCACATGACGTTTACAACTTTATTATTACTTAGATGTTTTATTTTAAAAAGAAATATGTTTTTTAATCTTCATCTTGCCCATTATTGAGTAACTATTACTTCGTTACAGATAATCCAGATTGGAAACGCCACCATCACTGACTCCAACCATCCTGCCATCAACGGCTACATCCACATCATAGACCAGGTATGTGCACCAGTATGACTTAGGAAAACAAAATTAAACCTGGAAAGACAGACACGAAGAGAACAGGAGAGTTGAGTGAAGGGGACAATGAGAGGATGAGAAGATGAGGAGTGTGAAGGGGACAATGAGAGGATGAGAAGATGAGGAGTGTGAAGGGGACAATGAGAGGATGAGAAGATGAGGAGTGTGAAGGGGACAATGAGTGGATGAGGAGAGCGATGAGATGACAGGAAGCCGAGGAGGTGCTGGGGAGGAGGTGGGGCAAACACGTCTGCAATGGGCAGTGTTGTGCATGAACGAGTTCAAAAGAACACGTTCATTGAACACGTTCATTTTTCAGTGAACTTTGAACTGAACACAACACTTTTGTAAATCAAGAACTTGAACGTGAATTTGTTCCAATTATGTGTGATGAACGACGTACGTCACTGTTGGGCTTCAGTTAAACGTCGAAATTTGTTTTCACCTGACGAGTGACGATCTGCTCGCACTTCACCTCGCGAAACCACAGCCGCGTGTCAACGCGAAGGCGACTCCACCGGCAGCTTTAGCGGAACGTACGGGCTCTTGTGTCTCTCAATGGGAAAGTCAATCAAACTTGACTGGGCGCGTTTAGCTGCTTGTATTTACCTTCTGTACAGGCTGACCACGGCAAACGCAAGGATTTCAAAAGTAAATTTCAAAGCACTAATGAACAGTCTATGTGAATCTGGGCTCTTTCACATGATACACAACTGCCCAGGGAGCACAATGTGCTGATGGTAAATGCACAAATACAACAATAGATACATGCTCTCTGTGGATTTTCACGGGGATACGCGCCTACGCTCGTGTAGAGCGTCAAAAAATAGGATGGATCCTATTTTCTGAAATCTACACGCACAGGACGTGCTGCTCCGCGCGTATTATTTTACTTGGTACATATGTCAGTAACGCGCGTCACAATGCTTTTTTAACCTGGATTGAAATGGTGGGTTTTTCGTTTTTCTTCATACAAATTTGCTAAAATCACCGCGATATCAGCAGCGGTGAAACGCCGGAGCTGCGCCCGCGTAGACCGTGATCCTGAGCGAAAGGACCGACGCAGAAGTCCGCGCTCCACCGAACTAAACGCAGCTGACGCCCGATCGCACTCGGGGTTCACTCAGGGGCGGTCCTAGATTCCAAGTTCTAGTCCAGGATTAGTCCTGGTTTGGTCCTGGTTTAGTCTTGGTTTAGTCCTGGTTTAGTCCTGGTTCAGTTCTGGTTTAGACCTGGTTCAATTCTGGTTCAGTCCTGGTTTAGTCTTGGTTTATTCCTGGTTTAGACCTGGTTCAGTTCTGGCTTAGTCCTGGTTTAGTCCTGGTTTAGTCCTGGTTTAGACCTGGTTTAGACCTGGTTTAGTCCTGGTTTAGACCTGGTTTAGTCCTGGTTTAGACCTGGTTTAGACCTGGTTTAGTCCTGGTTTAGACCTGGTTTAGTCCTGGTTCAGTTCTGGTATAGACCTGGTTTAGACCTGGTTTAGTCCTGGTTTAGTCCTGGTTTAGTCCTGGTTTAGTCCTGGTTCAGTCCTGGTTCAGTCCATATACGGCGCAAAAGTTCAGCATCTTAACAGTTCTTTTGGTGAGAGTAAATTAAAAGTGCTGCAATAGTCATGTAATGTTTTACATTTTAAATACAGTAATATTGTAATGTAACAAATGACTCTGAAATGACAGTAACAAGTCATAAATAACACATTACAGTTTTAAAGTCACTTGTCCAACAGTGGATCTTGTAAAGTTGTTGTAAACTAGAAGTCAGTTTGAAAAATAAAAGCAGCCTTTCATTTACAGATCTCATCTAAATATAAAATGAACTGAACTTTGAACTAGTTCAAAATTAAAATTGTGAACTATGAACGTGAACTATTCACTTTGAACAAGTGTGAACTGAACTTTGAACTAGTTCATGAAAAGTGTGAACTTGCACAACACTGGCAATGGGGGGTTTAAATTGGGCAGAATCAGCGCTGACAAAGAAGAGGTGCGGTGAATGACGGAAAGGAGTAAGTGGAGCCAGTTGATGAAGGATGAGGAGCAGGTAAACTCTGGAGAAGCAATGAGGTAGATGGGAGCGAAGTTAGGTTTTCCAGACTGAATTTACGCTAGTTCCATTTGTACCTCTTTATTTGTGTTTTATTGTATCTTATGCTGTTACCCTTCAGGTCCTGGCTCCTGCTCTGACTGAGATTCCTCCAGATCCTCCTGTACTAATGGGCTTTCTCAACACAACCACCAACTTCAGTCTGTTCAGAAACTATGCACTGGTATTGCACTTGTGTCCATCTCAGACTCCATTAAACAATGAATCAACTACCGAATATGTGCATTTTGTAGATCATGTAGATAAAACTGTACATAGAATCTCCCACTTAATCAGATAATGTTTTTGTCATTACAGCTGTATAATCTTTCTGGTGAGCTACAGTCCAGCTTCACTCTGCTACTGCCCACAGATGAGGCCATCAGAGAATACATTCAAAAAAGCAACTCCACTGAACTGGTAATCAATAGAAACCAATTTTTACATAAAAAAAAAAGAAAATTCTATAGATTTTATGTCAGACCATGTTTCTAGCCTTGTGTTTATAGATAATTGTGGTCAGGCTTATCTCTTTGTGCTTCAGTCTCATTTCTTTTCTTCCTGTAGGACTCTGATACGTTCAAGTACCACGTAATTCCTGGCTCTGTTCTGTATCCGGACCAGCTCTACGATGGTTTGGTCAAAAGCACGCTCCTGGGTACAGAGTATCAACTGCAGTTTCACATCAGTGACAAAAATGAGGTAGTCTAGTCTTACAATGAATTCAACTTACACAAGCTCCATTCACTGACATTTGGGAATAGAGTTGTTAAAGGGACAGTTCGGAATTTTGGACATAGGCCCTTATTTCCTAATTAGCCAGAGTGTTGGAGACGTGTGGAGACACTCGCTGGTGCTGTCAATGACCATAGTTATCCTGCCACTAAAAACAGTCTTACCCACTCCACAAAACAGCCAAAGCAAATTTATTATAACGCCAAACTGTCGCTGTACATGTCTGTGTTGATATATAATTAATAATTTTAGAAGTAAAACTAACTTTGCATTTGAAGGATTTATGTCTGAGCAGCAGTGAGTTGTACTTCCTGACAGAAAGCTTGGCAGAGGCAGACTGATATATGAGAAAATAGTCTCTCAACTTGTGACGAGGCATGCAGTGCTAGGGTAGTTTTATTTCAAACATTATTTTATCAACACAGACATTTACATCAGTAGTCTGGCGTAATAATATCTTTGCTTTGGGTGTTTTGTGGAGTGGGTAAGACTGTTTTTAGTGGCAGGATAACTATGGCCATTGACATGCACTAGTCTAGCACCAGCGACCTCTGCAAATTAGAGATGTGCGGATGGGCTATTTTTTCATCCGCAACCGCGACACAAAACTCATCATCCGCCCGCTGTCCATTTTGCACCGAAGGTTTTCAAAACTGCACCCGCCCGCCATCCGCCAATTGATTTTAGATATTAGAACAATCATACAGCAAACAAACTAAAGAGCCTCGATAAAAATGCAAACTCTATAGCTCATTCATTCCAAAATTCGCTCAGCGTGTATGTTCGCATTCTTAATTGTCCGTAACAACCCCAAACTTACCTGGTTTTCTTGGGCAGCAAATTAATTGACAATGTTTTCTGACTAGGCTATTTTTGAACCTTCTTGCCTTCGTGTTGGATGTTGTTACATTCTGAACATTCTGCCATTGCCCGATGTTATTTCAAAGTCATAGCCTCACTCCATCGGTCTTTCTTTAAGTTTTAAATACCCCGAGTGGTAGTCTACGCTATAATGTCTGAGTGTTTTAAAATATATCTGATATCGAAACAAAAAAAAAGCATAACTAAATAAATATGGCCCTATAGCCACTTACGTGGCTACGCAAACAGCTGAAATAAATTAGAAATAATAAAATAAACTGCATATAATATGTGCCTCGTAAACCTTAGGCATCAATAACCTGACACAACCTTAACCTTCAGAACATAAAAACGAGGTCAAATGGGCTAATTGGGCAATGAGACTCGTCTTGTCAGATGTACGTAACAATACTAACAATAACTTTTTTTTTTTTTTTTTTAGTAGTAGTTAAACCGCCACCCGCCCAAATTTAATTAAAATATAATTTTTCGTCACGTCATCCGCCCGACCTGCGGATTAACCGCGGATACCGCGGTTGTAACCGCAATCTGCGCATCTCTAGTGCAAATACAAGGACTGGATGGAATAGTTATAAAAGTGTCTCCACACGTCTCCAACACTCTGGCTCACTAGGAAATGAGGTCCTATGTCCAAAATTCCAAACTGTCCCTTTAAGTGTGACATCACTTCTGGGTCCAAGGCAGGCTGGATTGTGGCAAAAAAAAAAGCAAAAATGAAATATGATTCATGTTTGTTTTGTTTTACTGTTTTGGATCATTGCTGTAATTTTACTTGTGCATGTCCTGTGTTTTTGCTGCAGACAGCTGTGAATGACGTTTCTGTCGGTAAAAACTTCATTGAGACTGAGACTGGAATCATTCTGGTTCTCAGTCAGGTTCTCAGAGTGCAGAGGAACCGGTGTGGAAAACCAGTTGTGACGCAAGTGAATGTAAGCAGACAGCTCTATTTTGGTCTTGGTTATACTGTCTTACATAGCTAAAGGTAAACATGTGCGCCTGAAGTATGCTGTCTTATTTTATCCTAATTTCTGTTCCAAGCTCTTTTCACATAGTTTACTCTTTTTAAGTGGTTATCTCTTGCTTCTCAGTCCAACCGCAGTTTTGCCCTGGGGTCTTGAGTCCTTGTTTTTTTGTATGTGTCTTTGTCAGGGTAGATGCACAGACTGCGATGGACCTCCTCGCTGTTCAAGGAACTACAAACCGGTCAGTTTCCGTAATTTTGAGAACTGAATAAATATTTACACAATTTCAGCAGTGTGACTTTGTGTAAGAATGCAGCCAGATTTTTGCCTAATGTCGCTTCTATTTTAATTTCTACTCATAAGTGTTCAAAAAGACAAATCTGCCAAATATTTGCAAAATTTTCAATACAGATATCTGGGAAAATCCTCCAGTATATTGTCATTATCTGATAACTGATAAACCATCCTTCCAGTGTTAAAAGCTTTTCTCACATTTTTGTGTTGTCTACAGGTCATGAACAATTTTCCTTCCAACATGAAGTCCAACTGTAAATTCCGCAAACGTGTCGGCCTTAGGTCCAAATCTGTGCCAGGCTGTGTCATCAAGTGCGTTCAGACGACCACAGTAAGAACACAGACAGCCAACAGAAATAGGCCCACAGATCCAAGGGCGTTTGATTTGCATATCACTGAATTAAATTTGACTAAACGTTTTAAATATGATGTGAGTTTAGCTAAAAACAGAAGAATAGGTTGTCTGAAAAAAGCCTCTTGCAGTGATGATGGCCCTTGCCTTAGCACACACGCCCCTCCCACGAGACTGCTGGGGACTAGCAACAGCCCCAGCACGCAATCCTCTCTTCCTGACAGCGGCCTAGGCCAAGAGATCCTCCACCAGAAAAATTACATAGTGCACCTTTAAAAGTATAAAAAGTAGTAGTAGTATAAAAACTAAGGCATAGGTCTCTCCGACATTTACGATTAGGAGCATGTCAGTGAATGTTCTGTAAAGTTTCACAAATTAATGTCAAAGTATTGTTTTCTCCCTATTTGCAAACCTGCAACTTGTGCATTCCTATAGGTGGCGCTGTAGCACTGATAATTGTGTTTGACATACCAATGGTATCAGGGTCATGCAGAGTATAACTGATAGAAATTTCAGCACGATCGGACAAAACATGTGTGTGTAATAATTTTTAATGTTTTTTTGGGGGGAGAGTCTTTGTGCCCCTGTTGGCCAACCATGAAATAATAATAATAATATATTTATTTGCTCATAAACATGCATAAAATTCAATCTCCAAATTTGTTCCAAATTTAATAATGTTCACATTTCATGTCTATGCCAGGGGCGCTATTGTGCTCAGTTTTAGTAGACTTCATAGTCCGATAAATTCAGTTGGTAATCAATCTCTAGACAATGGCTGTGGCCTTGAGAGGTCATCAAAAAAACAAGAAATGAAGGTGTTCGGTGGTGAATTTTTGATCCAAGATGGCTGACTTCCTGTTCATCATACAGGCAAGCTTTAATTCAACTTTTGGCTTGTCTCATTGTTTTCTATCACTTTTCCGAATTTCGTTTGCCTGCGACAAACTTTATTTGTCCCCATCTCATAAGGGTCCACTTCTAGGCCTCACTGTTGAGTCAGGTCACTTTGGGCATTGTTCTAGTGCCCATTTTATTGAATTTTTCTGCGACGTTCAGAGGGTCAAAAATGCAATAATTTTGTCAGAAGAAAATAATAAAAAGGACCTAACGAAGAACAATAGCCCTCGTCAGTTACTTAGTTACAGGCTCAGCCCAATAAAAAAATCTGCTAAAGCTGTGGTGCTGTGTCTCTGTGCCATAGGACCTCTCGTGTTGCCCCGGTTACTACGGCCATGATTGTTACAAATGTCCAGGTGACGTGGGGAGCCCCTGCTCAAACCATGGCCAGTGTCAGGACGGCCACGAGGGGAATGGAGAGTGCCGCTGTTTTGAGGGTTTCCACGGGACGTCCTGTGAAGACTGTGAGCCCGGCAGATACGGAAACAACTGCACCCAACGTGAGTACAGGGGGCGATCAAACGGGTGGGGGAAAAAGGGGAAACAGGAAACTAGCATATATACTTGCACCTCAGACCCTCAGTCAGACTGCCAGCACCATCAGAACATCTGGGACCGGAGCCCAGAGTATGTGTTGATCTTTGATGACACAACACATCGTTTCTATAGTGGAATCCCATCCATAATGGGGCGGCAGTAGCTCAGTTGGTAGAGCATTCGCCCACTGATCTAAAGGTTGGCGGGGCGAATCCAGTTCTCGACGTAAACATCACAAGGTTGAGCAGTCAGATCCACTGACCCACAGGTTGGCTGGTGTGATTCCAGTTCCCACAGATGAATGCTGTCGTTGTGTCCTTGGGCAAGACACTTAACCCACCCTGCCCACAGTGTCCGCGTACACTGTTGTGTGAATGTGTGTGTGAATGGGTGAGTGGTTCCTTGTTGTAAAGCACTTTGAGTGCCTTGAAGGTGGAAAAGCGCTATAGAAAAATGTGACCATTTACCATAATGAATAATGGTACAAAAGAGTAGAGCTGAGCAGCCTGCAAAAGTCTTGTCCGAACCATAACTAAACTGAAGCCATGGATTGTAACTCATTTCTGATGTATCATTACCTGATACCATCGATTATCTATGTGCTTTTATTTTTTTTGTTTTTGTTTTTGTTAGCACGATAAGTTACCTCATTATTCATTATTCATTCATTATTTTGCTCAAACTCATAGATGACCAATGAGCTCCTTCGTTTCACATGCATCTTTTGATCAAATTAATCTGATGGGACCAGACTGACCAGCCTGCTATAATGATCCATGGCATTCTCAGGCTCTGTTGTGTTTCAGGGTGCCGGTGTGATCATGGGAAATGTGCTGACGGCCTAGCAGGAAGTGGACGCTGTGACTTGCTACAAAGGCTGGAAAGGATCCACCTGCTCCATCGGTAAAATACACAACAAGTGATCAATGGTCTTAATGCTGTCCGTAAGCCCTAAGCTCTTCAACAATATTAACTATGTAATCCAAATTAGGTTATAAAATTACAACAAAATCTCTAATGATATCAAACATCAGTTATTCAGCTAGGGTCAAAATTAGCAGTATGATGAACATTGCTTAATTGGTTAAAAACGCACTTCTAACGTCCAATTGCAAACAGGAAAACCATGCTGGAAAGCCTGATAATACAGACTTTTAAATTATGGCTCGTAGAGTGTGTAAGATTGCTGAAAATGTTGGAATCAAAAACTGTTTCCCAACCTAACGGAATTTGTGTTTGCCAGAAATCCGTGATGACGCCTGTGGAGGAATCTGTGACCATAACGCTAAGTAAGAAAGTGTCCCTGATCTAAGCTTGTTTCTCATGTTTGTGTTGATTAATTACTATAATGTATGTTTGCGGCAGCTGTATCACTGGACCTCAGGGCAGTGCTCCAGCGTGTGTGTGTGTCGCTGGATATGAAGGCAATGGGACACACTGCAAAGGTACACACCAGCACAATGCTATTCACAAAGGCAACGGCAATTAACTAATTTATCATTGAATAAACTGCAGTGTGGCGCATGAACAATAGGGGGCAGTGTTGTAATTGGAGTGTTTAATCACCTCTGACTTGTTGGCAAGCTTTTTCATGGGCCATCTTTCTAAGTGTCAACTCATGTGACTAGACACTTAATCTACTTTTTTGCTACTAATCTGTGACCATGCTGTTTTAATAGCCTTCTCTAATAACATTATCAATAATACCTTGCACTTGTGATGCGCCCAAACTGTTACACTGTTGTCATTTACTCCACACTCTGTGGTGGTGGTAACTCCTGTAGCCACAGCTTCTCCGGGACAGACTGGCAGAAGTGAGGCTGCCAGTCTGTACTGTTGGATCAAACAACCACCAATCACGTTAACACACAATATTCATACAAGTCATAGTGATTTTTTTTTTTTTTTTTTATTTTTTTTGTATAAATGTTAATTTGCAGTTTTCGGGTCTAATACTGTGAAAGTTTGTGTGGGCCCAATGGCCAATAGGACTTTGTTCCCCCTCCAGTCTCTGCCCAGTTTAGCATCTCTGTTTAAGGAGTTTAGTTTTTAGTCCCTCTTTAAAAATTTATTCAGTGTTCATTGTCCTTGTCAGTCTGTTTTCAATTTTGATACTTGGACTATCAGAAAATTTTGGTACTTACTCCTTAACTTACTTTCCCTAAAACTTTCTCGCAAACTGTATCCATGTCATAAAACGTTTCTTAATAGTTTGCATCTCAGTGTTTGGAAATCCTTTGTTTTTGTGAGAGCTGATTGTGTGATGTTTGTGTGTTAGAGCTGGATTTGTGCAGAATATCCAATGGAGGCTGTTCACCGTTCGCTATTTGTACCAAAGTGTCAGCGGGAGAGCGCACCTGCAGCTGCAGCGAAGGCTACACAGGCGACGGAGTGGTTTGTATAGGTATACACAACAAGAACCTTTCTATAAATTAATGAACTACAGAAGAGAACTCAATTTTACATTTATTCACTTTACTCGTCCCTCACAAATAATTACAATATCATAAAAATGTTCAATATTTTTTGTCACTCATTTCACAACGTAATACCCATCGTTTATATAGAATCATGACATAAAGTGAAATATTTCACACAGTGTCTGCGTACACTGGTGTGTGAATGTGTGTGTGAATGGGTGAGTGGTTCCTTGTTGTAAAGCTCTTTGAGTGCCTTGAAGGTGGAAAAGCGCTATAGAAAAATGTGACCATTTACCATTTATTTCTAGAGTTTATTTCTTGAATTTTTTATAATTGTGGCTTACATCCATTAATGTGTCCATTTTCTTCCGCTTTGTGCGGGGCCAGGTTGCGGAGTTAGCAGTCTAAGCAGGGACTCACAGACTTTCCTTTCCATGCACACTTCCTCCAGCTCTTCCAGGGAGACCCCGAGGTGTTCCCTGGCCAGCCGAGAGACATAGTCCCTCCAGCGTGTGCTGGGTCTTTCCCGGGGCCTCCTCCCACCAGGAGGACAGGCTTTTGGCTTACAGTTAATGAAAAAACAAAATTCTGTGTTTAAGAAAATTAGAATATTGTGAAAAGACTGAATATTAGGAAGTAATGGTGTTACACCTTAATCAGCTAATTAACTGAAAATGCTTGCAAAGGTTTCCTGAGCCTTTAAATGGTCTTTCAGTCTGGGTCAGAGGACTACACAATCATGGGCAAGCCTGCTCACTGGACTGATGTCCAGAAGACAGTCACTGTCACTGAAGGCGTCCATCAAAGCAACCTGTGCTTCTGTTACACCTGAGCAGTGCCACAGGGTGACCGCCTCCATGTCACTTCACATTGATGCAGTAATTCATGCCAAAGGCCCAACCAAGCATTAAATACATAGAAGTCAATATATTTTTCAGAATCCTGACATTTTTGTTTAAAATATATATATTTTAATTCATCTTATGTAATATTCTAACACTGACACTGAGACACTGAATTTTGTTTTTTTCATTACCTGTAAGCCACAATCATAAAAATTCAAGAAATAAACTCTTGAACTATTTCACTGTGTGTGTCATGAGTCGATATAATGGAAGGGTTTGACTTTATGAAATGTCAAAAAATATTGAACTTTTTTCTCATATTCTAATTCTGATATTCTAATTATTTGTGATGGACTAGTATATACTATTTTTGAGCAGGAGTTCCCAAACTTTTCAGACAGGATCTGCAAAATAATCGTAGAAGCATTGCCTTGCATTTCCATAAGGTCTAATTGTTCTGTGCCTTTAGAGATCGATGGGTGTTTGGTAAATAACGGAGGATGCGGCGCTTCAGCTGAGTGCATCCGAACTGGACCCAACACAGTAAGAACAAACCTGCTCTGTCCTCTGTCCTCTGTTCTCTGTCCTCTGCTCTGTCCTCTGCTCTGTCCTCTGTTTTCTGCACTGTCCTCATCTCTGTCCTCTGCTCTGTCCTCTGCTCTGTCCTCTGTTCTCTGCTCTGTCCTCTGTCCTCTGCTCTGTCCTCTGTTTTCTGCACTGTCGTCTTCTCTGTTCTCTGCACTGTCGTCTTCTCTGTTCTCTGCACTGTCCTCTGCTCTGTCCTCTGCTCTGTCCTCTGCTCTGTCCTCTGCACTGTCCTCTGCTCTGTCCTCTGCTCTGTCCTTGGCCTTACACAGGAAGTGACATCACTGACAGTTGATCTGACCGCTTCTGTCTTCCTGTTTCAGACGGCGTGCCATTGTCTCCCTGGTTTCAAAGGATTGGGCCAGTACTGTTTCCCGGTGAATCCCTGTAGAGATGTACGTTCACCTTCACAACATAATGACCTACAACCACAAAATAAACATGTTTCGTTTTTAGATACTTATTCTGGTTTAATATTAGTCTTCTTGGAAAACATAGACACAAGAACCCTGAGAGTGTGCAATTTATTGAAGAAATGGCTGGTTTATTCTAGCGAATTCCAGCTCAAACTGGTTTGCTCTGGTTCACTCCAGTACACACAGGCAGAGAGAGAGCGATAGAGAGAGTTAAAGTGCGCACGATAGAGAGACAGAAGGAGAGAGAGCTAGTGTAGGCAGCTCCAGCTCGGGTTCTGTCCTGCACCAACAGAATCCAACGGTTCACCAGCTCTCTTACAGCACTTTTCCAAGTTTGGTTTGTAGCCCAAGATATGAACAGGGACATAAGATGAAAAAAATTATTTCCTCAAAAATCCATACCTGGTGGATCACAAGCCAGGGTTCTTATCATGTCCTGTTATAACCTATGGATTAAAATACACATCACGGCAATTACAGAAAGAAGTAGAAGAAGAACAAGTAAATATATTGCTTAAGATAAAAGATGCAATGGTGTGGTATAATTTTGATTTGACAATAATGTATGCAAAGCAGTAATTCTAGAGTCAAAAGTTCAATTATCCCCTTGGCTACATTCAGTTATTAAAAGAGGAGTTTGATTTCTTAATAGGGTACATTCCAATCAGGTTTAAATTAGAGATGCCAATTCACACCTGATATCTCAAATTTAGATTATTTTTAGCTGCAGTGCAAATGAACTGGTTTTCTCTTTGCCTCAGGACAATGGTGGTTGCAGCAGACATGCCTACTGCAACTATATGGGCCAAGGCCAGAGAAACTGCACCTGTCGTAGCGGTTACATCGGGGATGGATTTGAGTGTCGGGGCGGAGTAAGCTCTGTGAGTCACATGACCTGTGACCTGATAAACAGAACACTAGAGTGGACATGGAAACAGCTAGTTTTTTCCTGAAATACTTTGAAACATAATAGATATTAATCACACTTTAATTTTGTCAAAATGCCAAATTACATTTTATGGACAAATCTTTTAATAGATTAACTATCTTTAAAATGATAATTCCAGGCTATTATTACTGCAATAGTAGCCTTTGTATGACCCGTATCATCACCTGATATCAACTAATCTTACTTAGTTATTTTTATGGGAAGAGCTCTTTAGATTTCAGTTCCAATAGGTGATCATTGGAATATACACTTTTGATTTCTATTACCTGTCTCTGACCTATAAATCACATGACCTTGAGCTCTGACCCTTGTGTTTTCAGGAAATGACTCGGACAGAGAATGCATTCTTCCGGCAAATGTTTACGGTGGGTCTCTAAGGGTGTTTTTACACTGCCACTAGTTACATCAACGTAAAAGAGCTTTTGATACAACAGCAGCACAACCGTTGGACTCTGGAGCAAGGGTGCTGTAAAATCAGTTAACCTCAGCCTTTTACTTCGCAGTCCTTGGGTACAATAAAAAGCGCTTGGTTCACGTATCTTTGTATGAATGGGCACTGCTGACCTAGCTGTTTGAAATTTGGATCAACTTAAGATCAACAATTTTAGGAGGCCAATGTGTGTTCTAAATAAGGTTATAATGTATTGTCAAATAAACACCTAATGAATACACCATAAAAGTACTAGTTTCAGTAACTATATCTTGAAAATGGATTTTATGCATTTTTTTGCACACAATATGATTAAATTTGCTATGAGCTGTTATTTTTCCACAGCTGTCTGGCATCAGGAATCTTTATGGGGATGGACCTTACACTGTATTTGTCCCTGTAGAGGAGACAAATAATCATTCTGTTGTAAGTAAACTTGGCCTTCACTTATTCTTCCTCACTGCCTAGAGCGTAAACCTCGCCTGTCTGTCCTCCAGGTGACTCAGTGGATGGACAGCGGGCGTCTCGCAGAGATGGTGCGAAATCACATAGTTTCCTGTGAGACCCTGACCTTCAATGATCTCAAAACTACAGACAAAGCCATCGCCCAATCCGGATACACTCTCCACTTTAAGTATAAGAAGGTAACCAATTATTACACACCCTGTTTCAGCCACAACTATCGTGCTACAAAGAGATAGCCAAAAGGAAGATAACTTTTTTCTAAAGCAACAGTTACAATATTATGAATTTTTAATATTATTGTTTTCTAATCTATTCAGTAGTTTTTATTTCTATTGTTGTTTGTAAGATTAGAAACATTATGAAAGAGTAAAATAATCATCTTTATTATATAGTCAAAATTGCTGAAATTAACCTGAATTCAAGCTATTTTAACCCATTTATTTAATGTTCTGTAATGTTGCCAGACTGTGTTGGGTCTTTCTCTGTAGTGTAGTGTGTTCTCCCTTAGGTTAGGTTAGGTTTTTTGCATCATCCTCTAATTCAGTGGTTTCCCTAACCAAACCATCTCCCTCGCACTCCTGAGTAGAGGTAAGAGATGTGTTGAAAATTGTATAAAATCACAATGATTGTTTAGGAGATTAGAAATTAGAATAGAGTATTTATAGTATGTTTATAATAAAAACTATGAAACTATTCAAAAACTAGTCAAAAATGTCCAGTGTAATCAACATATACAGACTAAAGGGATGTTTCTGCACTTTTGTGGTTAATTTTATGGTCATGATTTGGGCTAAACTTCAACCAAGACACAATTTAGCACATTCTTGATGTATTGTTGGGAAAATATATATGGAGGTATACAAATTTAGTCAACATTGCCCAACCCTACTCCTGAGTACCCATTCACTTGTGTAATGGTGATAGTTGAGTAAGTATGGATCTATTCTATATTCCTGTTTTAATGATATTGATGTCCAAATCATCTTCCCAAAACCTTCAAAAGCAGGTTAATTAAACTACATACTGTGCATTTGTATTTGTTACAGGGCTCACTGTGGATCAATGATGTGTCTCGAATCGTACGTAGCGACTACACTGTCACAAATGGAGTGATCCACCACATAGACACTCTGCTCACTCCCTACACACTCCGGGACAAGGCTCCGATCAAAGCCAACAATGTGAGGACAAATATTAGGATATAGAGATGTTTGCAATGTCAAAAAGGAAGAATGTCATAGGGCTCTAGAAGGATGTTGTGAACAGTGAAGATGGAGAGGCTGAGGAGGATGTGGTTCTGCTGCTGGGAGATGGCCGGATGACACGGGTTTGGATGAGTTGACATGAACTGAACTGGTTTATAGGAAAAGGCTGAAGGCTGTGATAGGCTGACAGTTATAGACAAGAGTGACAAAATGTTGAAAAGGTTTAGGAAATACACTTTAACCACAGTAATCCAATGTAATCTTTTTTTTTAATAGATAAACATCACAGAAGCTGCTGTCATCTATGGATACACAAAGTTCTACCAGCTCATAGAGGTAACACTGACTTGGAAGAGATGTAGCTCACAGGATTTATTATCTCATATTGTCTTCTTCATTGTTGTGCTCCAGGCCTCAGGTCTCCTGCCTATCCTGGAGCTCTCTATACACAGACCCTTCACCATGTTCTGGCCCTCAGACCAGGCTGTCACATCCCTTCCTATGGAGCGGCTGCGTTGGCTCACCAGTCCTGACCACCAGGAGGAGCTGGCGGCCATCATCAAGGCACACACCATACGCAACTCCAAGGTACAGTCACTACATCATCAAACTCTGCAAGCTTTGTGTTTACTTGAAGAAGATATCTAACAGTAGAGTCCCATTCACATATGCAGCTTGAGGGCTGAGAATGCCAGTTTAAGTGTGAACTGTGCAATGTGTGCAATAGCTGAATGTTCTGGCAATCTGTATTTGTAGCAAGTTTCTGGGAAGTATGTGTGAACAGGGCTTTGGTGTAATAGACTTCCTCACATTCTGCTTTGTATTCAATAGATATGATACATTTGTGATGATGAAGTGTTTATGTGTGTATAATAATAATAATAGTGTGAATAGTGTTGTCCAGCTCCAGTATATTTTGGAACTCCCCGTATTTCGCAACATGCTAGCTATAAAACAAGTCTGGATTAAACAAAGATACAAAACCAAATCTTGTGCTTTTTCTAGAGATCGACCAATATGGGTATTTTCATGACCGATGCCGATACTGATTGTTTAGAATCCAGAGCATCAGATAGTCGATAAGCTCTCCAGATATTTTTGGGCCAATTATTTTCCTCAAATTATGCTATTTAAATTTACTACAAACTCATCCACAGCTCTTTTTAACCACAAACTCATAAGGGAACTGTGTAGTCACATTTTGTCCAGTTTTCTCTTATTATTAAAGTGTTAAAATAAAGCTTTGTGTGTTTTTTATGTAGCAGATAGACCAAAAAAAAATATCGACTTATGCTGGAGATGCAGGCAACTGCTACTGTGCAGCCACACAATGTGATCCTAACCCTGACCTTACTGTAATGTCCACATGCTCTCATGTGTTTGTAGGTGATGGGGATCAGTACACCTGACAAGTACCTGTCGTCATATCGAAGCATGCATGGCTCAGTCATAAATTACAGCTGCGACAAAAATCTTGTGGTAAGGAAAAACAGTTTGTTGTTTGCGATTCCATTGTGTTGCTATGGCAGTTCTACTTCATAGACCACTAATAAGGTCTAGTATTATCAACTTCATTAAGTTTTAGTTTAGTTTTAAGCTAACATCTTTACTCTCACCCTTTCTCATCAGTATGTAATTTATCGTTTTATCCCGACCCTGTTATGGACCAATGGTGAGGCAGCACAGACTGGTTTATTTTCCAGGGGAATATTTTGCTGAATGGAAATGCGGCACGGATCACTGAGCGGTACCTGATGTTCACTGATGGCATGGCCTACGGTATCGACCAAATCCTTGAACCTCCGGGACTAGGGGCTCACTGCGATGGGATCGAGAACACAACCATATATGTGAGCATTGGGACTCCCCTGGTTTCATCCACTAGCGTTAGCTTTAGTTCTGCTGTATTAGGCTGTTTTCTATTTTAGGGATGGGACCGAACTGGGCCAGGATACGAAACTGGGTCCAGGGAGCAAAACAATATTGACATAATTTTTAATAAATCTATTGTCCAGTTTAGTTCACACTTCTGGCCTCACCAATTTTATCTACTTTAAATAATATTTTTGCAGCAATTTTGTCCCATTCAAATGAAAAAAAAGAAAGAAAAAACTGTCCCTAGATCATTTTTTACATGTGTGCACAATCTGTTGTCAATTTGTCTCACAAGATTTGTCCTTCTTTATTCATTTTGTACTTATTTCAAGCTGATTTTAATTCAGACACATACATGCATATTTATTTGTAGTCCTGCATTACATGGCTTGTTATTTCAGGGTCGATGTGGACGCTGCGTGTTCCCTCCTTCCTGCAGCCTCAGACACGTAGACACGGTCAGTATCACTCACTCAAAACAGTATTCAGTAAACAAGAACCTGAAACTGACCCAGACCCAGAGATACAATGTTCGTATTAACTCACTCTACATGATCCTTGTGTTTTTATTTTGCTATTTTGTTCATAAATAAATTCCTATTCCTAATATTGAACTCTGCTCCTATAACTGCAAGCCTCAGTCAGCTTCACTTGACTGGAACCGAATGCTATGGGCAAAGTCACTCCTTTAGTCCACTTCTTTATGCTTTATGAATGCCATGTTTCCTGAGCAGTTTTTACTACTCATAAAATCCAAATCATGTGTGTGTTCTTTTCAGGGGAAGGTGGAGACTTGCACCATGTCGTCCCGCTACAGCTACAGGTACAGGTACAGGTACTCCGAGATTGACCTGTCTCCATTTGCATTTGGACGGAGAGGGTGCAAAAGAGTGTGTCACTTCCCCTCGTGGACCAAGAAATGCTGCAAGAACCACTATGGACGGGACTGCACAGGTACCAGGCCTTTAGGGCTAGTGGTCCAGTTTTAATCTTGTCTACTGGTATTTAAACAACGTATATACATGTATGGAGAACTTCAACCTCAAGTTAAAAAGAGAATAGTTGTCTTAAATATTTTATTTTATTATTACTCATCTGTGTCCTTAGATACTAAAACATTATCCATGATGTAAAAGATGTTTATACTATTGAGTGGTTTGGTTCTTCTTAATGATCTGATCAGACAGCAGAATGAGCACCTATGGGTTGCCAGATCCTATGACTAAAACCAGCTTGCAGTTAACATAAAAAAGGACTCTACAGCTGTGTTCACACTTTACACACTGCACAAAAATTGGGACTAATTTGACTAAACCTGGAACTAAACCTAAACCTAGACTAAAAGGTCTTAACTATGGCTCGAATAGAACCAAACCAAGACTACAACCAGGACCAAATTAGAGCAAGTGTGAACTCATCCTTTGATTTGTGTATGATCCAACCCTGATCTGATTGGCTGTCTGTCTGTGACATCAGTGTGCCCGGGTGGAGTTGAAGCCCCCTGTAGTCTCCATGGTAACTGTGATGATGGTTTGAGAGGCTTGGGTAAGTGTATCTGTGAGAGAAACTTCAGAGGAGACTCCTGCGAACTGTGTGTCCCCAACCACTATGGAGCTAATTGCACAGGTAGGCCCCCAAAGTCAGCATATAGAAGTGTGTGTGTGTATCAAGGTTTTTTCAAACAAAATCAAGCAAATCAAGCATCTGTGGATCATTATGTAATAATTTTCACATTTTAAATCACTGGGGTTTACAGAGCTGTTCCCTGTGTTTCAGCCTGTAACTGCACAGAGAAGGGCACCTGTGAGGACGGACTGGAGGGCTCTGGAGTTTGTGTCTGTGAGAGTGGCTGGACCGGAGACCGCTGCCAAATCAACCTCGGTCAGTACGACACAATAGTACTGCAAAGAAAAACTCAGTTAAAACTCTTTACTCTCTGTTTTGTATTTTAAATTGCCATTCTAGATTCCATATTTTTCAAAAAAAAATTAAATAAAAATCCAGGTGAGATATCAAATCAGCCTGCTTTGATACAAAATGTTTGTTTTCAGTTAATAGCTCTTTTAGGCGTTTAAAATGAAGTTCAGATGATTGAGTACACGCAAAACTCACCTTGGAGAATGTGCATTTGATGTGTGTGCACAAAAAGTTGAGTCAAGGAGAGAAGGAGGAAAGAAGCTCTTCGCTGGCTTGGGTTTGAGTTTGATCTGTGCAGTGGCTCTTGTCTGATTGCAGCGTCTCCAGCTCTATTAACTCGTGACAACTGCTCTCCCTGCAGAAATAGTGGTCCATGCTCCCCATATTAGACAAGGTTTAGTCCCGATTAAGATTTAGAAAATTAAATAGGGGTTATGCTATTTTTAGTGGTTTCCCACTGTCCAGTGCCTGAAAAAGTAGTGTACTTAATATTTCCCACAATGCACCTTGAAAAGTAGTGTCTAGTGCTGGTCACTAAGCCAAACCACAATGCATTGTGAGAGTTGTAAAAACAACAGTTCTTTAACATGGATCTATGGTCTTTAACTGGACACAACACAAGTGAATGAAAGCAGGTAGAAATGCTGCTTTAACACAGCACTGATCTATACACAATCAAATAACTGCTGCTTACCTTAGTTTGAGCTGTTAAAATGCCCACATCTCAGTTAAAAAGCTGAACAATCCAGTCCGTTATCATGAGATCCACTGTGACAAAAACATGTATTATTAGTCCATAAATCAGTAATTAGAGAAATCAAGTTTTATCAGAGTTTAGCAGACTTTTTTCACCCAGATGCCAGAGTCATGTGACCCAAATGTTGTGGGCTGTGTGTCTGAAATGCTTGGTGAATGCACTGTAGAGTCTGTTAAATCAGCAGTCTCCAACCCTTTTTTGCACCACGAACCGGTTTAATGTCAGACAATATTTTCACAGACCGGGCTTTAAGGTGTGGTGGATAAACACTACAAAATAAAAGGATACAACCAACACAAAAATGGTGGGATTTTGTAAATATAATAATAAATGTTTTTGTTTTTTACAAATTTTGCTAGGTTGTGGGTTTAATATTAGTGTTAATGTATTACGTGACCAAGACAAGCATCTTGACATGCATCAAGAGTGAGTCATAGACGAATGTAACGGAGACAATTAGCTCATTTTTCAAAATAAAACACTGTTCATATTCGGATAATAAATAAAACAGAAATAATGTAAGTTATTTATTCTTACTGTGGGGTCCGGTACCAAACGACCCACTGACTGCTGTGTTAAATAATGCAGGGCTGGGTAGTAAATGAGGGGTTAAGGGCTAGGGTGGACATTCAGACACAGCCTATATTACCAACCATCAACTTCACCCTCTAGTGAAACCATGGCTACGATCAGCACTGGCCAGTCACCAGTAGTATGTTTGCCTGCTTGACTTGGTTAGACTTGGTTATAATGTGTTAAAACAGCAACGTAAATGGGAGAACATAGTTTTAATGAAGTTAGAGTAATTGGTTAAGCACATTCGGCCTAGTGTGTTTATGTGTGTTGGTGGCAGGTTCGATCCCAGAGGAGTGCAGACAGTGCCATAAAAACGCCCAGTGTGAGCCAGGCTCCGGCTGCAACTGCAAACCAGGATTTCAGGGCAACGGTTCCTTCTGTGAGCCTCTCCCACGTGAGTCTGATTACTGTACAAAGATTAGTATACACAGTGTGAGCTAAAACGGACTAAATAAGATCCAAAAGAGGACTATTATAACAGACAAGACCCTAACTAAATGAGGGAACTGAAATAAACTACACTAAAGCAAGACCTCACCATGTTTAATTTGTAACAATTAAAGCTCCAAACCAGGATCTAACCAGATCTGAAACAGGAAAAAAGTCAGGGCTATCCGACGTCTTGGCCAATACCAAATCAGGGCTAGAAAAAGGACTTGATTTGGTCTAGATTAGGTACTTGGTTTGAGGACTTTTCTTATAATTTAAATATTTGATACTTTTTTTTAACATAGTAAAAAACAACAGAACTGAAATAAACATCAAAAATTTAACACAAAAAGCACAAATTCTTCCAATTCTCACTCACCACTACATTCCTTGCATTTAGCCTCTCTCCGCAACACTCTCACATGCAGTATGTTAAATCAAGACTTAACCTAGAATAAACCCAAACTAAATCACGGGACTGAACCAAGTAAACCAGCTGAACAAAGACAAGGAGAAAAAAACTAAAAACATTTGGACAGACTAAACCAGGTCTAGTCCCAGTCTGACCCAGTCTTCATGTTCAGCTCCAGACCTGTGTGCTGAGTACAATGGAGGATGTCACATTCACGCTGACTGTAATCAGACTGGGCTGCTCATCAACTGCAGCTGTCACAGTGGTTACCAGGGCGATGGCTTCACCTGCCAGCCAATTAACAGGTGAGAAGTATGAAGGGGAGGGGCTTAGTGTCACTAGGAATTGTTTACCCTCAACTAACTTTAACATTGTGTGGTTTTACGCACTCTGTAATTATAGAAAATCTAAAAATGTAACAAAAATATAGCTCAGGACAAGTTAATGATTGTATAACATATTATTGTAAATGTTATAGCTGGGGTAATAAAGCCAGGGATAAAGTTATTTATTCAACATGAATAGTTGGTTTTCCCGTGAACTTACTGAGAGGCACAAATATAGACTCACTGCACTCGGGTAGATACAACCACTACAAACACCACAAACGGACAGGTTCCAATAAAGCTTCTCTCATAGATGAGCATCAATATTTTGGGGCGGAATTGACCAAAAAACATACAAATAAAAAGAAATAAACCAGTTAGTCTGCCTTTACAAGTGCACCCACAACACCATCGGTTCTGAGGCGGACTAACTGGGAGTGAACTCAAATTGAAAAACAAACTAAAGGACAGCAGGCAGCAATAACCGTAACTCAACTCCACTGTCGCACAGTTCAGCCTTTAAAAACAGCGTGGCCCAATATTTTTGGCAAAACACACACACACGTGGGTCTAGCAATCAACCTGGCCTCCCATGGAAACTGCCACCTCCCGGGTACACAACCATCTTCCCCTTAAATTCAGTTGGTCTGTGGCACAGTAGCGACACCCTGAGGTACCCCCCGCTTCGTCATGAATGCCATTTGCAATGTAAAAATATCCTATTGTTACTGTACATACATAGATGAAGGGGTTGGGTATTAGGCAACAGATCTAGTGCCTCTTAGGCTTTAGAAAAGCAGTGTGTAATGATGCAGATGCCACATGTACTGATTGACTATTCTTGCTTCAACATCTCTGCTGTATTTGAGTTAAATATGATAACGGGGCAGAACACTGTCTCTCTAAAACCCATCTTTGTGTTTCAGATGCACAGAAGAGCCAAATGGAGGCTGCAGTGACTTTGCCTCCTGCACTTTCACTGGACCGGTCAGTAAGAGAGAAACAGAACCAGCTATTCAGAAAGAATGACATGCATGCATAAAAGCATACACCCCCCATTTGACCAAAACTTTGTATGAAAGGAAAGTCATGATCTGAAGTGTTCAGTTTTCACATTGATTCATTTGCAGGGAGGATTGCTGAACACATTTTATTGTGAAAATCTTGGGGGAAAAAAGTTTTTGCATAAATGCACCGACATTTTGAGTAAAATGCCACAGAAAAAGACATATGAAATAATTCTGATAAAATAAAAGGTACATTAAAATGTAAATTTGTTCATATTGGCATCATAATAATCTGTGACTGTTTTCTCCTCAGAACGAGCGTACGTGCGAGTGCCTGCCAGGATACCTGGGTAATGGAGTCCAGTGTATGGAGAAAGTAGAGCCTCCGGTCGACCGCTGCCTCGAGAACAATGGAGACTGTGACCCAGTGGCCCAGTGCAAAGACCTGCACTACCACAGTGAGTCTGTGAGCTGAGTTTAAAGTGCTTATGACCGGTTGGACTACAAACACAGTTAAGATCATTATATCTAAGATTTACAAAAGATTTTCTTTCGCAGTTTGGCAATATTTTAGGTTTCAAGTTCCTGGTTGGAAATCATGACAGAGACTAGGGAATTCCATAACTGTTACCTAGCAACCATAATGTATAGTAGGCTCCACTAATGTACATAAAAATTATTATTTGACAAATACAGTTATAAGAAAACACTTTTATTTTGTTGAAATCATGAAATCAAGTATTAGAAAAAAGTGTTTTGTAAGTATATATTTTGTCCCTCTATTTTGGATTCTCTCTAGTGTGAAGTGGAACTTTCTTCTTCCTGTAATATTGAACATATTTTTAAACTCTTCTTCACAAACTGGTTCTTGGTTGGTAAACTATCATTTATATTTTCAATAGGTATTATATCACCAAATTAAGTAGAATTTAGAGAATCATCCAGAACTGTCATATGCACTTTAACAAAGGCCGAAGTTAGTGATGGTATTGACTTCTGTCATTGATGTTGTGTTTAGTGAACACAGGGGGCGTGTTCCACCTGCAGTCTCCTCTGGGGAAGTACCAGATGAACTTCAGTCAGGCTAAAGCAGCTTGTGAGGACGAGGGAGGGGCCCTGGCCAGCTTTAAACAGCTGGGAGATGCTCAGCAGGTAAGAGACCAACTACACACAACCATTTAGGCCTGTTACGATCACAAGTTTTCATCATCATCATCATCATCATCATCATTCCGGACTCATGGTCCATTTTAAAAACAGACAAGGACAGTGACAATACAAAACAATAAACATTCATGTTTTTAAAACACAACCACACCAGTGTCTCCACATACTGGACTGATATCTTATTGCACTGAATCTCAAATTTGTGAGTGACATTATAATTTCATTGTCTGATTTGTTCAGTCTGCAGATAAAACTGTACATTAAAATTCTTAGTGCAGCTTGCAAAGTGTTCACTCTGGCAGTAACAAACATTTCAGTCGCACTTGTCCATGGTGGCCTCCTCAAAAGCACCCGTAAATTGTCATTGTAAGCCACCTGCAGTCTTTGCAAACTGGCTTTTTTATAATTAGTCCAGAGAACCAAACTTACGCATAAGAATATTTGAGCATAGAGCGTCCTACACTGTCTGTACATATCATCATCATCTGTCATGTCCGCATGACATTTGATATTGCTGAAGAAAATATAGACGATAAACAATAATATTGTAACTAATTTATGTCACTAAAACAAGAACCGAAAGCAGGATTATCTCAAAAACAATTCTAAATGTAAAATATTCTTCAATATAGTAATTATGTAATTATGGTGACAGGCCTACAACCATTCAGGAACCATTCAGGGCTCAGGAAATTTAAATGGATTCACTCATCATAAAAATATTATCTCCGATTTATTATTTACCCTGTTGATGGTAAATGTCTCTTTCTCAATGTGAATCAGTTGGAATAACTTATATTGTTTAAATCAATTAATTTTAGTGAAAGCCTTTTTCAGTGCAATAAAAATGACCCCATTGAAATGAATGTATGCTGATGTGTTTTCAGCTGGGCATGCATCTGTGTGTGGCTGGGTGGTTTGAGGGGGGAAAGGTGGGCTATCCCACCCGCTTCCCTTCAGCCAAATGTGGGGACAATCATGTGGGAGTGGTGATGTACAGAGACCCAGTGGATCAGAGCAGCAAGTATGACGCCTACTGCTACAGGTTAACAGGTAAATATATAAAATATACAAAGCCGTGTTATAATGTGGTTATCTCCTCAAAAACAGACCTGGAGTTGTGTTTAGTTTCATTCACACATGTTTGAGTAACACTTTATTATTAGTCTGTCTACATCTCCAAAGCTCAAAATGCGCTGTTCCACCTTGTGAAGTCATGAATTAATAGTTTTCAAGTTAACAGCTTCTTTAATCTTTTTTTCAGTGGAAATTGTCAATTCCTGGGCGGAAACAAGAAGGAAATGAAATGTTTTCAGTTTAAGATAGGAACTCATCTTAAATGTACAATTTGTGTGTTAAACATGTGTGAATGAAGGAAAACTGGGTTTGTTTTTGATTAGGAAACAACATTATAACATAGTGTAGTGTAGGCCCTTTAATGATAATGCTTCTTGTTTACAGACGTGTCATGTTCATGTCCCAGTGACTTTGTTGGGAATGGAGACTTCTGTAACGGTGTTCTGGCCGACGTTCTAGCCACAAACTCCAACTTCTCCATCTTCTACCGAGTATGTTGCATTCACTGACGTGACTGGCATTTGAAACTAATAATTGTTCAACATTGTGCTTGTTTGGTGTAGTTCTTGTTGGATTACAGCAGTTCATCAAAAGCCGGTAAAAATCTGGTGGAGTTTTTGTCTCAGAGAAACACGGACGTGACTCTGTTTGTTCCTCATAACAATGGCTTCACTTTCAACAAGGTAAAAAACTGGCAATCCAAAAATGATACATTTTGCATTTATAAAGACCAAAGTGTAGGCTGTAGTAAAGGAACTAGAACATCTGTGGATCCAGTTATGAGGGTTACCTGAATAAGCCAGTAAACATATAGTATTTTTACCATAACAACATGTTTGTTGTAGGGTTATAGTGGAAGGAGGACTAGACCAAATGAAGACTGAATGAATGAATAAATCTAAACCAGGTCTGAACTGGGACTAAAACAACACTAAACTAGGTTTTAGCCAGTACTAAATCTGAACTACTCTAGGAAAACATGTCTGTCCAAACCCAGTGCCAAATCAGGACTAAATCCAGAATATACCAGGTTTTAGCTCAGTCTTAGCCAAAACTTACCGAGGAGATTCTTATGCAAATGATTGTATCCTAGAATGCATATGTACTGGGTAAATGGTCCTTAAAATTTCAGTGTATAAAATGTGGTAACTAGAAAATTAATAATTACATTGGTATTGTAACTGTTGTGCATCCAGTTAGATGATGTATGTTTTTGGTGTTTGTAGATTTAAAGAATGTATAATAACCAGGAGCTTATTTTGTTTTAGACTCTCTCCGGTAGAGACCTGGAATACCACATCTCAACCAATCACAGCAGACGATCCTTTAATGAGCTGAAACACCGTGAAGTCATTGTGTCGAAGCTCGGGTTTAACCTCACTGTTACCCACGGCAATAACCAGGTATGACCACGCCCCTTAAAGCATGTAGACCTCCACCAAGGCATTTAGGTCCTCCATGCAATTCAATTCCTTCTTGAAGTTGTACATGTCTAGCCGGTCTGACACCACCTAGTCCTTCCACTCAATTTCATTTCTCACCAGCGACAGGGTCAGGAGTCACAGACGGTTTGCAAGAACCCTGGAAGTGCGAGTCCGGGCACCAGCCAATCAGCGAAGAGACAAATATTCTGTATTGGCAGCGATTTCCGAGATCAAGGATTTAAAGCCAGAACAGAAAGAATGTTTGGTGAATTTTATCTAGGGGAAAGATGTTATTGCCCTTCTTCCTACGGGATTTGGGAAAAGCTTAATATACCTGTTAACGGAGCATTACATACATCACGACCAAATAGCAGCGATTGGTTACATAAAGAAAGTACCTGCCTACTGTCGAGGGAACGGATTCTAACACTACACTATGAGCTCAGACGGTTTCACTTCAGGAAGATTTCATGGAAAATTAATCAGGCTAGTACAAATCTGAGGTCCAGACAAAACCAATTTATTTAGGCAAGGCAAGGCAAGGCAAGTCATATGCACAGTTAAACAGAAATGTTTTGAGCCTGGATTTAAACAGCATCACAGAAGAGTCTGTCTCACATGTTCAGGAAGACTGTTCCAGGTTTTAGCTGCATGAACCTGAAACGCTGACTCCCCTTGTTTAGTCCTGACTCTGGGCACCAGCAGGAGGCCGGTCCCTGAGCTCCTCAGAGTGCGAGATGGTTCATATGACACTAACATGTCACAGATGTACTTTGGTGCTCGGCCATGGAGAGACTTGTACACAAGCAGAGCTGTTTTAAAGTCTATTCTCTGAGGCACAGGAAGCCAGTGCAGAGACCTGAGCACAGGACTTATGTGCTCGTACTTCCTAGTTTGAGTAAGGACCCGAGCTGCAGCGTTCTGGATGTTCTGCAGCGTCTCACAGCTCGTTTGGAGAGACCAGTGAGCAGACCATTACAGTATCTAACCTACTGGAGACAAACACATGGATAAGTTTCTCCAAGTCTGATTTAGACAGAAAACCTTTGATTTTTGCTATGTTTTTTAGATGGTAAAAGGCTGCAGATGTTATTGATTTGATGTGGCTGTTAAAGTTCAAGTCTGAGTCCATTATTACCCCTAGATTTCTTGCCTGATTTGAAGGTTTTGGAGAGAGAGACTGGAGGTGACTGCTGACACTGTCCCTTTGTTTCTGTGGACCAAACACTATGACTTCAGTCTTGTCAGAGTTTAGCTGGAGAAAGTTGTTTTGCATCCACACACTGATCTGTTGGATGCAATGACCAAGTGAGTCCACTGGTCCATAGTCTCCTGCTGCCAGAGAGACGTAGATCTGAGTGTCATCTGCATAATTGTGGTAGGACACATTATTGCTGCTTATTAACTGGCCTAATGGCAGCATGTAGAGATTGAACAACAGGGGGCCCAGGATTGACCCCTGAGGCACCCCACAGGTCAGGGCCATGTGATCTGAGACACAGTTTCCAATTTCAACAAAATACTTCCTGTCTTCTAGATAGGACTTGAACCAGTTTAGTACAGTACCAGAGATGCCCACCCAGTCCTCTAGTCTCTGTAAGAGGATCCCATGATCGACAGTGTCAAAAGCAGCACTCAGATCTAACAGGATCAAGACTGAGACTTTGCCTGCATCAGTGTTCAGGCGGATGTCATTTGTCACCTTGATAAGAGCAGTCTCAGTGCTGTGGTGGGCTCTAAAACCTGACTGGAAAACATCAAAGGAGTTGTTCATTTGGAGAAAATTCGTAAGCTGTTGGTAAACAGCTTTTTCAAGGACTTTGCCAAAAAACGGCAGATTTGAGATGGGTCGGAAATTGTTCAGTACTGTGGCATCAAGACTGCTCTTCTTTAGGAGAGGCTTAATGACCGCAGTTTTCAACGCGTTTGGGAATGTTCCAGATTGAAGTGACATGTTAACTATGTGAGTGAGTGGTGAAAGTAAACTGTTGAGGACGGACTTTAGAAATCTAGTGGGTAACATGTCCAGGCAGCAAGTAGATGAACTCAGACTGGTAACGATCTCTAAAACAGTTTTGTCAGTTACAAGGTGCAAAGTGATTCAGCTCTAAGTGTCTCTGTGGCTGCATGCTTGTTATTTGTGTTGTGGAATTGATGGCATTTTTGATGCCCTGAACTTTGTCATTAAAGAAAACTGCAAACTCATTACATTTAGATGTGGAAATTAGTTCTAGTGGCAGTGGAGCTGGAGGGTTTGTTAATCTGTTCACTGTTGCAAACAGGACACGAGAGTTGTTACTGCAATTACCAATAATGTCCGAAAAATACTTCTCTCTTGTTTTACTCAAAGTGTAGTTGTACATATGCATTGTTCCTCTGTAAATCTCATAATGAACCTGGAGGTTTGACTTGCGCCATTTCCGCTCAGCCTTCCGGCACTCCCTTTTCTCTGTGCCCTGACTGAGTCATCATTCCTCCACGGAGCTTTTTGCCTATCTTTAACCATTTTAACCTTTATCGGGGCGATGGCATCCAGAACATTCAAAACACTCAAAGTCACAGAGTTCAACACATCATCAACATTAGAACATGAGGCAATTTCAAAATTTATCATTTCCATGAACAGTGCACCTGTGTTGTCATTTATGTGTCTTCTTTCGAACAACTGTAGGAGCAGCCGGTGGTTTGGGAATAACAGACAGGTCAAAGAAGACACAGAAATGATCAGACAGAGCAACATCAACCACATTGACATTTGAAATATTTACACCCTTTGTAATGAGCAGGTCCAGAGTGTGTCCTCTGTTGTGAGTGGGCTCACTGACATGCTGAGTCAGACCAAAAGTTTCAAGGACAAACACTAAGCTCTTTGGCATTTTTGTCACACACATTATCCACATGTACATTAAAATCACCTGTAATGACTAAACCATCAAAGTCTGTGCAAACAACTGAAAGCATCTCAGTAAAATCATCAATAAAACTTTGACAGTGCTGATGGAGGTTTGTATATGACTATGTAGAGTCTGGACGGTGATTGTTTTAGCTCCATTTTGAAGGAAACATACTCAAATGATGAAAACACCCCAAATGACAACCTGTGTGTAACCAAATGATCTCTAAAAAATGCACACACTCCTCCACCCTTTTTATTTGCTCGTGTTTCAGATTCAAATTTGAAGTTGGGAGGGGTTGATTCCACTAGCACTGCATGACCTGTGTTTTTGTCAAGCCATGTTTCAGTTAAAAACATAAAGTCAAGATTAAAAGAAGAAATAAAATCATGAATTAGAAATGATTTGTTACATAAAGATCTGACATTGAGCACAGCAAGTTTCTGATTAGTTTCAGTAGGACTGGATGTTATCTTCTTACAGGGAATGTGAACTAAATTTCTCTGATTAGACAGTCTAACTGTCCTTCTTTTAATCTGTCTACGTGTTGTAACTGGAGATATAGCTCCATCGCAGGGCCCCAGCCTGATATTACCTTTATCATGACTGTATGTCCTGGGACAGCAGAGGCCCTGTGCGTCCTAGCTCTTGGTGATAACAGCTCTGGGGAAAGGCGGGGGAGGGCGAGCAGGGGAGAGTTTGGGTGAGTGACCAGGTGAGGGACCAGGTGAGGGCCGAGGAGGTGGAATACGGGGAGGTTTGGGTGAGGGACCAGGTAAGGACCGAGGAGGTGGAGTAGGGGGAGGTTTGGGTGAGGGGAGAGCTGAGAGAGTCTCTGGTGGTGAAACAGGCACAGTTTTGTATGGGGGAGAGTTCAACATAGTTGATGTCAGAACCCTTGACCGTGCTATATTAGGTGTGAGAGGAACCATCTTGATTCCCGATCTAATGAGGCTTTCTAGATGGTTGGGCAGTGCCATGGGTGAAGGTGGGGAGGAGAAGGAGAGTGAAGAGTCCGTTGATGGAGTAGATGTAGCAATGGGGACTCCAGGCTGGTCTGTGGGCAGCGGAGGTGATGGGTGTGCTGGTGGCGCAGGGGGAGGTGGTGGTGGTGTTGCTGACTCATTCTCTGGGGGAGGTGGTGCTGCTGACTTATTCTCTGGGGGAGGGGAAGGTGGTGATGCTGACTTGTTCTCTGGGGGAGGGGAAGGTGGTGATGCTGACTTGTTCTCTGGGGGAGGGGGAGGTGGTTCTGCTAACTTGTTCTCTGGGGGAGGGGGAGGTGGTGATGCTGACTTGTTCTCTGGGGAGGGGGAGGTGGTTCTGCTGACTTGTTCTCTGGGGAGGGGAGGTGGTTGCTGACTTGTTCTCTGGGGAGGGGAGGTGGTTCTGCTAACTTGTTCTCTGGGGGAGGGGGAGGTGGTTCTGCTGACTTGTTCTCTGGGGGAGCGGGAGGTGGTGATGCTGCTGAGTTGTTGTCTGGGGGAGGGGGAAGTGGTTGTGGTTGTGGCAGTGGTGGTGCTGTCAATGGTGCTGACTTGTTGGCTGGTTCTCTGTTAGGTGCAGCAGGGATGCTTCTCCCATTTCTCTTTTCTCTCACTGGATGCACAGGACCCTGTCCAGGCCGGTGCCTCAGAGCGTGGAGGAGGTTTTCCGTCAACACTCTCACTCCACCTCTGCTTAGGTGTGGGCCATTTCCCTCAAACAGGTCCTTCCGTTTCCAAAAAGATCAAAGTTCTCAATGTAGTGCAATCCTCTAGCCGCACACACGTTCAGCAGCCACGTGTTCAGCTGAAACAGTCGGGTAAATTTGTTCCTGTTCCTTAGGTCTATGTTGGGAAGAGGTCCACTGATAAATGTCTTAACCTCCACTTTATTAAGCTCCTCGAATAATTTTGTGAAATCCCTTTTCAAGACTTCACTCTGTTCCATTCTGATGTCCACTGCACCCACATGCACAATCAGCTGTTTAACCCCTTGCTGTGTTGACAAAACTTTTGGCAGGAGTTTTGTTATCTCAGAAACAGTGTACGTCGGGTAGCAGCATGTTAGGATTCTTCTGTGACTCACACCACTGATAGCCCCGTCTCCTAGCAGCAACGTATCTCTGACCTTGACGTTTGGCACAGATTCCCGGTATGCCTGCACTCTTTTGCCAACTTTATTGTTCTTGTTTTGTGATGACAGTACATTAACATCAGTCTGTGACAGTGGTGAAAATCTGTTTGTTAGCTTTATTGTGGGTGATATAACGATATTAGCATTGTCTTTTATCACTCGCTGCGCTGGCTTAGCATTTTGGTCTGTACCAAGTTTCGGAAAAGACACAGTATCACTCAGGTTTAAGTTGAAAGAATTTCCACCCTCTTCTCTGGAAATAACTGTAGGTTGCTCACCACTGGAAGTCACTGGTAGCGTCTGATGAAGTCCTTTTTCAGTTTCTAAAGCAAATATCCATGCTCGCAGCTCATTTAGCCATCTTAAGATATACAGACGTGGACAAAATTGCTGGTTCCCTCTGGCAATGAAAGAAAAATCAACAATAATCACTGAAATAACTTGAAACGGATAAAAGCAATAATAAGTAAAACATTTTTGAAAATTGGCCAGCAAAAATCAAACATTGTTTTTCACCTGTGGTTCAACAGAATTATTAGGAAAAAAAACTAAATAATGAAACTGGCCTGGACAAAAATGATGATACCCTTAACTTAATATTTTGTTGCACAACCTTTTGAGGCAAACTCTGCAAGCAAACAGTTTCTGTAACTGTCAATGACACTTCTGCACTGATCAACAGGTATTTTGACCCATTTCTCGTGAGCAAACTGCTGTAATTGTCATAGGTTTGAAGGGTTCCTTCTCCAGACAGCATCTTTCAACTCCTTTCACAGATGTTCAAGAGAATTGAGATCTGGGCTCACAGAAGAACACTCCAGAACAGTCCAGTGTTTAGTTCTTAGCCATTCTTGGGTGGGGGGGGTCATTGTCCTGTTGGAAGTACCATGACCTATGACTGAGACCAAGCTTTCTGACACTAGGCAACACATTTTGGTCCAAAATGCCTTGATAGTTTTGAGATTCCGTTGTATTTTGCACAGATTCAAGCCACCCTGTGCCAAATGCAGCTAAACAACCCCAGAACAAAACCAAGCCTCGTCCATGCTTCACAGTAGGGACAGTGTTCTTTTCTTGGTGTGCTTCATTTTTGCGTCTGAACATAGAGCTCATGTGTTTTGCCAAAGAGCTCTAATTTTGTCTCACCACTATTTTTGTCCAGGCCAGTTTCATTAGTTTTTTTTTTTTATAATTCTGTTGAACAACAAATCAAAATCAGTGTCTGATTTTCACAGGTTATTTGTCAGGAAATTTTTTTTTATGATCGCTTTTCTCAATTTCAAGTTATTTCAGTGACCATTGTTGATTTTTCTTTCCATACCAGAGGGGTACCAACAACTTTGTCCACGACTGTATATAAGATATGATAATGTAATAGTCTGTGCTTTTTATTATAGAGCATTAAACTGGTGAACCGGCGCCTCCTGCTGGACTGGGACATCCCTGCAGTGAATGGTCTCATCCATGTGATCGAGGGTCCTCTCACCGCCCCTCCACCTCCTGTGAGTCTCAACCAAAAAGAACTCATGAACAACTGTGAACTAACCCAAGATATTAAACCAGACAAGACACAGCACTAGCAAAATACTGACACTGTTGTAAGCATATTTTATTTTCTGATCATTTTGTGCATGAAGCCCGGTCGTATCGTATTTAGTTTTAAGTGTCACCAGAGAGTGCGCAGTAGTGGAGAAATATGTTTGGACATACAGTATTTTGGAGGTGTTCTCGTTATGTGAATACGCACAGCCTAGATTTAGGTCAAAGAAGGAAAATAATATAAAGGGAAGGAAAAAGAAGAAATAAAAGGCTACCAATAAAGGTATGTGGGTTTTATGTTTACATTTGTTTTGTATGTCTTCATTTTCTTTGAGTTAGTTTTTAGTTTTTTTAAGAGCTTCTTTAGTTTCACAGTGGATTTAGATAGAAATATGAATATAGAAAATAAGGATGCAAATTAATTGGATTTATTTAACAATTTTCTTCATAAACACTATGTAACTTTTTGGTTAGAGGTCCGTCACCTGCTCGTTTCTATGGATATGTCATTTCACTGACTGAACTGTTCCACAGTGTGACATTAAACAGCTTTACCGTACATTTATTCAATTACATGAGGTTTTACAGCTCAAAAATATCTAGAAAAACAGGCACTGTGACTGTGAGCGGGGTCGCGTCTCCACAGATCTGACCTGTATCTTGGTTTGGTTTCCATGAAGATATAAAGGTTTAATGCCACACTGTGAAACATTCCAGACCAAACAATAATTTCCACAGAGACCAGCATTTGATGGACCCTCCACCAGAAAAATTACACAATGTACCTTTAACATTTACGCTGAATTATGTTTTGGAAGAATCATATTTGGTGCCCTGTTTTATGCATTTCAAACCTTTGCCTTACTTTGCTTGTTATTTATTAGATTTCAAGACAGTTGCTAATCTCATGCAGTGCTTTTAACCAACACAAAAAATGATTCCAAACAGAGTAAATAAGACATGTCTAAACCAGCCCTGTTTCTCCCTCTCCTCTTTCAGAGCTCTCACTCATCCCGGCGCTCGCTTCACTCCAGCTCCTCAGCGGCGGCCATCTTGGTGTCTGTGTTTGTAGCGTGTGGCGTTGGTGCAGTCGGATACTACGTCTTCAAACACAAGACTGACGCTTTCCGCTTCCACTATTTCAGAGTGAGACCCACAGACACCTTTAGTTTCTTCTCTCTGGCTCTCTTTTCTCTGTAGCATTCTCCTAGTTTGGGACATTATCTCCTTGTCTAGACATGCATGTGATGTATTCTTATGGATCCTGGCTGCACGGTGCCTATGGTGACGTGCGTGGGTATTGTCGGGTTTCAGATGACATCACAGCAGTCTGTAGGATCATTTTAATTAAAGGTGCATTACGCCACTTTTCAGGTGGGGGGTTCGTCAAATGCTTTTTTCCTTGGAAATGTTATCGCCCTGTCTGGAGTGTTTCACAGTGTTTCATTAAACCTTTCTATCATCATGGGAACCAAACCGGGCAAAGTTACAGGTCAGATCAGTGGAGAGGTGACACCGCTCACAGTCTGAATGGCATTTTTGAGCAATGAAACAATCTGCAATTGAATAAATGTAAGGTAGAACTGTTTAATGTCACACTGTGGAACATTCCAGCCAGAACAATGACATCTCCATAGAAACAAGCAGGTGACTGACCCTCTACCAGAAAAGTTACATCATGCAACTTTAATACAGAAGGAGAGGCAGTTAAAATGAATATTGTTAAAATGTAAAATTATACAGTGAGTTCTTTGGTTTAATAATATGATATGAAAATACCAGGGTCGACATTTGTGAATTTAAAATTTGCATATTTTATGGTAAAGTGCAATGTAATCAACTGGGAAATTTGACCCTTTCCCCCCATTTGGGAGTATGACATCTAGTGCTGTCAAACGATAAAAAAAAAATTGAGAGATTAATTAATTATGATCTGTAATTAATTAATCTAATTATTCTCTTTTTTTCACCTAAAAATTGCTGAGAAAAGCCTTCAACTTGAGGTATTTTCATTTGCATTCATTATTACATTATTTTTATACTATCATTAACGTTTTTATATAAGTATCATTATTATTACTATTACTAATCTGCGTAAATAGCCCGTTTGACATTATAATGTGTTTAATGCAGCTTTGCACAAGTCTCAGAAATGAAACTTAAAACCGCCTGGCTCATTTGCATAAATTAAAAGGAGAAAAGAAAAAAAAACACTCTTGTGCGCTGATGCTGTTCAGCTTCTATTAAAGGACACGACTCAGTGGAATATGAGTTTTTTCTGTGACATGGATGTTGATGCTGAAGGTGAGTCTGTTCTGTGTCTGTGTCGCGATGTTTTCAGAGATCAGACATGTGCAGGTTTATTGCAGATGTGGGCAAGAACGGGAATGAAAATTAGGCTACAGTTCTTTGCGGGAGCGAGCGGAGCAGGACTGCACAGTGCAGGACTGTGTCCTAACAACACATAAAAGCTGATTTTATAATAAGGCAACTCACGTACAGAAACAGTAAAGTTAGAGATTAAAAATAAGATTAAGGCAATTAAAAAACATAACGCACTAAATATGACTGTAATTAATTAATCGCAATTAACGTGATAATTTGACACCCCAATGACATCATCACATTTTAGAGTCTGAAAACTACCAATTTTAATGTTAAATGGAAAAAATAGTGCTTCATGTTGAGTCCATTCACCTTAACACAAAACAGCAGTAAATGTTGGAATAATTGTACAAAAATGTCAGATACTTTTTATGATTGAGTAAATGTGCTATAATAAATAACAGTGGACTACCAACAAATTGAAAATGGCTTCTAGTTGGGAGCTGAAAACGTACTGATTTCAAAATCTCTCTAAAACCTTTTATGTCTTAATGGTCCTGTATTACACAAATTTTACTCTTGGGAGTTTTAAGCCATTTTATAATACTGTTACTTCACTAAAAATATACCTGGAGTGATGTTTTGTTTCATTCACACATGTTTGAGTAACACTTTATTATTAGTCTGTCTACATGTCCAAAGCTCAAAATGCTCTTTTCCACCTTGTGATGTCATGAGGCAGTAATTTACAAGTTAACAGCTCCTTTTACCTTTTAGTTCAGTAAAGAATGGTGATTCCAGGCCTGAAATGATCCAACTGATTTTAATGAAGGTGTATGGACTTTATAAACACACTGGAGCACTTCCTGTATCAAGACATGACATCACAAGGTGGAGCAGAGTGTTTTCTGTTTAAGGGAAGAACACAGCCTAAATATGCAAAAAAAAAAAACAAAAAAAAACACACAACTCCAGGCATGGTTTTAGGTAAAAAAAAAAACAACAACAATAACAACAAAACTGAACTTTTTCGTTCTTAACATAAATATAGCATCTGAAAGTGTATTCCCTTTCCTCAGTTTGCCTTATATGTCTCTTACTTCCTGTTTGTAATTGTTCAGAATGAGGATGAGAATGGAGCTTCAAACAGAAACAGACCTGCCCTGGTGTCCATCCCCAACCCTCTGTACGTCGGCTCCACTGCCCTGAGTCAGCCCGGCCCGGTAAGTGCCCTGAATAATACTGAGATAATACTGCATCCTCACAGTGTACAGGACAAGGCTGACTCTACTTGTTTGTGTGTTTGTAGTTGATAGAAACATGTTTATTTTTCATTATTTCATTGCACATACTCGTATCATATCACTTTATTATCAATCTCAAATAAACCATATAGAGGTATTAGGTATTTACTGAATTAAAGGCTATTTTTTGATTTATATTAAAATGTTTCTTCATCACAAACTGACCTGGAGTTGTGTTTTGTTTCATTCACGCATGTTTAACTCACAAACTGCATATTTAGGCTGAGTTCTTCTCTCAAATAGAAACACTCTGTTCCACCTTGTGATGTCAGGTGGTAATACAGGAATGCTCCTCTGTGTTTTTAAACTCCATACACCTTCACTAGAAACGTTTGGATGATTTCAGACCTAGAATCACCAGTCTCTACAGTACTGCTTCATGACATCACAAGGTGTAGCGGCACATGTTGAGTTTTGGAGATGTAGACAGAGTAATAATAAAGGATTATTCAAACATGTGTGAATGAACCAAAACACAACTCCATGTTTTTGATGAGGTTTGAACAGCATTATTACATGACTTAAAGCTAACAAGTCAGTTTTGTGTAATACAGGAGCTTTAAAATCAGCGCTCCAGTGTCAGTGAGAGATATCCTGTGTGATCCTGTGTAGTCTGGGGTAAGAGGATAGGGCTTCTCTCCCTGGAGCCTAGACCCTGGTGACAGAGGTGAGGTGAGGGCAGAGAGTGAGGAGGTCTGGAGGAGACAAAGTACTGGGGCAGAGGAGGCACAGAGCTGAACAGAATAAAAATGGGATGTGTAGAAAGATTTTTTTGTCATTTGTTTCCCCTGTGGAGCTCCCTCTTCGTGTTAGAGTACAGCACTTGAATAATTATAACAATAATTTCCAGTGATCTTTGAGTATTGATACTTTAAAGCTGATGTCATGAACATTTGGGGTGCGAGGCTAACTGGTCTGTCTGAAGTTATTTTACTCCAGTTAGGCTTTAATCTGAGCTTTGTTTTAACACAGTCTGACCAGAAAGACAAGACTGAGTTGGAATTACAATAGGTGAGCTGATTTGTACTGTTAAACACCATGACCATGAATGCTCAGACTGATCACAGGCTCCTGAAAATGTGTTGTTTAAATCCATTTTGTATTTTTTTCTTGAGATTTCAGACGATTTAAAAACTTTTAAAGCTCCATGGTAACTCATAAACATATGTAGTTAATATGATTAACTGAGATTCGGGAGCATGACCACGCCTCAACCGCCCTCTCCTCTCACCAGCCAACCACAATTCACCTCAACCACACCTCTAATTTCCTAGAAGCCTATATGTAGCAGCCTTTCCCATCATCCCAGTTTGTCTCGGCTAACTCAACCCCACCCTCCCACCCCTTATTTTTTTGGTCTTTCAGTCATAAGACCCCTACAAGGGGGGTCCTGTTCCGGCTGGGCCAATTGCAGATTGAGACGGAGCCCCCACCCATAGTCTCAACCCAGCCATCTCTGCCCCGCTTCGTACATTATCAATAAACTTCTTCGCACTATGTCGCTGTTGGTGTGGTCCTAGCTAGTGAATCTACCATTAGAGATACTTGTAGAGCATCCCCAGTGTAATGTTCAAGCAAAGTATTAATTGCTTTTATACTGTGTTTCAGCTTCTGATACTTTAGGGAACCACTAGCATACCAAAAACAGGGGTCCACCACCTTTTCCGACCTCCCTTCATTACGACTTGCCTCTATTTAGACGTGCTGGTTTTCCAACACTGTTTAGTATCGCTATTCCGACAGGTCGTGTGTGTGTTTTGCGAGAGTGCCATCTCATTGAGCCGGCGCAGTGAACTTGATTGGTTATTTATTTAGGCGAGATGATGTTCTCCACAGTCGCCTACATGACCAAATGAATGAAGCACAAAGGGTCCATGCAGCCTCCGTTTTAGATTAAATATTTTCCAGAAGGATGGCCTGTGCTCATTTTAAAATGCATGACTGTTTCCCACGGCGATCGGTTTGGACATTTTCCCACTGACTGATATCCTGTGTGGCTGAAGTATTCTCTGATCAATTGTTTTGCACCAGCCCAAGCATCTTATGATATATGGGAGCACAAAGTATAACAGGTTATCACATTCATATTATTCATGTCAGAAAAGCGGAATGTTTGAAAAATAGTACAGTGCCGCTACTCCGACAATGAAAAAAAAAAAAATGTTGAAGTAGTGGGATGCTTGAAAAATAGTTTATGTCGCTACTCTGACAATTAGACGTCAATGTCTAAATAGCAGCAAGTCGGAATAGCAGCATGTAACCTGCAAAACACTAGCATGCAAAACAAACTAAAATAAATATGATATCTTGGCTAATAATATAATATAAGAGTTTTCCTTTTTAATTGAAGTCTCATTTGTTTATAAACTGTCTGTTTGTTGCAGGAGAGCAGCCAGGAGCCAGAACCTCCAGCGCAGCCTCAGGAGCCTCAGATTTTAGACTTGGACCAATAGAAAACACCACACCTCCTGTCTGATTCAAACTGATCTAAATCTAATCAACCATTCAAATGCTCAGAGCCTAATAAAAAACAAAATGTCCTCTCCTGTGTTGTGGTCACTTAAATTTCTGGTTGATTTCTTTGTCTGCAAAAACATCAAGAATCAGTGTGTTCAGATTTAGAGAGGGATCTGTCTGCAGAGCTCCACCTATATATAAATCGATTATCTATGCGTCATCCACAGCGGCTTAAAAGTAAACAAACAGCAGCCATGTCAAAAGATCGCCAATGTCCACTGTTTCCTGGTTTTCAACAAAACGTTACAAAAGTTGACATTGTTTTCTACTAAAGACAAGTCCAAACCCTTTTCCCGACATTAACCATTAGAGATCTGTGCCTAATCTTAACCAGACACAGGGCCAACGGCAAGACAGTCACGGACAAAATACGTCTAAGAATTACCGTATTTTCCTGACCATAGGGCGCACTCTAAAGCCTCTAACCCCATCAAAAAATTACTGCGCACCCCACAATCCAGAGCGCCCTATACACGAATCCACTTGGGTGTCCCAGCACGACTTCAGAAAACTACAAAGCCGCACCACCCGCAGCGCACGCAAACACACACGGAGCAGACAGCGACCGCGCAGCAAAAAAACCCCGCAGCCACACTCATCACTCCACACGGACAAGGAACGGAACGGAAGAATGAACCGAAAAAGCGAGTGCAATGTGCCACTTCTAGACACAATTGAACAACTGAGTCAATGCGAACACGCCGACAATCCAGCGGTCCCAGACAGCACCCTCCCTACACGCCACAACTGAACAAAGCCCAGAGTCACCGTGAACACGCCAAACAAAGTCCCACTGACCCATCCAACTGTTGTGTTTCATTTAAAGTCCAGTACGGTTTATTTGTGAAAAAAGTTCAAAAATAGACCATTCAAGTGCGTTTTACAATCCAGAGCGCCCTATTGTGCAGAAAATATGGTAAATATGCCTATGCTATTTACGACCTCTTGTATGTGGGCCTATGATGACTATGATTTAATATCTGTTATTGTTTGTGACGACATCTGAAACTGGTGATTGACCTACACAAGCCGAGTAGATCAGAGGCAACACGAAGCTAGTTAAAGGTGCACTGTGTAACTTTTCTGGTGGAGAGTGTTGAGGAAAATAACCCTTTTCCTCGCGTGTTGTTAGTTTCTGCTTAGACAAAAAATTACACTTGAAACAGAAATAAAGTTCAGATAATTTACTTATTCCAAAGTCATACTTGTACAAGGAGTCTGTGCTGACATTCCCATGCAGAGACTGAATATTTACGCCTATACAATGATTTTTATACGCAAACTATAGTGGGAGGCGACCGTGGTTTAGACTTAGTGCCTCTTCGTTGGTGCACAGACCAGCCAGGCCTCTTGGCACGTGGCACAATCTTATCCGATTGTGACAAGGATCCCCCGGATTCATGTCACTCCCCTTACGGGAGCGTCTTGCTGGTCTGATCGGGGTGATGAGTCATGAGTCTGCATATCCCTATCAGTAAGTCCTTGACCTATTTAGTTAATTGATTAGACATATAGATAGAAATAGAATATCTTGTACATGAACTGAACATATCTCTGCATCCCTTATCTGCAGTCTAGTCCCTGTTTTCTGGGTCATTGTATAGTGAATTATAAGGCAAGGTAAGTTTATTTGTACAGCACAATTTGTACACAAACTAATTCAAAGTGCTTTACAGAATAAGAAATACATTAAAATCATAATAAAAACAAATCAAAACATAAATAATCATGAAGATTAAAATTAAAAAAGAGAGACATAAATTGGAGAAATTTATTGTTGATGAAATGTCTTTGAAGTACTTCACTCTAAAAAAAGAAATGAGATTTATCGTCTTTAACAGAGAATGAACTAAGGAAACAACTGATAGAAAGTGTAATTAAGTCGTTTATAGTGTAAACTAATGAAAAATGGTGAGGGACATGTGGGTGGAGGTGCATCCTGGTGGAGGTCTGCAGCCAAGCTCTCAAATGTATGTTCAAAGGGCCCTTGTTGTACGGTTTTCTGATCTATGTTTTTAATGTGTGAATGAAATGTGTGTTTGATGAGGAAACAACATGTTTAACACACAACCCCTGCATATTTAGTCCTCTCAAATTAAAAACACTCTAATGCTCCACTGTATTTTTAAACTTCATACACTAGAATCATTTGGATGATTTCAGCCCTGGAATCGCCAGTCTCTACTGAAATAAAGGTTAAAGGAGCTGTTAACTTGAAAACTTCATCTTAATGACATCACAAGGTGGAAAAGAGCATTTTGAGCTTTGGAAATGTAGACAAACTAATAATCAAGTGTTCCTAAAACATTTGTGTATTAAACAAAACACAGCTCCAGGTCTGTTTGAGAGGACGTAACATTATAACATGGCTTAATATTATATTGAACTTTTTCATAAATGTTTATTGTACATCTCAAATTTTCAGATGGTCTGTAAGTCACTAAAACAATATTCTTGTACTTCCTTGTCCTAATACTGAGAACAAAAGTTAGCAGAGCAGAGGAGACTACATTCAAACATTATGCTGTATATAGGCTTCAATTCATCTTATTGAAGACTTTGTCATTTATAAGCCAACTGTTCTAATTACAATTTTGACTTTATAAAGTCTTCTTACATACATAAGAAGACTTTATAAAGTTTTCTTATGTCTGCTGTCCTCTGGTAGATGTGGCAGCACTGACATCCAAATCATGGATCTATAATAAAAACTTTTTTTTTAAATTATAGTTCTATGATCCAAATATTTAATAATGTTGCCAGACTTGCCAGAGCAGTGACTCAAGGCTTTGGATGTGTCAATGCCAAACCTGCAGTTCAGGCTAAAAGTTAAGTTTAAAAGTCCTTCTAATACTACACCACAAAGTTATGCTCGCAGCTTAAGGTTTAGCTCGTACTAAACCAAACTCGGACTCAACGGGATCATTTCCAGAACCAAACCAGGTCCAAACCAAGTCTCCGGCTCATCTAAGTAAGTTTCATTAGAACTGTTAAGGACAGGCTACTGGAACTGTACACGCCTGTTTCTTTCTACACAATTTTTGTCTATTTTGATTAGAAAATTAGTTCGTATTCGTTCCCGTGTTCTGTTAAGGGTTGTGATGTCTGTAGCGTTCAGTTTTTTTACATGAGTTTATTACATTTTCCATTGAGTGTGGTGGTGCTTTAGTTGAGTCAGTTTCCCAGGGAACAGGTGAGTGGACTGACAGCAACATGACAATTTCACTGTAGTCTATTTCTCTGCCTGTAGTTCTGGCATAGGGTGACCAGACGTCGCTATTTACCTGGGACAGTCCCACTTTTGAGCCCTGTGTCCCCTGCTCTATCCCAACAGATTTATCCAAAACCATTGATTTGTCCCAGTTCTATACACAGTCATGCCCTACGTGTCTCTATTTTTGACCAATTTGATCCCTGCCAACAGTAGAGAGACATAAACTGTCATTTGTTGAGGTACACATATATCTTCTTTAAAGGAACAGCCTGTAAGATTGTGATTTTAAATGTCATAAACATGATCGTAGCAAACTGTGTCCTCAGATATCAGATAGACATGTTCAGATCAAATATTGCTCTTACTGGGCGACAGTAGTTCAGAGTGTTTATTCACTGATCCGAAGGTTGGCGGTGCGATTCCAGCTCCCACAGATAGGGTGACCAAATTTTAATAAATGAAAAACTGGGACACCGGGGTTGGGGTGATTATAAATTATGATTATGATTATATATAAAATGGGACAAACTAATGGTTTTGAATAAAGACACTTAACCCACCTCACCCCCAGTGTCTGTGTACACTGGTGTATGAGTGTGTGTGTGAATGGGTGAGTGGTTCCTTGATGTAAAGTGCTTTAAGTGCCTTGAAGGTGGAAAAGTGCTAATATAAAAATGTGACCATTTAACAATTTCATTACAGAAACACTGGACATGGCACCGACAACCCAGGTTCAGTTGTGATTATACCTTTTCATAAACAGTAAGCATGAGCACACCTTACATAACCTCCCATCAGTGTTGGGAAGATTACTTTTAAAATGTATTCCCCTACAGATTACAGATTACATATCCCAAAATGTAGTTTGTAACATAATCCATTAAATTACTTAAAGTGAGTAACGTAATCTGAATACTTTGGATTACTTGATTTGCTGTAGAGAAGCAAAGACAAGAATATCGTAACATAAGAAGTTTTGTCTGATAAAAGAAAATAAAAAGCCCAGACTTTCCTTAACAGTATTAATAAAAATATTATTGATAGAAGAGGAGGAGACACGTCCACGCAGCATGATTTAGTCCTGTTAAATCCTGTTTTAGACCTGTTTTAGACCTGGTTTTAGTCCTGGTTTAGTCCTGGTTTAGTCCTGGTTTAGTCCTGGTTTAGACCTGGTTTGGACCTAGTTTAGACCTGGTTTTAGACCTGGTTTAGACCTGGTTTAGACCTGGTTTAGTCCTGGTTTAGTCTTGGTTTAGACCTAGTTTAGACCTAGTTTTAGACCTGGTTTGGACCTGGTTTTAGACCTGGTTCAGACCTGGTTTGGAACTGTTTTTTGACCTGTTTTTAGATCTGGTTTAGTGTCCAACAATGGGTGGAATTACCGGAAGAAAAAAAAAAAAAAGGGATATAGCCCGAAATGTGAAAACAGGAAAATACCACCGTGTAATCCATTTACTTCAACAAAGTAACTGTAATCCAATTACCACTCACTGAATCAGTAACTGTAACTGAATACAGTTACTCATAATTTGTACTCTGATTATGTAACTGCAGTACATGTAATCTGTTACTCCCCAACACTGTCTCCCATTCATTTAAAGAAGTCATGTTTTATTCATATTATAGACAGACCTATAACTGTCCCTCTGCTCTGGTGGGTTCCAGGAGAAGATGGATCAGTTCAGTCCTGGTTCTGGTCGGGCTCCTGGTCTGAGCTCTGTGTGTCTGGAGACTGACGGCTCTAAAGACTGTGACACTGACTCTGAAAGGTTTGTCTCTTCTCTTGGTGGGCCGCTGTGAGACACTGGGCCCTTCACTGCACTTTTGACTTTAAGTGTTTAACAGAATATTAAAAGAAACACCAAAGACAACTTCTGTTTGCGCTGGATGATATCAATCATGAATTCATTTATTAACTCAAATGAGAAACATAAAAATCTGTGCCATTTGACACAAAAACACTCCAATTTAATTCACCACAGTCTGAACTTTGCTCCAAACTACATGTTTTTACTGACAAAAGATTGGCTGTAGACCTGTCAGTCAAAAGGAATCCGTGTCAAGATTATTATGGACTATTTAAAAGTATTGAACTATACTTCCCTTTTCACTTCATTTTTACTTTTACAGTCAGGACCAACTCAGCACCACAGCCTCTCCTGCAACAGTTAGTTTAATTTTGATCATTTTATTTTCTTCAGGAGGAAACTGGACAAACCTGGTCCCAGCTGTGAGTCTCTGAAGAGCGACTGCTCCAAAGATCTGCCAATCTGTTTTAAAAGGTTTGTCCAGTTGTTGTGTCTCTGCTCCACTGTGACGTGCCCTGAATAGACTCTCTGTTTCACTATAGGGACTCAGAAGCCCCTGGTCCTGGTCTGAGCTGTGAGTCCATGCAGAGTGACCGCTATAAAGACTGGGGCCTTGGATTTAAGGAGGCTCCATCTGAAGACTCAGGGTAAGTCCACAGTGATACTGTGTGAGAGTAGGACAGGGCTGAGGAAGGAGGGCGCGGCAAGAACAACATAAAACCAGATAAAAACTGATGGGAAGCAGAGCCAGATCTAACTTTCAGGGGCCCTAATATTACTTGCATGTTCAATGTTACAGACATTCTTCCTGTTTTCTGCATTTGAATGTGTTACAGCCAGTGTTGGGGAGTAACAGATTACATGTACCAGAGTTACGTAATCAGAGTACAAATTATGAGTAACTGTATTCAGTTACAGTTACTGTTTCCATGAGTGGTAATTGGATTACAGTTACTTTTTTTTAAATGGATTACACGATGGTATTTTCCTGTTTTCACATTTTGGGCTATATCCCTTTTTCTTTTCTTTTTTTCGATAATTCCACTCATTGCTGAAAACTAAACGAGGTCTAAACTAGATCTAAACTAGATCTAAACCAGGACTAAAACCAGGTCTAAACTAGATCTAAACTAGATCTAAACCAGGTCTAAACCAGGACTAAAACCAGGTCTAAACTAGATCTAAACTAGATCTAAACCAGGTCTAAACCAGGACTAAAACCAGGACTAAACCAGGACTAAAACAGGACTAAAACAGGATTTAACCATGTCTCCTCCTCTTCTATCAATAATATTTTTAATACGGAAATCTGAGTCTTTGCTTCTCTACAGCAAATCAAGTAATCCAAAGTATTCAGATTACATTACTCACTTTAAGTAATTTAATGGATTACGTTACAAACTACATTTTGGGGTATGTAATCTGTTATCTGTAGGGGAATACATTTGTCAGGTTTAAACCCACCTAAACATTGTAAAAACAAGAAGAAAGACAAGAGATTAGAATCGTTTTCTCATGAGGAGGGCGGACAGAGAGTGCAATCTTTTTATTGTCTTAAGAGGGTCCCTAGTTACAATGGGTGTCTCCGGTGTCTCAGGAAGAGGGGGTGAAAACAGCGGAAACACCAGACAAACAAATATGACAAATATGTGTTATCAACAGCAGGTGCATATGTTTTGTTTAGCTCTCAGACACAGCTTTCTCCGCGCAGCCTTGAAAGTCGTCTGCTCCCAGGCTCCTAGGGCCTTGAGAGTGTCTGCTCCCAGGCTCCGAGGGCCTTGAGAGTGTCTGCTCCCAGGCTCCGAGGGCCTTGAGAGTGTCTGCTCCCAGGCTCCAAGAGCCGAATCGCCGTTGCTCACACATGACTGCATACAGTTTCCAAGCACAAAAGATTATTCAAATACACAAAGAATGGTACATAGCAAATATAGCAAATATGGGATAATATATACAATTATTCTAACAACATTTTAAAAGTCACCTTCCCAACACTGGTTACAGTTGGCTAAAGTGTATAATATTTATGGATTCTGTGCTGTTATAAAATGCTATACATGCTCTAAGATAGTCTCCAAATTAATCATTTAAACACAATACTTTGAGTTAGGCCTTGCTCATTTATAGTTATAAATTATTATAAATTAAATAAAAATGTATAAATATTATAGGCCCACCTTCTCTTTATCATAAGGTGATAAAGTTTCACTTCATGATCACAATATCTGTGTTCAATAAATGCACGAAAACTTATAAAATAAATGTGTGAATAATTATTGTATGAATATACATATACTATGCATGCAAATTTACTCATAGCCTACACTAGCACAAAACTCATTAATTATCCAAAAAGACGCACCCAACAAACGCAAAGCTTCTCTTAGTCACAACATTAAGTGATAAAGCAGCCACTGTAGTCAAAGTGGTTGAATTCTTAACATGAGGCAAAGACAAAAGACACATACGTGGTAAACTTACATCATGCTGTCCTTGTGCAGTCGCTGAGGTGTGTTTATGAGCAAGGGAGGAGTAGAGGCACGGCATAAGCCACTCTGGTGTATTGTTCAAACCCATTTAACCAATCAGAAAGTGATATTTACACAGAAAGACATTAACAGACAGACATGAATGGTATGAATGAACAAATGCCCAACTTGCGTAGTCTGTGTATAGGATTATCCTGCTCTGGTGGGTAGACAGTTTAGTCTGTTTGCAATGACAAAGAGAAGACTGAGATGAATTAGGAGATTAAAAATGTCATGAGTTACAATTTCCTTTTCAATCCTGTGCCACTCAAAGGTGGAACTCTGTCCCCAGAGCGGAGTGGAGCCCGGAGAGCCTCGGCGTAGACCCGCTGCTCCACGTCTTCATGGTCTGTTCACAAACACTGTCTCTGTGAGTTCTTTTGGTCTGACTGAGTTTGTGTTGCAGAGGCTGGAGGAGCAGGTCCTGAGCTTTGTCAAAGAGCAGCTGAAGAGGTTCCACAGGGTCCTGGCCTCAGATTACCCAGAATGCTTAGAGAGTGAGGAGGAGGAGCAGAGCAGCAGAGAGGCCGTCCTGACCATCGCACTGGACTTCCTGAAGAGGATGAAACAGGAGGAGGTGGCCGAGCGTCTGTTCAGCAGTAAGAGCTCTGTGTGAACAAAGTGTTTTTCACAACCTCTGCCCTCGTCCCAGAGCCCAGTCACATGACCACATTAGACTGACCCATGGTCCTGATCATCTGCTGGAACACGCCACTCACATGCTAAAAATACTTTATATAAGATAAGAAATGCCAGTGACAGGTTAGACTGCTAATTTCACAAAACATATAATATCATTATATTTAAGACTTTACTAAAAATATGAACGTGAAGGTAAGTTCGTTCCTACTCTCACCTATGATCATGAGTTCTGGGTAATGACCGAAAGGATGAGATTGCGGATAAAAGCAGTTGAAATTAATTTCCTCCGCAGGGTGACTGGGCGCTTAACTTAGAGATAGGGTGAGGAGCTCAGTCACACGGGAGGAGCTCGGAGTAGAGCCGCTGCTCCTCCACATCAAGAGGAGCCAGTTGAGGCGGCTCGGGCATCTGTTCCGGATGCCTCCTGGGCGCCTCCCTCGGGAGGTGTTCCAGGCATGTCCCACCGGGAGGAGGCCCCAGGGAAGACCCAGGACACGCTGGAGGGACTATGTCTCTCGGCTGGCCTGGGAACGCCTCGGGGTCCCCCCGGAGGAGCTGGAGGACGTGTCTGGGGTGAAGGAAGTCTGGGAGTCCCTGCTTAGACTGCTGCCCCTGCGACCCGGTCCCGGATAAGCGGAAATAAATGGATGGATGGACTTTACTAAAAAATCTTGCCAATTTTTTTTATATATTACTTTACTAACCCTGGCTGAACACAGGCAGAAGATGTGACATACATAGAGGTAATTTACTAACCTAAACAACCATTATGTTAACACACTAAACTGCACAATAGTTATAATTAGACTAATGAAATAGATGACAATGTAGTTTATTACATAAAAGCTTTAACTGACAGAAATTGTTTGAGAAGTTAGTGTTACAACATTTTTTTCCACAAACTTTCTCTTAACTGATATAAATCGATGATAATCATTTACCACAGGTACTATCCCACCAAATTACTGCCTGATCAGCCAGTCCCTTTTACATTCTGTTTGATTCCAGGAGGGTCTGGAACCCCACTGTAAAATGTGAAAAACTTCCATCCAAACTTGAGACAATCCAATCACAGCCGCTAATTTGTCTCACGCATCTCTCAAATGCAGAAGACATCTCCTCTCAAAAAATCTCATTCAGAACAAAATATATATAACTTATTGTACCTGAAACAAGTTATAGTTTGATGCCTTCATTGATAATTTTATAAAAATCTGTGCTGTTTCTCAGTCCTTTATGTAAGTTTTTCTCCTTTTTAAGTGTAAGCAGCCATGTTTGTTTTTGACACGAACAAAGCATGTGTCTCTCTGATTGGTTAATCCGCCTGTCAATCACGCTCTCTGAAATCAGGAAGTCACGGTACGGCTTCACATCCACTCGTTTTTTGTAAAAAAATTTCAAAGCGTGTGGTTCTGACTGAAAACCGAGTAATAATTACAAAAATATGAAAACCTGTCACATGCATTTTAAACTAAAGCCAGGTGTTGAAATTCTAGAGAAACTTCTCCTAAGCGTATGACCTGATTTTGGTAGAAACTAGGAGCTAGGATTCATGAAGAGCTTATTTTACAAACAGACTGCTATGGACTTACCAGTGTTACCAAAAAGAGATGCATACAGAAGTCAAGGAAGAGATTCGAGACAGCTTTGCACGGAAGAAGATATATTGGTGTCATAAACCTGTTGTTCGTGCTGTGTTAAAGGACTTTTAACTTTTTATGCCACAGAGTCTCAGATGTCGTCTTGTCTTCTGTACGTGCATCTTTTTGGTATCATTTGTAAGTCGACTGCAATCTTAAAGACTTAAGACTTAACACATGTTCCTCTTAAAATGAATTTCAAAAGACAAATTCAAAAATTATGACCTTTTTAAAAATGTATGTAATTTCTTTTCCCTTAACCTCCCCTGGATGTGCCTCTGTGAGCTCAGCACATGAGCTCTTTCTGGTCTAGAGAGAAAACAGTGTGTGGCTGTTAACCTGGACTCTGGACCAGAGCTGGGACTGACCATAGATGAATCTTGTTCACCGTCTTCTTCCTGTTTGTCTTTACACAGAGAGTTTGGCTGGAGTTTGTAGAGAGAAACTGAAGAGGCGTCTGCAGCAGAGGCTCAGCTGTGTGTCTGAGGGCGTGGCTAAAGCAGGAAGCTCCGCCCCCCTGAACCAGATCTACACAGAGCTCTACATCACAGAGGGAGGGGCCACACAGGTCAACCAGGAACATGAGGTCAGACAGATCCAGACCAAATCCAGGAGACCAGTCGCTCCAGAGACCGCCATCACATGTGAGGACATCTTTAAAGGCCCCGCCCACAAACAGGGACCAATCAAAGCAGAGTTACCACAGAGACAGGGACCAATCAGAGAGGACTTCACAGACAGACCAATCAGGCTCGTGCTGACGAAGGGCGTGGCCGGCGTGGGGAAAACAGTGCTGACTCAGAAGTTCAGTCTGGACTGGGCTGAGGGCCGAGCCAACCAGGACGTGGAGCTGCTGTTCCCGTTCACTTTCAGAGAGCTCAATGTGCTCAGAGAGAGACAGTTCAGCCTGGTGGGACTGCTGCACCACTTCTTCAGTGAAGTCAAAAGACTCTGCAGTTTTGAACATCTCCAGGTGCTCTTCATCTTTGACGGTCTGGACGAGTGCAGACTTCCTCTGGACTTCACACAAACCCAGGTCCTGACTGAGACCACAGAGTGCGTCTCTTTGGACGTGCTGCTGGTGAACCTCATCAGGGGGAGCCTGCTTCCCTCCGCTCGCCTCTGGATAACCACACGCCCCGCGGCGGCCAATCAGATCCCGGCCGAGTGCGTCTCCATGGTGACAGAGGTGCGAGGGTTCACAGACCCACAGAAGGAGCAGTACTTCAGGAAGAGGTTCAGAGACGAACAGCAGGCCACAGACGTCATCTCCCACATCAAAACATCACGCAGCCTGTACATAATGTGCCACCTCCCAGTCTTCTGCTGGCTCCTCTCCATAGTCCTGAACCATGTGATGAAGACGAGAGTCAAAGAGCAGCTGCCCCAGACTCTGACCCAGATGTACATCCACTTCCTGGTGGTCCAGGCCAAAGTCAAGAGCCTCAAGTACGACGGGCGCTCTGAGACAGACCCTCCCTGGACTCCAGAGACCAGGGAGATGGTGCAGTCTCTGGGGAAACTGGCCTTTGAGCAGCTGCAGAAAGGAAACCTGATCTTCTATGATTCAGACCTGGAGGAGTGTGGGCTGGAGGCTGCAGAGGCCTCAGTGTACTCCGGAGTGTTCACACAGGTGTTTAGAGAGGAGCCGGGCCTGTACCAGGACAAAGTCTACTGCTTCATCCATCTGAGTGTGCAGGAGTTTCTGGCTGCTCTTCACGTCCATCTGACCTTCTACAACTGTGGAGTCGACCTGCTGTCACCACAAGAACATACACAGAAGCCCAAGTACATATTTACATCTTTGTTTAGGAGAGGAAGTCCAGAGATGGACTTCTACAACTCTGCTGTGGAACAGGCCTTAAAGAGTCCAAACGGACACCTGGACCTGTTTCTGCGCTTCCTCCTCGGTCTGTCTCTGCCGACCAATCAGAGCCTGTTACTGGGTCTGCAGAGTCAGACAGGAAGTAGCTCATGGACCAATGAGGTCACAGTAGATTACATCAAACAGAGGCTGGAGTATGATGCTATGTCAGCAGAGAGTCGTATGAACCTTCTCCACTGTCTGAATGAACTGAACGACCACAGTCTGTTGGAGCAGGTGCAGCGCTACATGAGAGAAGGACGTGTCTCTGATGAAGACATGTCTTATGCTCAGTGGTCGGCTGTGGCCTTCCTCTTACTGTCCTCAGACTCAGAGCTGGAGGAGTTTGACATCAGGAAATATGAACCATCTGAAGAGGCTTTCTATGGTCTGCTGCCTTTAATAAAAGCCTCCACCAAAGTCATGTGAGTCTAGACTTAATATTAATACAGATCATCAGGATTCTAGTGTCTAATATTCCTCTCTCTCCTCAGTCTGTCCGGCTGTGGTCTGTCCCATCACAGCTGTGGTGATCTGATCTCAGTCCTCAGCTCCTCCAGTCTGACACATCTGGACCTCAGTAACAACAACCTCGAGGTCTCAGTAGTAAAGCAGATGTGTTCTGGACTGAAGAGCGCCCCCTGCAGACTGGAGGTCCTCAGGTGAGACTCAACAGTCCCAGATCAGACCATAGACAGCACTGCCTCTCACATGCACGCTGATTGATGACGTAGGGAAATCGAGTGTCCAATAGGAACTTGTTCCCCGCCAAACGCATGTACTTTATCCATTTTTATTGGCCCAAACTTTTCCAAAGAGTGTAGTGACTGTTGACTGTTCTGAGCATCTATGTTTGTAACAATTGGAAAAAGCTGCTCTAGGTAAAAATTATATATAATAATAATAATAAATTGAATAAATGCCAAATTATGCATCTTAGTCTGTGTAATTGCGCATCTCTTGCTATTTTTATTTCAAAGGTTTATTTCACTCAAAATGTACAAATATTAATGTAATATGCACCATGGAAATGCATAGCAAGTGATGTGGCTCTGTGCCCTGGACAGGAGCTGTTTCTATTGCTGGCACCAGTAAAGAAATGTGGACTGCACTTTTTGTTTGTTTTGTGGGCAGTAAGTAATAATTTACTTACAGACTTGGTATTTTGCACTTTTGTAGCTAAGTCCCCAAGCATTTTTTTATGTCCAAAAAGTTGTTTATACGTGTTTACACAAACACATTACAGGCAAACAACTATCTAATTTACTTTGATAGTTTATTTCATTACTATTCAGTTTTAGTCAGCAGATATATTATACTGCCAAAACTGTTAGACCTGAATACTGCATAATATATTTTTGTAATGTAAAAATTAATATAAATGTTGAGAAAAGTTTTAATTCATAATTTGGAGCCCTCTCCCTCCTCCTCCTGATGAAATAAACATTTTGTTATGGCCCCTGGCTCGAAAGACACGACAACAGTGTTCAGGCTTTTATTATAAAAACATGATGGTAGTGATGGTAGTGGTGGCAGCAGCGTGGTGGTGTGTCATGCCCGCAGGTTCAAGAGGAGCAAGAGAGAGCAGAAGAAAGGGGGTGTGCCCCTGCAGGCCTTTTATACTCCCACTGAGTCACAGGGCAGCTGTGGCAGCGAGGACACACACCCAGAGAGGGAGATGAGCTGCAGGAAGGTGCAGGGCAGGACACAGCCTGGGCCATGACAATTTCTTTGAGTGGATTTTTTTTTTTTTTTTTTTGTGGCCTTGACAACACTGTTAATTTGGAAAACTAATTTTAGTTTCAGTTTTGGAGTTTGACCAAAACACTATAATTGAGTAATGAGTTAAATCAATACTCATAAGCTGTGAGTACACAGGTTCATTTAAATGTATATATTTTTTCACTGCTTCATTGAGCTCATTGAGTGAAATAAATACATTTATTGCAAACTGTTTCCACTGGCAGGGTAGTAGACAGGGGCAAGTACAGAGGTCTGCTGTCTATGCCCCAGCATTGGGCCCTCTTCATATTCATTTATATTCAGCTAAAGCTTGCATCTAGCTTCTATTCAGTTGTATTTATTTTTAATTGTTAACAAAAATGTATCTGTTCATTTAGTCATATTTTTTAGTTCTCATGGATTTCTCTATATTTTATTTTTATTTAGTTTTAATCAAACAGAATGTATCTATAAAGCTCTTTTCATACATATGATGCAGACAAATGAGCTTTACACACACAATTAAAATCATCCCCTCACTAATCCACACACAACAACCACCCAGTTAGCCTATAGTCAGCAAAAATGTTGAACTGACAAACCCAGAACATATTAATCCACAAAAGGAACAGTGCTGGGGAAAAACTGGAGTCTTCTCTTGTAAATGAACAACATAAAAACATGAGGAGTTTGTTAGTACCAAATCCAACCAGTCCAAATGAATGGTGATAACTATAAGTGGGTCTTTCAGTGGTAATGAAGTAACTCTAACACCTGGAGAACATTCAGCTCAAACTGTTTGAGTCCTTAACACTGAGTCCTTCATATACTGTTCAGTGTCCTGTGTTTGTGTAAACAAAGAATATTGAAAAGTGGAGGCAATGGGACCTTCTTTTTATTGTGGACATGTTTTGTGCCAGAATGCACATGTTGTATTTATTTCTAAAATAAATAAACATTGTCAGAGTAAATGTTGAGTCTGTATCATGTTCTCTCCTCAGTCTGTCCTGCTGTGGTCTGTCCCATCTCTGCTGTGGTGATCTGGCCTCAGTCCTCAGCTCCTCCAGTCTGACACATCTGGACCTCAGTAACAACGACCTCCTGGACTCAGGAGTGGAGCAGCTGTGTTCTGGACTGAAGAGCGCCCCCTGCAGACTGGAGGTCCTCAGGTGAGACACTCCCCATGTCCCACATTAAAGCTGGTTTATAATCCAGCATCAAGCTCGCTGTAGCTGAGAGCTGACACAGACCTGAACCATATGAGTTTCTGCGGAGCTAATCAGGGCCCAGGAGCATCATAGGAATCCAAACTATTTAATCTGCATTTATTTATTTACTAGGACAATAGACAGTCACATTAGGCTCATGTGCAAACATGTCTGTGCCGAACTTAAGCTGTTCAAAGCTGGTTTTAATCAGTTGTCCATGTAGTCTTTGTGGATCAGCCACTCATAGCTCTTGTGTTTGGTGGAAATGTGGCGCAAGCACACAGCACAGCGAGCTTTCTGATTGGCTGTCAGGTGCGTTAGGAACAGCACATCTGCACTGATTTGACACTGGACTATGAGCCAGCCTTCATTGTGTCATGTGGACCTTTTATGAAAGCTCCTCCTCTTTACTCACTCCTCTGCACTGACTGAAATCTCCTCTGCAGCTCAGCCAAGGTCCCTTTGGTCTCCAAACACCGTCCTCTGGAAGTACAGCCCATATATTGCTAATACATGGGTTTTATATTTAACAAAGGGAAAAATCACTCAAACTTTCTTTCACTTAATTTTTCAGTTTATTTCCAAATGTCTTGTTCAGAGAAGTGTTAAATCTTAGTCTACAGAATTAAATTTAAAACTGAACACTCCCTCGTTCCATCCCTAGGATATATTAGGCACATATTATCCACACTAAACCCACAGGTAGACACAGGTCTGGGACTACAAACCAGGGCTAGGGACAAAGGAAAGTAACACAAACAAGATGTGATGTAATTTAAGTGGCTTTATTAAATAAATTAGTAAATATAAGGAAGTACAATAACAAAAAAAATATATTTTACAGAAGATAACAACTCAAAATTCCCAATTACAACTAAATAATAACTAAGTACATAAAGCGAAATCAAAGAAAATACAAATGCCCAAGGGCCGAGCCAAATTGGCAGTTTCAAATCAATCAGTCAATAATCAGTCAATAATCAGTCAATAACAACCTCTAGTGTGTCACATACAAATTTGCACACAAACAATTTCGACAAGGCAAACCAGAGACATGTCTAATGCAGAGTGGCGAGCTGATGCTGTAGTCCAGCCGCCCAGAGGATCAGGCGCACAGGAATTTTTCTGGGCAAGGCGTTGGTGAATCAGGAAGGGGATTGGAGGAGCAGGACGTCAGTCCTCCAACCACGGAAACCAGAGCCAGCCCAGCCCAGCAGAGACGGAGACGTACCCCACCAATCAGGTGCCAGGGACTACAGAACACATGTGAAAGGTACAAGCAGTAAAACAAACAGGGAGCACAGGACGAGGCAGAGCCAGGCTGCATGCCATAACAGATGTGATGTTGTTTGGTAGAAATATTTTCAGAGATAATCGTCTGGACATAGTTTTTGAAATCAAGACGTTTTGACTCCAGAAGCCATTTTCATTTTAATGGTGAGTTAAATAAATACTGTTTTGTAGTGAAACAGACCTGCCATTGTTTATAGTGAACCTACTGATACTCATTGTATCAGTCTCTATTTTATAACTGATATTTTTGATGTACAGGGATAGATCTTTAGATTAATCTGAAAAAGTATGAAAAATATTAATCTCTGAGGATTTTACAGTTGTAAGTGGACATTTGTCCTTAGGTTGTGAGTTTTCTAAAGGGAAGTGTCAGCTTACTCCTGGAGGCAGTCTGAACAGAGAATCTTAAAAAAGAGTCTTGGAGAGTTAGAACAGTTCTCAGACATGTCTCTTTATTAGTTCAGGCAGGTACAGGTCTCAGATTCAAGTTGATTACATGATTCACCTACATGGTGTCTCTTTGCATCGTTATCCCTGGACAACGCTCTCAGATGACGTCCCCCATTCTTCCCACACAAAAAAACAGGTGCCTTTTATACTAGCATAACTTGTTGAGTTAGCATCTTCAGCAGAAACAGACACAGCAGTTTTGACCCAACACGTGTTTATCATAGATTGGCATATGCTAAAGGTTGGAGACCCACCCCTTTGCTGTCCCATATACACTCATATTCCATATGACATCATATCCCCAACCCCACTGACACTCCAAAGTCCAGAAACATACACATCATGTTACTGAACACAGGGACTTTAACATTAAAATTAAATAAAATTAAATTTAGTAACTCATGTTACTAAATTAACATGAATGAAACATTAAAAACACAGGGAATACGCTCACAGAAGCCTGATGGGTAAGAACGTGTCCTTGTGTGTGTGCAGGCTGTCAGGATGTCTGGTGTCTGAGAGGGGCGGGGCTGCTCTGTTCTCAGCTCTGAGCTCCGCCCACTCCCATCTGAGAGAGTTAGACCTGAGCTACAACCATCCAGGACCCTCAGCAGAACTCCTGACCGCTCTACAGGACCACTGCTCCTTGGACTCCCAGAGGTGAGCTCCCAAACAATACCTTGTGCCCCCTTTGCTTTGCTGTTACATAAACTATAATGACTCCCACCAGCTAAGGCTCTACACACTGATTTTAAAAACTGTTGTGAGGAACTGTCCACTGCCTGATAACCCAGATTCCAGAACTTTGAACTGTCACTGTTCTGTAGTTGCACAAAAACTAAAATCAACAAAACGATGTTACACAAGTGAGACCACATAACCCTGTCACTATCAACAGCAACATCACTGAAGTCAGTAAACAAACTCTTAACACGTGTTTTGCTGGAAACAGGTTTTAACAACACAATACTATAGTGAAATGATTTATAGATTTTATTTATTCTTATTTACTTTATTTATTCTTAATCAAGGTGTGTACTCCCTCAGTCGTCCAGGCAGGTTCAACAGCAGAAGAAAATTCAATGATGTGTGGACCAAACTTTTAGAGAGAAGATGTTTGGTCACTCGTCGAGAGTGGCTTCTTCAGTTCTGCTCAAGTGCTGGTGGGACACTCTGGACACAACGAAATCCAGGCACTCCAAAAAAGTAAAAATCACACAAGTATAAGTATAGTAGTATAGTTAAAAGGCCTTTATTTAAATGGCCAACGCCAACATGTTTCAACCATGACTGGTCTTCATCAGGGCTTAGTGGACTCATCTAAATAATGGCCTTTTAACTATACTTTTCCTTGTGCGATTTTTACTTTTTTGGAGTGCCTGGATTTTGGTATGTCCAAAGTTTTGAGCCTTTCTCCAAGAGCACCTTCTACCTGTTTTCACTGATTGGAACACCAGCAGCAAACAGACACATTTTTGTTTTTCTGCTGGTGGGACACTGTCTTATATCTGCCTGAAGGGAGGAGATGACTACACTCAAACTAACACACTTATTTCTGTTATTAGCTCGGTCTATTGAACTACACTCACACGGTCCCTGAAAGACTCTCTGAGTCTGAGACTTATTTTTCATAATCATTCATGCCCCTAAGGGTGATCTAACTCCTAATACCATACTCTGCCTATCCCTATTGTGTTCTTTGTTTTGGGAGAGCTGAGAGGTGTTGAATTTTCTGTTGCTTCTTAATCAAGAAGCCTTTTATTAATTAATTATATAATTAATTAATTAATAAAATTAATTAATTAATATATTTGATCTTAAACAGGTGACATTCTATTGACTATTACTTCAAGGCACAAGAAAAATGTATCGTTTCATTTGGAGTGCTCTGACACCCATTTGCACCATAGAATCATGAATAACCCATCACACATCCTGGACTCCAGAGTCTGTGTCACTTCCTCTGGTCAGTCAGATATAAAACAATAGATTTAAAACTAATGCATTTCCTCAGCCATTACTCTGATGAAGGAACAAAAACTGCTGTGGTTTTGTACCGGGCTTGTCAGTCTTGTGTCTTTCATTCCTGTTGTTATGTGACCTCATTTCTGTCCTGTCAGTCGTATAGTTGTGTTTCTGTTGCTCTCAAACTGCTCTGGGACCTGCTCTGGTCTAGAAAGCTCTACTGTTCATGTGTGGATAGTCCCATGTCCCAGGAAGTGTGAGTAAACAGGAAGTGATGTCATGAGTGAGGTATAAGAAACAGGAAGTGATTTGAGACTCCCCTGCTTTTACATGTTCAGTCAGCACCACAAACTGTGTATATAATAGTTTGGGTGACCAAACGTCCGTTTTTCCCCGGACATGTCTGTTTTTTGCATCCTGTCCTGAGCGTCTGGGTTTTTGTTTTTTTTTAAGTGGTGGAAATGTCTGGGTTTTCATTACCTTGCATTGGGGTCATTAAACTGAGCGGCTCTCGTAGCTCTCTGTGCACTCAGAAGAAGTGAGCAGACACAAACAGTCGGTCAGTCTGCAACATAACGAAGCACAAATGCACATTTAGCAATGACTTGTACAAGAAATTCCCTGTTTTCCGTCCCGGTCGAAACAAGTGAGAGGCCATGTGCACAGGTTGCGAGGTGAGAGTAGCTCAATGTCGAGGCCCCACCTTCCACCCCCGCTAAGGTGTCCGGGTTTTCACAAATGGAAATATGGTCACCCTAGCCATAGTGAACCTGGTAGCTGCCACGTTCCAAACAGGATGTGAGTATGGACACAGAAATGGTTCCTTTGAGGTCTGGTTCAAATTAACTTCTGTTAAAACTCTTTTCCCATCTCTCTGTAACTGCTGCAGACTCACACTCATCATTCTGACCTTTAAATGTTTGTATTAACCTGCTCTACGTGATCCCGTGGTGGAAATTTATGTGTATTTATATTCTGAAGAAATAAATGCATCATTTGATCTCTCTGCCCAAAACCCAGAGCAAACATTATTAATTAACATGTGTGAAGAAAGATTCAAGACCCAACATTCAGGATTTTTATTGTCTGTTTAGAGAATCAAACACTGCATAGGTTTGATGCAAAGTGCAATACCAAAGGTGCAAAAGTCCATAAATGAGCCCAATAATGACATTCAGTGCAGCTCTATATAATAAACAGTAACAGTCTTTACAGCCACAGGAAGGGCACCAATATTAAAGTGCATCACAGAGACATATTGTCAGATATGTGAAGTGTTTATCATTATGCAAAGTCCAGTTCAATGTTATTTTAACTCAGCAGACACTGTCTCCACCCTTCAGGAAACCCTTTGGGAAAGACCAATTTCTATTATCCCACCAAATTAAAGAGAGAGAATCAAAGAGATAACACGTCTATAGAGTATTAACTGCTGACACAGACATATTTAGATCGCCATATCTTACCTTTTTTTTTTTTTTAAATGCTGTATTCACCGGAAACAATGTATTGACATGTTAAATACGTCCCCCCTTTCTTTGCTCTCCGCGCTAAAGCACTCCCCCTTTAGTGCGCATCACATTACATCTACATGTGTTACACTAATGAAGCTAGTGTACATCAGGTTTGTGAAGTTGTAGTGTATTGTTTTGTATCATGTTTTTGTATATCTATGGAAAAATATGGCGCTGGAGCATGGGTGAAGTAGGCTTGTGGGCTGAGCTTTGGATAGGATCATAATGCTAACCATAAGGAGGGTTTGAATAGGGAGAGATCACTAGATTACTCAAGCATCTTGTTTGACAATTAAAAACCTTTTTTCAGGTTCATGTTTTTGATGAGAATGATATAATATAAAGTTACAAACAGTCAATTTTGCGTAAATGTGTAGTATCTAAATGAGAAAAAGGCAATAACCAATATTTGTAAAGATCAAATTAACAATGACCCTGTCCTCCTCCGCCATGTATTACATTATTACATTATTTTTCTTACTGTAGAAATAAACTCAACACAAACTCAAATCTACAGCTCATTTTCTTTTGTCTATATCTTGTTGTTGTACAAACTGGTTTCAGTAGTATTACTTCCACTATAAGTTTTGTAATAATAATGAAATGAGTGATGTCAGTATATTTGTGTGTTTACAGATTTCTGTGACGTCTCTCTGGATCCAAACACTGCCAACAACACACTGGAGCTGTCTGTGGACAAAAGGACAGTGACCAGTGTGGAGGAGCTCCAGCTGTATCCCTCTCACCAGGACAGGTTCAGCTCCTGTGCCCAGGTCCTGAGCTCCACTGCTCTGACTGGGCGCTGTTACTGGGAGGTGAAGACGACAGAGGATGTAGATATAGCAGTGAGTTACAGAGGAATCAGACGGAGAGGAGAAGCAGAGGACTGTAGGTTTGGAGACAATGATCAGTCCTGGAGTCGGAGGAGCGATAGAGGAGTGTGCTCTGTTTATCATTGTAAAAGGAAAACAGTCTGCAGTGTCAACATAACAGGTAGAGTAGGTGTGTTTCTGGACTCTGAGGCTGGAGTTCTGTCCTTCTATGATACTGCTGATGATGATGATGGTTCCCTGTTACACATCCACACCTTCAGCTGCACCTTCTCAGAGCCTCTGTTTGTTGGCTTTGGTCTGAGGCGTCCAGGTTCTTCTGTGTCTCTGGTGAAGTGGGACAATATGAAAATCAAACTTGAACCATGATCTGATTCCTGTGACAATCTGCTGTTTGGGGATATTCAGTGTTGTTCTGTTTAATGCAGCTCTATGTTCAAACACAGAGCCCCCCCACTCCTCCTATTGGTCAGCCTCTGTAAGGCTCTGAGTGAGTGACAGGTGGACAGATAAGTGTAAACTTTCTGAAGCAGTAGCTGGTTTTAAAAAGACACAGGGAGACACAAGAATGGTTATCAAATCAAAGGTGGTGCTCCAGGATCTAGAAAAATGATTGTTTTGTCAGAACACCTCCAGACCAGAAGACTGTGGGTCATTATTTCTCTGAGATTACAACAGACAAAGCAACAGCTTCTGTCTCAGAGCTGTGAAAATCAGTTCTGCAGTTTTGACTCGAACAGGAAGTCAATGGATCAAATTCTGTTATCTTTTTTTTTTTAAATCAATCAATATTGTGGTTTACAATAAACATACTTTTTATACAATAATAAATACTGGAAGTATTTTGTTACAACAGGTTAAAACATTTCTTCCTGTTTTTTGTTCACCTTTTGTGATTTGAGGCCCTTCCCCCATCACTACAACAGGAAGTGCTCATTGGGGCCACTTCATTCATTCACAACTCTAAACAGGTTTGGACCAATACAAAAAATAAAACAACTGTCAAAGCCCCAGTTCCATCCCACCGTGGTAAAAACGATTATATTGCTATAAGTATCTATGAACTGCTCTATGTTTTAAAGATCCACAACGTAAAACTAACCACAGTTTTTTAAAGGTCCTATAGTACACAAAGTCATTACACTCTTGTGAGCTTTAACTTTCCCTTTAGCCTGAGCTGCAGGTCTGCTGGCACTGACACACCCAAAGCCTTGAGTCTGTCTAATGATGTCCCCTGGTGACTGGACTTGATAGAATACCTCAGTTAGCTACCTCAATCTGCAATTAACGGGGCAAAGTTACAGTTCGCAGTTTGAAATCAGAAATTCTTCAGTTAGACCAATTTAACACAGACT